GTGATCATTTTTGTCGAGCACTTTAAATTGACCGCAACCTTACCAGTTTTATCTTCTCTCTTTTTACGCAACCATATCTCTCGACACCCCAACCCCAAAACAAACCTCACAACACCACTTCCCAGAATACACACTCAACACCAGCCAGCATGACTCAGAGACCTACTAGCACACTCATCCTTGACAGAGAAGTAGTGGTTGTCAGTCCCATCATTCGAAATACTTATACCAACCACGCCGGATTTGTCATCAGAGAGGTCGCTGGAGAGAACATGGGCCGCACTTTTTTTGGCAGACCTAGACGCTCTGAGAGACCAGTGTGATATGAACAGCTGGGGAGAGGAAGATGGTGAGAAAGAAGCTGGGGTCTTTATTGAGCCCTATGACAGTATATAGTACTACTACCCTTAATAGAGAATGAGGAGTGAGTGGACAGACACTGAGATGCAACAACCAGTATCGAAGGCATATCTTTGGAATCCACAAGTCCGAAACGACGCTCCAGTCTCATACCTTGTGGGCACCGTGCTCAGAGTATCCGGAAGCCTCGAGGAAATATTTGTTCCAGGTCAGCCAGCCGTTCAGTTCCTGGTTGTCACAGAGCTCAGTTTGACCCAAGGCGGCGTTCGTTAAGGTTGATATCTCAGGGTGGAAGCACACAACCTTCAAGAAGGGTTGCAGCACTTTCAGAACGCTGCCCCTGGTGTTCTGGCCGTTCCGGCTGCAGCCCCGCCAGACAACAATTAAAGTGCTCCAATCAATTGATCAACCAAAACGCGATTTCGACTTTTTTTTGGAAATGTTCATTCACCAATGTACCGAACGGCCCTCAGATTCCAGTCATTCATTCTCTTGATTCATAACCTCATTCATCACAACTTGCCTTTTTCTGCATGCACCTACATGGGATCATCGCCGGAATTGAATGCCCGATGTTGCTTGATCAATTAATTGGATTACATGCATCACAATTTCTTTTTTTTAGCTTGCGAGGTATTTTTAGTTTCTCTCTACCTTCACACTTCAATGACTTACTTCCGCAATTCTGTACGACCTTCCATCAAAGTTTGGAGCTCCTAATTGAAGTCTTTGTGTTTGACCTATATGCATGACCTTACATGGGTTTAGCACGCACTGACCTGTTTTTTTTATACCGCAAGCTCAATACACTTTCTACAGATAAATTGAAAGCAGTTATATACAGAAGACATCAGGTGGGATCTAGAGCATGGAAAACTTGAATGACTTCTTATCAATTATAGAAGATATCTTTAAAGTAGGTTTTGTTACATGGTTCTAGCACGATTTCATATATTATACTCTATTGAGAATGGCTGGTTTCGCGCATCAAAGACTTTTAGATCCTACCTGATGTCCTTTGTATGGACATGCTTTCAATTTATCTGTAGAAAGTGTATTGAGCTTGCGGTATAAAAAAAACAGGTCAGTGCGTGCTAAACCCATGTAAGGTCATGCATATAGGTCAAACACAAAGACTTCAATTAGGAGCTCCAAACTTTGATGGAAGGTCGTACAGAATTGCGGAAGTAAGTCATTGAAGTTTGAAGGTAGAGAGAAACTAAAAATACCTCGCAAGCTAAAAAAAAGAAATTGTGATGCATGTAATCCAATTAATTGATCAAGCAACATCGGGCATTCAATTCCGGCGATGATCCCATGTAGGTGCATGCAGAAAAAGGCAAGTTGTGATGAATGAGGTTATGAATCAAGAGAATGAATGACTGGAATCTGAGGGCCGTTCGGTACATTGGTGAATGAACATTTCCAAAAAAAAGTCGAAATCGCGTTTTGGTTGATTGGAGCGCTCTGTCATCTCTGACTCTGTATGACACTACACCTAGAAACCTAGTTGGCAACTTTGTATATATATTTAGCTGTATCACAGCAACAGCATCAATCATCACTGCTTCAACTCTCGTCCCCGTTCTATACTTCTCTGTCCCAGTCTTCGCCTGTTGCAACGACGAAAGATTGAACGATGGTCGTTATGGCAAACAATCACCCGCCGACGCCACAGTCCAAGAAGGCCAAAACAAACAAGTCAAGCAAGCACAACAAAAACAAACAGCAAGGCCATTGCCATTCAAATAATACATTCAACCTTGCAAGTTATAAAAAGTAAGTAACAAGATGCATGGTCAGGTGTGTGTCAATGGCATGAAAGACAAAGAGAAAAGAGATCTTTTATTGTGCATACATTGGTGCGACGTCATTACTTTTCATCGGGTTAAAAAATTGGTCAATGTGGGGAAATAGTAACTCAGCACTCAGACGCTCAGGCGAGAGGTGCCACGCGGTCACAACTAGACCACCAAAGCGTGAGGGGGAGGGAGAAGGAGAGTGAGCGATCATAACTAGATCATTGGTGACGACGAAATTTAGATGGATCTTCGGATGCACAGCAAAAGTTCTCAACATAGCGAATGTGATAGAAAGCAGAGGAGTATATTGTTCGAGCGGCGACAAGAACAAAATTTATTATAGATAGGAAGGGCGAGAAAAATGGACCGAATTAGGTGAATGTGATGTGATAGACAGCTGGGGGAAGATGCTATTCTAACGTTCACTCTCAGTGCCATTTTTAACCATCTGGCCACACTACTTGCTACTACAACAGCGGAATAGAAAAGAGTGGAAGGGAATAGGAAAAGAGTGGAAGGGAACGCCCGGGAGAAGGCCGGCGAGCTCAAGGCGGTTAACCGTTCAATGTTTGCGATCCACATCAAGAACCCCTTCAACTCGACCAAGAAGAGGGAGTGGAAGGGAATAGAAAGAGTCGAAGGGAAAGTGTGAATAAAAAAAGTGAGCGAAGATAGGGGTGATAGGGGTTGGGCGCACTAGCGAGTGGGAGGGAAGCCGGGTTTTCATTAATAAATAGGTTATGAGGTTGGTGAAAACAAGAGAGGGTGGAAGTGAACATGTAAGATCTCATTGACGAGAGAGGGGAAGAAGAAAGACGAAAGAAAGAGAAGGCGAGGATCTTAAGTGTAAAAGATAGAATAGCAAGAGCAACAAAGAGAAATGAATTCTGACAACAACAAAGAGCACGACTTGACGTTGACTTGGGGTCATCGACGCAATGAAACCGACGAAGGTTCGTCCGGGTGGATGACTAAAACAAACGCTGACGAGGTCGTAGAAATATAGGCGAAAGAAGAAATATAGAAGAATAAAAAGTGAAATGACGCGTGTAAAAGAGAGAACGAAATATGGTGATGGTTAACCTTTTACTCGGTTAACAGATTAACTTGGTCAAAAACATTGGTCACTCACTTACAAATACAGCGGCAGCCTTAGGCCGGACCTAAGGTTATCCCTTTTGCTGACCCCGCGAACAAAGAAAGCATACCTGGCAAGGGCGACGACCGTGGTTCTGCCACGGCCGTTCTGCTTGAGAGGGTCATATTAAAAAACTGATTACACATATTGGAAACCCTCGACTTTTTTTTCGACGATGCGATCAATCGTCCATGGTTATGAGTCATTAAGAGAAAAATCATGGAACAAGACACAATAACTACAATACCTGACTTTGAAAGAGGGACGAACGTGGCTCTGTTACGGGCGTTCTGCTTGAGAACCCCCCTGAACATTCAAAGCACACTTGACAAGGAAGGCCTTCTTCGTAAGAGTGTCAAATTTAAAAGCGGATAGAGTGGGGCACAAAAAGAATGGCGGCGCATCACCCCAGGGCAGCCAGCTAGTCTAAATTATACCCATCTCATGCCCACATATGAACGGTGAAGTGCATTTCGCCCAACTTTTATCCATTCCTCATTCAGATTTCACCATCAGACGGAAGCCGACCGGTAAAACATCATTCACTACAGGATCACTGTGCCTCATCTACAAGGAATGTTGAGAGTCCGCAGGCAAAAGAGTGCGGGATAGTTTCCTTTTGGGTAAACGAAAAAAATTGATGACCAAACCATGAATAATAAGGCTATTCATTCATAACTTTTCGTACGATGGGCGTAGACGGTTCCCTCTTCCATCAATCGAAAGAACACGCCGAGCTCTCATGTCTTGCCAAATATCAGAACTACGGCACTAGTCGTCGTCGAGTAAACTAGTTCGTTTTCTTAATCTGGTAAAAACAGTAATAAATCAACAAAAGACCATGAGACCATGGGATAAAATTAGAAAAAAAAGGTCATGCATGCAACAGGATTCATCGACGCTAGCATTCCCACACCATCCCTGGCTGTCATCCCAGTTACCACTCCTCCCTCGACGCCTTTCATACACACATCCGGCCATCCTTCTCCTCTCACTAGGCCTTCGTCATCCCTATCCGAAACCCCTCCTCCTCTTCTCACTCTCGTTCCTTCACCCACAGCCCACACGTCGCCTCACGCATCCCCTGCGCCCCCTCCTAGGCTACTATAAATATACCCGGCTCGGGTTACCCTAATACATCATCCTCCTTTTCCCCAGACTTTTCCCTGCGCTAACCCTTGCCTCTCGCTCGCTCACTTTATATCCCTTTGTCCGCAGTCGTTAGAGATCAAGGGATGAAGGATAAAAAAAGATGAAGGGATAAAAGATAACAAGGCATGAAAAAAGGCCGCATTCATAGCGGCGTCGCCTTTTGATCCTTTATATACATTCCCTTACCATATTTGCCAAGCGCCATTCCAGTAAGAGTTTTTTTGATAGTGGGCGTTGCTGCGCACTTTTACGGCGCGAACCAGACATGATTCGACACCGTGTTTCTTTACTAGCACGACCAGACTTATTCTTGGAAGCCCCCGCCTTATGCACAGGAAAGAATGGCGCAAAGGTGAGGCGCGAACTAAAAAAAATGTCTTACGGCGAAGAGGCCGAACTCCTGAGGGTTATGTGACAAGGACCAAAACTCGTTCATGGGAGCGAGACAGCGAGCACATAAAAGGACCAGGTTCTCCTCCGTCTCTTCTCTCTTTTTCTTTTCAATTACCTTCAACTCTTGAACTAGATCCGCCACATACTTAAAAACAATGTACACTCCATCCTTCACCAAGACTCTTGTCATTGCGCTGTGTGCCATCGCCATGATGGTGACGATGTCTTCGACCACGGTCCTGGCTCGCCTTCCTCCGTCCTCGCCTTTGCTTGATATTCAAGAACCCCGTGGCGGTGCAACCTACCACGTTGACGAATTACTTCACGTTCGGGCCGTGTTCAAGGATGGGAAGAAGAACCCTCTTTACAAGGATGATACCAAGATCGATTTTTTCATCCAAAAGTTTATCGCCATGCCGGATTTGAACGAACACGTAGGCTCGGTCTCTGCCAATAAGTTTTACCAAAGCGGTTTCGAGTTCCCGGTCTTGGAGAGCTATCCCATCCCGACTCAGACTTCCAGACCGTTCAGGGTTCGTGCCCATTTCGATGGTCCCAACTCTGGATACGACGATTCCGACGCATTTTACCTTGAGAAGTGAACCTGTTGCCTATTCTGTGTCCGACCACCCCCTTGACAATTGTCATACTTGAATAACACATCGAATAAACTCACCCAGAGTAATTTCATCGAATAGATTAATGCAGGTTTTTGGATTGTTTACTTGTAGTAATTTTTTGTTTTATATTCGTTCTCTTTACCATATCTATTAAGTATTTGTTCAGGAAAGTGCGTGGAAAACGGGACAGCGCTTGCGATTCAGGATTGATAGAAAATAAAGAAATGTGACTATGTTTTCTTGCCATCACGGTAGGGGTCTAGGATCCGATGCAACAGTGATCTGGGAAAGGTTCCATGGTTGAATGGACAAAAGAGTATGAGGATGTCGGTGGATGTTGGATCCAAACACCATCCGATCTCGAAATCTTGTTAATGAACTTACTGAAACCGTGGAATCCGACCATCTGATCACGTTGGCTGCAATTCATCCACTTTTATTGATCAAATCCAAGAAAATCCAAAAACCTGCAAATCAGGCCATGGATGAATGGATCAAAGATGCATCAAAACACCATCTGCTTTTGAAATCCTGTTAATGAAGCCAACCATTTCGAATCTGATCATGACCTCGGCTCGGATGCAATTCATCCTCTTCGATGATCACTTTTGAGCAAATCCGGTGAAAAGTAGATCAGTGCAGGTACCTCTTCCGCCAAAATTAAAAGTCACCAAATTGATCTCTAAATCCCTGCCGTTTCTTTCGCTGAAACAATTCTGACTCGCTCAGCGGGTCGCACAGTTCATGGAATCTCCCACCTTCGACAGCTACACATACTACTGCAAGATACGCTCATTGTCTTTGACGCAATCAAAGTTGATCCGTCAAGACGCCGGAAAAGACGGCAAACAAGACGTTGGTGATAATGCAAAGTACGTCCCGAATCGCTAGCATTGCATGCAACGTGATGGTTGTCTCGAACGCTAGTTAGAATCTAGAAAAACGAATTTTAATTCTTCACAGTGCATGCACCATACTACTTTCCGTGAAAGCGCTTACAGTTTCACAGAGAACTGAAAGTCGACCTCAAGTCAACTTACAGAATACTAAGATCGGAGAGAGGAAGCCTTTTGCACTTGGATGCAGGTTCTGGAGTTAATCTAGCTGGGGCCCAGGACACATCCAATGCTTGTTGACAAACGTATCTAGATTCTGCATTTACAGGGGCATAAGGTCCGTATTCCATTCGTTGTGAGTGCATCAGGTGCGATTCACAATTCAACTTACGTAGTCCATGATTGTATTCGGGCTCTGGGCTCCAGTTGGTTTGCGTCTGGCATATACAATAACATATTATTCCCTCTTACCCTTGGGGTAATGGACATCGAGGTTTCTTATCTCTTCTCCATTGTAGTCGCGATAATTTAGCAAGTGTGACGATCTGGCAGGGCTCGGGAAGGAGTGTAGAGTTTTTGATATGTTTTATTGAGCCCTATGAGAATATATAATATAGACTGGTGACTACTACCCTTCATAGTGAATGAGGAGAGAGTGAACAGATACTGAGATGCAACACGGCGCTTGAGCTCGATAGAATGCTGCTTAGGCGTGGTGTAAATGGTGTTGGTGATGGTCGAGTGCGATGGTGGTGGAACGAAAGTATTGGAGAAGTGGTTTTCTTTTCGTTTTATCGGAAAACTCGGGAGAGATGATGGTCATAGAATTTTCGAAAAAACAGCTTTTTTGAATTGGTCGCATGGTCCTATTTAAACGTGTTCTATTCCTTAGCCTCATACAAATTAGGGCATGGTTGTACCATGACAAAGCGGCACAAAAGCAGCCTAAAAAATCAACTGAAAGTCCACCCATCCTTGGAGAGCAGGATATCGAGTAACTTCTTACTAGGATACAAGACAATAGCCGCGAAACCCTCCAGGAAATAAACATAACACTGTAAGCGGGATTCCCCGTAACAAGGGGGTATTTTTTCGGGTTACCGTCAAGAAATCTCACTGAACACCGAGGCATGTCGAATCTCGCATGGCCTTTGCCTAAGACAAACAATATTGTACGTGAGTTGATTGGGAATGGGCCACTTGAACTGACGAATGTTTCAAGGCTTTCAGAAGGATACTCCTTTGGCGCCCAGGAATACTCGTCCACTTCTCCAAAACGGCCGAACTAGTGTCAAGGTATGGGGAGCAATTGCACGAGGAAGAAAATCAAGACTGGTAATTCTCGAAAGGAGACAACAAAGGACTAGTATTCGTCGATTAAGTTATTTATTTTTTCTACTTTGCATCCACCTGCTTGAACATATCTCCACGCCATCCGTACGCTCTAAACAGCCGCCTTCCGAATCTCCTTGCGGTCTTGAAGGGAATCTTGCTAGTGGGATGGGGTTCGTGGAACTGGATGCTGCGCTCCACATCCAACTTGGAAGGCATGAAATGCCAGACTGAGCCATATAGTTTCTCGATCGCAAATCCTGTCGCGCTCATTGCATGCAAGAAATCGTTCCAGGGGATTTCATCAGGCTGGGCATTGTTAGAGGGCTGGTAGAAAAGAGTTGAAAAGACTTTCAGGGCGCGTTTGTCCACCGTGAACGTGGGCTGGGTATCGACAGACTGCGGAGCGCCTGGAGGACGCGATGGCTCATCGGGCGAGGGAGTGGTGAGAGCGACACCTCGAGTCTTGACCTTGATTTTTTGGGGTGACTTGCCTCCGGAGTCAACCTTGCTCTGTGTATGCTCGTTGTCGAAAAAGAGTCGGGATAGGGGCTTGCCATTTTCCTCCAATCTATTCTCCTTCCGGGGGTCTGTCGGCGGCAAGGCAGGATCAGGCTGGACCCAGTCAGGAGTTCTGTACAGGATACGGTGGTCCGATAACAAGTGCATCAATGTCCCATGGCGCGATACGTCGATTTTCTGCAAGATATATTTGTCCAGCTTCTCCCAGAACGTATCGAGAGTTCTCTCCGCCTTCTGCAACGCCTCCGTATTCTCCTTTGTCCTGCGCTTCTCAACGGGGTAGAAAAACTTGCCGTCCGAAGGATCTGCATCGGCCAATGAGGTTTGTTTGAGTGCAATGTCGAGTTCCTGCATCCTACTGGTCCGTTGAATATATTTGGCCTTCAATTCGTCCTGACAGGGGAGTGCCTCGGCTTCAAAGGAGGATGCCCAAGGTTGGTAGAGGGAGATCTGATGCTGGCACTCTGAAATAAGCGATAAATCCGCAACCATGCTCGCGACTCGAGAGGAGAAGAGGTTCCTGGCCTTGGGGTCGTTCTCTACCAAACGCTCCATCTCATCTAGGATGGGATGTAGACCACAGAGGTGTCTCTGCTGCTCGTCCCACAGAGTCTGGAAGAGCCACATTAGACGACTCTGAGTCTTGTCCCAGGTTGATCCCGGCTTTTGCACCACTTGGATGATGCTGCTGTTTCCCTCCTCTGGCAGGCGGACAAAGGAGGCTCGTAAAGGGGGAGAAGCAACGACAATTGTCTTGAGAGCTTGAATCGGTCCCTTGGCGTATTGGCTCAGACTGAAATCCAGTTCCAAAAAGGCCTCCAGAAGCTCGTTCGGAAGATCATCGTCGTATTTGATAGCGCCTTCATGCTTTTGTTGGAGGGACATGACCTTGCCGATCAGAGAATGCAAATCGTCCCAAATCTCGAGGTAGAAGTATGCTTCAGTGATCACGCCCCCTGCTACACGATCCCAGAAGCGCTTGCTTGGATAAGGCCTCATCAAGGAGTGCTGTCGTCCTTTGGTATCCGGAAGAAGTTCTTGTCGATGCTCCTTCATATCCAGAACGAAATCCGTAAAATAACTGGGATCCTCCCGTAATGACCAAATGTGATCCTCCGTGGCGGACCGTTTAGCGGCGACAAGATCTTGCAGACGGGTGAGATTAAGACTGGCGGGCAGGCGGTACGGAGTGATTGCAGCGACCGCAGCCAGGGAGTTCGAGCGACCTTCGGCAATGGACAACGCTGGCGGTTCCGGCTCGATCGGAATATCATCGACCATCAGGGATTCGCGTGGCATGTCATGCAGAATCTGCAAGCAACACTCCAGGAGAAAGTGATAGACACGCTCCTGAATCTCGAGAACCTGGAGGCCGTACCCAGGATGCACACCTCGCTGAGAGAATAGCCACGACGCCGCATCGGTATGGTCGTCCCAGGAGTACAACTGTCCATATGTTTCTGGCGTATTTCTTCCCGTGAACATCATCGTGTATTCGTTGAGAAAGGCTGCAGTAACCTTCCTACTTGTGGTGGCGAACCTGAACGACTCGTGATCGGCTGCTGAAAAGGCTGATGGAAAGTTACGGGCCCGCGCGTTGAGAAAGATGAGGAACAACTTGGGCTTGAGAAGGTCCTCCTGGTTGATATGTGGCCATAGATATGCCTCCCTGAATGCTGTGGCGCTCCTTGATTTCTCTCGGAGGAATGCCTCCATGTCGGGACGATGTGAAGCGGACATGTTCGGCCATGCCGAGAGCAGGTGTTCTTGCGCTGTTCTCGAGTCTTCTTGAGCCATCTCTTCTGGATCGTAGCCTCCTGCCGTTGCACAATGTGATTCAGGAGGGTCCAATCCTTGAATATTTTTGTCACTCGCTTGCGGGCTTCCTTGCGGACCTCGTCAGGGGTAGGAAAGGAAGATGGCTTCGGCAGAGATATATTGCCGAAAAGCGAGCTTGGGATGTCCAAAGGGCTTGACCCCGCCGAGCCATTGGCGGCGGCTTGGCTGTTGCTGTTGGCCATGGCTTGCTGCATCAAGCGAAGAAATTCGGGTGGAAGGCCGTCCATTGTCGATCTACAGATAACGAGAGGGTTGAAGTTGTTAGTTGCTGATGATTGAGCGGACTGATGGTCACGAAAACTCTGCAGTGTTGGAATACTTTCTACAGAATCCACAAAAGGAGTCTCCATATAAATGATTCCAACGCTACCGCCGGATAGAGACGCCTCACCATTTGTCTTTACAATGCAAGAAGGCATGGTGGTAAGCTTCCCGCTTCAAACCAGGAAGGAGGAAGGAGAAGAGTGATTGTTGATGCTCACTTACCGAGAGTCCAGGGGTTGACTTGCTGGCGAGCGAAAGTACTGTTTAGCGTCCTTTGGTGACGATCACGCAACGAGTGACGTTGTCACTTTGGTGTTAACGTCATTACTCTGTCATCACAGAGGAAAATTATCCTAATATGGATCGACTTGTGCTGTCAATTGATACACCAAAAATCGACGCGAGGCACTCCTTTGACACCGTTTGTCTATTTACTGGTCCTTTCTCCTGTCACGACACATCCATTACCTCCATCACATGTACCATCCTTCACCATGGGACTATTCAACTGCTATCCTTTCATTCGACGCAAGGACTACATACATATCCAACTTTACTGATCAATCCTCGCGACAATCATCACCAGCAGTCGACGGCGACTGGATGTTCTTGGGTCGTGCTATAGTCATCAGGAACTCTTACTCCACATGTCACAACACGCCGCCCACCGCAGTCTGGAAAAGGAGGTCAGTCGGTTCGGAACGGCGCTGACATTACTCTTTACATTGATGGGGACCCGGCCAAGGAAAAGACCGAGACCGCGGCCGCTGTCTCGGCCGAGCGCTAAAAACGGCGAGAGAAAGCACTGGAACAAATAGCAACAAGCTTGGCCACTCTCGAATCACGCATCGACAACAACCAACCCCCGAGAAACGCGAACGTCCGCTCAGGTATAGTCTCCTCTTTCTACTGGTCGATGGAGAGCCGGAGGAGCTTCACGGACTATATGGCGGAACGACACTGGACAGTCAGGGTTGCGGCTACAGAGGCTGACTTGGCAATCGCGATCGACGCAAACCCTGGCGACATCATCACCTGCGACTCGGACATGCTGGCCTATGAATCCATCGTGACTTTGTGGCGCCCCGTTTCAAACGGCATGACCCTGGTCTACTCCATCCCTTGGCCCTCGGCATCACCCGCGCTCAGCTCACCGCGCTTGCTATAGTTTCAAGAAATGACTCCAACAAGAATATTCATTATCTTGGTACGGTCACTAATTTCTCTATTATCTGGTTCATCGACAGCTTAGGTAACGATCGGATATGATTCTATTTCCAGGTCTGGATATTCTTGGCAGTCTTTACAGTGGGTACTAACTGGGTTTAATGCTTTTCCTTTTTCTTATATAGACCCAACGGAGGTGGTGCACGGCTATCTAGCGAACTCTCGAGTCGTTTCCAAAAACAAGGACAATAAGGAGTTTGAAGACTCTATTCGCGTATTTATCGACAAGCGGCAAACAAAACTTGACAGTGTCGATTCCACATCAGATGCTCAGATCCTGTATGGACAACTGCGTCTTAACTTCAAGGATCTATGTACTCGGCACAACGAGCTCAAACGCGTCCGCACGCAGAGGTAATTTTATTCATAGTTTACAAAGACTGTGAATTGTACCTCATTACATCATTTATACGATTAATAATAATAGAGCTACCAGTGACGAGATTGTACGCCTGCGGGCGCCAAGGTCGTGGAATCGCTACCGTACTGTGTCTGTGGAGTCGCCAAGACAGATCTCCAAGGCCTCTGGAACCCCTTCACAGCATCAGCCCGGCATCGCCCAGGAACCCACTTCTACTTCTTCGGATCTCGAAAACCAAGGCCATCCAGCATTGCCTAGGACACGGACATCCCTACACAGCCAACAGTACTCTTTCAAGCGACATCAGGAAAAAGTGAGCCATGAGCCTCCTGCATGGGCCAAGCAACTCACGTGGAAAGCACTTAAGGAGATGTCAGACTCCAACAACGACCCCTCCACCACTGACACTACGGATAGCAAAGGCAAGCGGAAGTCGGACCAGGCGCCATCAGCTACTGGCTTGAGGGCATCCAAGGAGACTAACAAGCAGAGTCTCAAAAGGAGAGTGCAGAACGGATCGAGTAACGTGTCGATGCAGTTGCATTGGAGCGCAGGACCTGACATCTTCACCGCCACAGGAGCAGCGATAACCAATACTACTGGTCTCAGCGACGCTAATCGACGATTGCTTTTGCAGCGCGGCGCCACCGATGGGACTTCTCCCCCTATCGATGCGGAGAAGGAGGAAGGGGAGAAGGAGGAGGACTGAGGAGCAGTGTCCGCTCTTTACATGTAAAATCACTCTCTCATCGACGTCGACCTTTGGTCATACAGTAGGTGATCAATAGAAACATCGAGACAATTTTACACCATAATTTTAGTTCACATCTCCATCTTAATAACGTTTCATCTCTTTTTTCCTGACAGTTACATGATTTGAATTTGGCTCATGTCTTCAATTTAACACTGCTAGTATCTGTGTATTCCATTAAGCTATCTTACTGATGAGGAGAGATATGCCGCGGAGGCGTTGTTCTGTGTTAAACTGTATCTGGTTTGTAACCCGGTTAAGATGACACACGTTCGCCAGAGGCGTTTTCCACAAAACCGGGGACACAAGCACATGGCGGACATGATATAAACTGCGGACAGGCAACTCCCGGGTGACACACCGGCCTGGCACACGGGTTTGGCCTTACTTGATTAGTACTGGGGCAAAGTTCAAAAACAAGTTCAAAAGGAATAGCACATGCCACTGAGGCAAATAACAGAAGTAGTCCACATGTAAGCATCATAACGGAAAACCTATTTTAGACGTACGGATAGGTATGTTACCGTATGAGAAATATGTAACCAGATATTTGAAAGCTTTCAGATCACCGTACCTGTTTGGAAACTGTCGGATAGTCTCTTAACGTGTGGAATTTAAGTATTGGTTCTTGTGCGAGTCAGATGAGAGTCCCTCCAACGATTCATTCAGCGTTGCTTTTGAATGAGCAGGAAAACGTAACATGCATGTGAGATAAAATTCATGGAAGACAAGTTGAGGCCGCCAAATAGCAATAGACTACCAGAAGATCGTTTACCTTGGGTGCGTGTGGATAGTAATGAGAAAAAGGCAAGCGTCGGTGGGAGATGAAATTGAGTGCTGAGGAAAAAGCGAACGATTTGAAGAGTTGAGAATGAAGTCTTTATATACAGTAACAGCGTAGCCTATAAATCACATGATGGAAGGGCGGGACGGGTGCTGAAGAACAGCGCAAAAGCAAAAGACTGGTGTGTCAAAGATATGCAACAAGAACGGAGGACAAACAACAAGGGCTCGAGGGGAAGATAAAAAAGCCAAGGGCATGCCGAAAAGTTCTAGGTTCTGAATACAGGAGGAAAGCCAACAGACCAAAGGATACTGGGGAAGAACCACACCAGCGACAACTCCCAGAGACGACACCATAGACAATACTAGAGACAGCATCAGATGATAGCTTAAAGAGACCGCATCGGAGGATTGCATCTAGAATCGGAGGATAATATTCAAGGACTACATCAAGAGACTGCACCTAGGGACAACGCAGAATATGCACCGGGTTCAAATGATGGCTATGGACAACGATCAAGCAACTGCCCACAAGAGATTAGACGCCAAGAGCATCGCAAAGACTAAAGCAAATGAAGGTGGTACAGAGGGGAAAGATTCAGGGGAGGGGAGGACAAAAAACGAATCCAAGAGGAGGGTGGGAGATAAAATATCAAGGAGACGGGGCAGAGAAAAAAAAGGCAAGGGCACCAGGCAAGAAAACAAGCGGAGAGACGTAGCAGAGAAATATAGTCAAGGAGACAGGGTAGAGAGATGGGACAGAGAAAAGGAAGATGGGGCGGGGCGGAGCAAAGGAAGATGGGGCAGAAAAAAAGCCAAGGAGACAGCAAAGGAAAGAGACGTCAGGGGAGGGACGGAAAAAAAGAAGTCAACGAAAGGAAAAAAAGGGAAAAAAGGGAAAAAAAATGGGAATGCAGAAAAAAGGGGAGAGACGCTGAAAGACCAGATTGCCATACAGCTAGATAACTGGCTTGTGGCAGCCAAGCGTTCATAGCGACGTTGCTTTTTGATCCTTCAATCTCGGCTCTTCCTATCATACTGAAGCAGAATTCAGTAAACGTTGGATTGTTCACCCACTAGACCGTCGTGAGACAGGTTAGCTTTACCCTACTGATGAAATGTTGTTGCAATAGTAATTGAACTTAGTACGAGAGGAACCGTTCATTTGAATAATTGGTGTTTGGGCCTGCCTGAGAAGGCAATGGCCCGAAGCTATCATCCGTTGGGTTATGGCTGAACGCCTCTAAGTCAGAACCCGTGCTAGAACGCGACGATTACCGCCTTTTCCGATTTTTAGTTGAATACGAATAGAGACTCCCGTCGGGGGTTTCCTGAATCATACTATGCGCGGTTTTCTTGCAGAGCGGAAAGGCTTTGTGAAGTTCCTGCTAGTGTTAATTTCAAATATTAGAAGAGATGAATCCATTGTAGACGACTTTAATTGAACGGGGTATTGTAAGCAGTAGGCAGTAGAGTAGCCTTGTTGCTACGATCTACTGAGATTAAGCCCATTGTTCTATAGATTTGTTCGAAAGAACAACATTTCCTCTCTCTCTTTCTACCCTTTCTTTTTTTTCTTTTCTACTGCTATGTTTAAGGGCATTAGAACATATGCGTAAAAAGAACTGTAGTCTAGTTCTTCTTTCGATCTCTTTTTTACACCGCCCGCGCACGCACTTTTCTCATTTTTGCTGCTTTTTTGCCTGTGATTCTACTTGCCCGGGGACTTGTAGTTCTTTTTTGTTTGGCTCTTCGAATCTTCTGCCTCTCTCACTGCACTACTTCTACATCTATTCATACACACAGCGAGCGAAAACGTCCGGAACTCCGTCGCCGCACTAGCTATGGGCTCACTCATACACATAGCGAGCAAAAAGTCCAGAACTCCAGCTGTTTTTTCGACTTGGGCTTTTTGTCTCTCTGACCGCACTAGCTACTGGTCCACTCATACATATGCTGATTGAAAAATACATAACTCTAAGCTACGGCCATATACAACTAAACCCACCGCATCCCGTCCGATCTGCGAAGTTAAACAGTCGATGGCACGAGTCAGTACTATGGTGGGGGGGGGGGCCACATAGGAATACTATGTGCTGTGGTATTTTTTTTTTTTTTTTTTTCCTTACTTGTTTTGGAGTGAGAGAGAGAAGATAACTTTTGCCTTTCCAACAGGTACCCCAAGGTATATCAAGTCCTGTACTTGTACTTTTACGTTCCTTTATCTCTTCCTATCCTTTCATCTTCCTATACTAGACAATACTTTCAATCTTAAGCAAAAGCTTTCTCTCTCGTTTACACCTACGCCGTAAATATGATTATTTTCTTAACAAAAACGACAGTAATAGCTGAGATGACTACATTAAATCCATCACTACGTGGCTGTGGTTGTGGCTTCTCTTTTTTTCTCGCCCACTTGGCCTCGTCTATAATTGACCAGCTGGTTAACAGTTCATGCGCGCATCTCGAACAGCAAATCGAGCTCCAACAAGGCCCTTTGAATGGAATTATCGTGGCTCAAGCTGGCATCGCTCACTCTGCTTTGAGCCACGAGATGCTTGACTTCCTAAATTAGCTATTATATAGAGGTGCGGTTCGGCCAAAGTCCAGGAGGATCGTGGTCGCGGGATCGGCAGAGCATCAGAGCCTCAGGAGAGCTTCCTGGGTCGGGGCTGTCGGGCCTAGGGGAGCCGGCCAGGCGGGCCGGACCGTACCTGGGCTCTGGATCCTAGACTAAAGTAGGGGATGTGGTGGCCAGACAGACTACAGGCGGACATACTTAAGGGGAAGCAAGGAATCCTGACAATATTGTTACTCAGGGGAGAAGGTCGACGGCCAGAGTTGTAGGACCGCTGTTAAGTCCTCAATTGGTACGGGGGGGAAAGGGGGGTTGTAGGTTGGAGAGGGGGAAAGTGATAATAACGTCCTAAAAAGAATCACACAAAACGATACACTGCAGCGCGCCAGCGAAACTCTTGTCAATACAGCTCTCGTCCAAGAAGTGACGTGTAAAAGGACCAAGAGCAGACAAGAGGGCTCGGCGCACTACTAATACTATGTCTACTAAAGAATATGACTGCTAACCTAAGGCATCGCCGCCACTGCCTAGCCACCACATCTTTTTGTAACAATATGTGGTGATTTGGAGTGGCTTAGCTTCTGGTGGCCATTTCGCTATTTTACTATTTTACACGCTTGCCTGCGAGTGTCTGGAAAAGCACCTTTCTTCCACCATACGAGCACTGCCGAGCAGGTAGGCACTATACCCTTTGACCATTGGCAGCAATGGCAGTTTCTAGCCTTTGGAGAATAGTTATTGACATAAAAGACCTTTTTTTCCACGATACGAGCAGGTCTTGAGTACTGTCTTTATTCGCGATATTGAGAGGGAGCACATACACATACACACACACACATACACACACACACACATACACATACATACACACACACACACACACACACACACACACACACATCACACACATCACACACTTTTATACATACATCCTTTTCCTCGTCTGCCCGCTATCCGAGTTATGCCCGCTGACCCCGAAGGTACTCCTTTGGATACAGGAGTTGCCGAGAGAAACTCCACTCTCCCTTCTCCTTCTCCCTCGACAAGTGACCCTGTTCAACCTGGCACTGACGCCAACGACTCGGCCAGCCAAGGGCAACTCCCTCCAAGACTCCCACAAATGTGAAATCACGTGTAATCACCGTCTGCCCACAGACAAAAACAAAAACCTTTCATCCCGCTACATGCTTGTCCTATTTAACAACCCACCTTGATCGGGAACAGAGTAACAGCTGCAAACCCAATGCATTCATATTTTATTCAGCGCAAACGGCAAGTTATCACATTTCAGGCGCGTGGGAGCAAGTTTGTGTGGGAGCTGTTCTCGACCTCTCTCTCGCTCTCATTCTCTCTCTGTTCGGCATGACAAGCCCTACCTGGCATGTGTACCTAGCACTTAATTTACCTTGGAGCCGCTGGAAAGGGACTGGATGGCATTCAGTTTACGCTATGCGTCTACGTAGTCGATCGGCCTCACTATTGGGGCTGCAATGGTCGGCGGATGAGGCGTAGCTCATGCGCTCGCATACAAAAATATCTCCCACGGGAATGTATCTTTCCTTCTCTCCTCTCTCCTTTATTTGTCAGTTTCCTCCTGCTCGCTGCTGAAAGCATCCCGCATGCATGTACCATCCAATCCGCATAAACAAACCGTAAAAAAGCTCTCGCTGATTAGCAAAGGACCCCTTGTCTCCAAAAGGGTATAGCGCAAAAGACTGTGGTTTTCTCTTCACTTACTCCTGTTATGCCCCCGAGCGTTGCTCCAAAAATGTATCACATCTTTAGTTCGATACATTTTGCATAGACTGTAGTAGGCTCAAGAACAAGGCCCAACGGGCAAACATCACACCAACACGCGGATCTATTGGTTTCTCACGGAAACCGATCCATTCGTCATCGTCATGACACCATCCCACGACCATCCTAAGCATGTGTGCACCAAAGTGATGACGTCATCAAAGTGCGTTTTCACCAAGCATGTTCATGTCCTCCCATTCTCCCTCATCTTTTCGCCTCACTCTTTTTCCCTCATCGTCATTTCTTCCACCCAACCACTTTTTTCCTCTCTCTGCCTAATTGCGCATTCCCCATACCCTGTCGACATATACAGATACATACCCGTCACGACCAACCAACTACGGCCGCCACCACATTTATCCCCACAGAAGACAAGACAGCAGGTAATCGAGTGCGGCACGGTTTTAGTGAGAGTAAAATGCGTTGATAGCAATGCTAACATCACCACACATTCCTTCGTCATTTGTCTTTTGTAGGTGTAAAGCAAAACAGTATGCCATTCATTTACAGCAAACCCTGGCGCGTGCAGTTCTTTAATCACATCAAGTGCCCCGAGGATGTGTTCATCCCTACAGAAGACTGCGATGCCTGGCAACTCTGCCCCGAGCACCGCTGGGTTTACAACAAGCTGACAATTGCACTGGCCCAGGATCTGCAAGCAGCACCCCATTGTGTCCTCCCACCAAAGGCCTCATATCCAGTCTTCAGCAAACCGCTCATGAATCTCAAGGGCATGGGCGCTGGCAGCCGTGTCATCCCCGATGAGGCGACCTTTCTCGAGTCGCTCCAACCGGGTCATTTCTGGTGCACCCTTCTGAAGGGTCGCCATGTCAGCACGGATGCCGCGTTTGTCAATGGCGAGATGGTTTGGTCCCGCCATACGACCGGCGTGCCTATTAGCGACGGTATGTTTGACTATTGGTATCTGCACAAAGAAGCCATGCCCGAGATCGAGGACTGGTGCGGTAGCTGGGCACGTAAGCATCTAACCGGCTACACGGGGATGGCCAACTTTGAGACAATCGGCGGCAAAATCATCGAGATGCATTTGCGCTTCACCCCTCAGTGGGCCGATCTCTATGGCGACAAGTGGCTGAATGCTGTCGTACGGCTGTACGTGGACAAGGTCTGGGAGTTTGACGACAGTGGTCGGATCGACCAGTACAGCGTCATCCTGTGGGGGTCGCAGCAACGGTCGTATCGCTTGCCGCCAGCTGCTGAGATATCTAGAGCTGCAGCTGTTCCTGGTGTCTCTAGCATACAGGTGCCCTTTTACGAGAATATGGATCCTGCGACGGCTTCCAACCCGCCTGGTGGGTTCCGACTGGCCATTGTCAACTCGTATGATCTTGAAGCTGGACGGAAGGCGACCAAGATTCTGCGCGAGGCCATCAAGGAGGTCGACACCGAACCCCACGTCAATGGCGTCACAGGCAGAGCAGCATGCAGTTGCCACAAGTGATTTCATCTTAGCCAAGGCAACACTCCATCTCATTTTGTTTGTTCATGTAGCATTCCACGTTAGATCTCAAGCAGACAATAGAAAAGGGAGCCACCCGTCCCCAAAAATACATCAACGACACACACAAACTCTGCATACAATGCATACAGCATCAGATCGTGCTTTGTGCAAGATTGTGTTTGCGCTGGTTGCTTAGAAGAGCACTCCAAAGTTCGTAGGGTTTGAACTTTGTGTCTAAGTGGCAGTCGGGATGGAAGAGTGTGCGGCTTTGGGATCTTTATTCTTTGGGTCTGCCTGTCTACTGATTTCCCGGATACTAACGTGCTCAAAAAAAAATGATCAGTCGAATTGTGATATCCTACTTGTGCAATCAACCCCCGGATTCCTCTCATATCTTCTTTATTTTGTTCTTGACTTGGTGCTACTTCATCCTCATTAACACTTGCAAGACCAAATGCGAGGAAACATATATCGAAAGTAGTGACGTCAAATGGTCCTATAAATTAAAAATAGCATCATCAGCAAGATCATTTTTTCGTTCATCTATCCCCCATCTTCTATGCCTCCTCACAGATTATTCATACTTCTTACTATGGAAGTCTGGAACTGGTAGTCCGTGAATACGAAAGGGGTGATAATGTGGGGAACAGTCGATGAAAGGGGAGCGAATTGCTTATCGCCGACGGTAATGGGTGTGGTGGAGACAACCGTAGTATCCAGAGATTCGTGGTACACAATTTCGATGCGGTGGTGGACATTATCAGCGCAAGGGAAGGTGTAAGAAGACGAGGGCGGACGAAAGGAAGAACGAGGCGAGTGGACAAGGAAGACGAAGGAAATGTTACATTGTAATGTCTTGTTTAATAAAAGGGAGTTATTAACTGAGGAACTAGACTACGTATGAACTACCTATGTATGTGTGTTCAAGGGATCTGGCGGAGCCCATAGTTCTTTCTAGGTCTTTCTGTAGAACTGTATCGTCTGAATGGTCAGAAAGGCGATTAGTCAGCGAAAGCCATTCAGTGATCAGTTGATCCCAAAGTCAGTGGCGATAGAAAGATCTAGAAGTTAGTGGCGTTGGTCATGTGCCAGTTATCAGAGTAAAACTCTGACAGAAGGCCATGCTGCTGAGAATATGGAGAGGTGCTATGTCATCATGGGCTTTGAATAAGGCTGAATGGGTGGATCTGACTGCATCCGAAAATGCACCAGAAGAAATGGTTTTGGGGACAATGTATGCCACAGCTCTTGGGTTCACCAGGTCGCCCAGGCGAGCTCCCTTTGGTGCAAGAGCGGCAGCAGCAAGGTGATCCTCAACACTTGTGAATGAGAAGTTTATTGTTACTATGGGTTCCAGCTGCCATGGAGGCATAGGAGGGAGATGGTGGAGACTCGATTGAGGGCAGGGGTTGAGAGGGTGGGTCGCCATCTCCGTGTTGGTGTTGATGTTGCTGTTGGGTTGGCATTGTGGAAAAGGTTTTTTCCCATCAAGCAAGAGACAACATCGAGGAACATACTGTTGCAAAAAGATGTGGTGGCTAGGCAGTGGCGGCGATGCCTTAGGTTAGCAGTCATATTCTTTAGTAGACATAGTATTAGTAGTGCGCCGAGCCCTCTTGTCTGCTCTTTGTCCTTTTACACATCACTTGGACGAGAGCAGTATTGACAAGAGTTTCGCTGGCTCGCTGCAGGTAACAACCCCCTCTTTAATAATATGAATACAAGGTCCTTTTACACATCACTTGGACGAGAGCAGTATTGACAAGAGTTTCGCTGGCACGCTGCAGTGTATCGTTTTGTGTGATTCTTTTAGGACGCTATTATCACTTCCCCTCCCTCCAACCTACAACCCCCTTCCCCCCCTCCTCCGTACCAATTGAGGACCTAACAGCGGTCCTACAACTCTGGCCGTCGACCCTCTCCCCTGAGTAACAATACCAAGGGATGCAGGAAAATGATTAAGGGGTACTGAAAAAGAACAAGGAATGCTAGAAGGGAAAAGGACGGGAAAAGATCAAGTGACAACACCAAGAGACAACATCAACGGACAATACCAAAAGGACAGCATCAATGGACACTATCAAGAGACAACAAAGGAGGGGCTTATGTAGGGAGGTGCTGGCGCGGTGGAGTCTTGTTGTAACTATGGATCACGTCTTACTGAAATGGATCGAGCTAGAACTAGGTTCTAGGGGCAGAACAGACTTAGAGAGGAGCAGGAGGTTCGCATATATGAGGTCGTAATATATTAAAGAATGAAAAGGGAGTAAAATAATAGAAAAAGAAGGTAAAAAGGAAGAAAAGGCAGGGGTGATGACAGTGAAGTACACCCCTGATAATTGAGCTCTTTCTTGCTATCCGAGGCGAACCATGTCATCTATGAGCGTTTTTCACTGTTGCGCGATGTATCAGCCTATGATAAGCATATTTGTTGATAGCAGAGGTCGGGCGGAAACGCTATCAGGGCGATCAATGGTTCTATGTGTAGAGCATGATTGGCGCACATAGAGTCAGTGGAATAGTTGAATAGCTGATAAACTCTACTGGTAACGATGATTCTTGAGGGAAACAAGACACAGGGCGAGGGCACGCCTGATGGCAGTAATGTCGAAAAGTGGTTGTAACTGCGTGATAATTAAGTCGTAAAACTAAACGTGGGTTAAAAACTAAAAGGAAAAAAAAAGCTCAGGAGCCAGCGCGTTTCTCGTCTCCATGTTATTGCTTCTACGACCGCTAAAACTAGTCAAAAAGATGTCACTAAAAAGGCTGCAACGACCAACCCTCACCTGCTTCACCACACTAGGGATGGATTTATATATTAGCTTTACCACAGTCAGTATTATCGCTTCCTCTGTGGCTGAAAGAGTTAGTAACTCCCACCCAACATTCTACTACTTGAATCCTTCCTTAATGGGCTGTGAACAATTTAACATTATAATCGGTGGTGCAATAGTACCGAGCCCTTCCTCTCATATAAATGGACACCTAAACGGATTCCTTCTCCCTTGGCTTAATTCCACCTCTTTCGACAATAAAGCCCCTCTTCTACTTCATCACTATCATTCCTATTGCAGATGGGCTGACGAGACAAGATAAAAATTCTTTATTTCGTGGACAGCCCCTTCTTCAAAAAGAACTCCTGTACTCAGACCGCATTCTGGATTCGGTACTCATTGCTCGACTCCCGATCTATTGCCAGCCGCGATGAATGTCACCAACGGCTGCTTGCCTGGTACAGGCAAAGTCTCCGTCCTGCCGGCCCCGATGGCGTAAGCAGTCTTGACCCCGCCATTGTAAACGTACCAATCAGTCCAGCTTTTGCAACTCAGGACGAGATGCAAATTATCCAGATGGCGTTCGGCGTTGAAAACCGGAAGAGCCTGAAGAAACAGAGAACTGCTGTGTCCAGTCCCGGTCATGCTCATAGGGTGGAACTGCAAGAACTCCACGTTGGGGAGGGCATTGGAGGCGACCCAGAGATCACCCCACGACAACGGTCCATCCCAGGTAAGGGAGTTGCCTTTGGCCTCGTCGTTGAGGTGCAAGTGCACGGAATGCTCGTAGACGCGCTGCACACGCAGAGCCATGCCCAAGATGATCTCCTTGATGACGACGTCGCCGATCGTGCCTTTCTGCCTGATCTCCTCCTTCACCTCTGTGAACTTCTTGTAGTTTGCCTCCACCTTAGTGGTAGTCGAGACCTCCGCCTTAACGGCCTTCCAGCTGCCACCAATGGACATGGTGAAGGATGCCTCGAAGTGGCCGTAGATGTCCGACGTCTCGATCGTTGTTGAATTCTTCTCGTACTCGGTCTCGAAGTGGTTGTAGGGGATAGTGCCCTTCTCGCGGACGATAGGGACCCATGCAAGCGGCTTGTAGGCTACGACTTCACCGGTGATGTCCCACCACGAGCGGGAGGTGGACTCGCTCCTGGAAGAGTTCCAAGTGCTATTGAGACGCGGAACGATGAGGTATTCGGGAAGCTTCCCCATTCGTGCGGCTTTCACGCCGAAGTAGCGTTTGAGTTCGGCCGCGGAAAGGATGTAGTCGCCTTCACATCCAGAAACAGGGACGTCGATCATGTTGACATCATTATCATCGTAGTAGAGGGCTTGGGTGCCGATTGATTTCTTGATGCCGGTGAGAAAGTTCATAGCAAAGTCGGTCAGGAGGAAATCGAGAGTGTTCTTGTGATGCTTCTTGCGAGAGTTCTTGTGGGGACTCGTGTGGGGGTACTATGGGAGTCGTTGCTAGGGAAAGTTCGTGCGACGGTTCTTAAGAGTGTTGTTGCGAATCTGGAGTCGTGAGGAATGGTTGGTTGAGTTTTTATGGGACAGTCTAAAAGAACGATTTCCTTATATACGTGACTCAAACTCGTCTCCTTGAGCCCCTGGGGTCTGGTGTCTCTCAGAGCACTGCGCCTATGGGCCAAGGTACGCAATTTTTTCGATCTCGTTTCAACTACAATGATTACATGGCCGCACCCCGCTCTACATGTACCCCTATCTTGTTCGCTTTCAAAGAAGACAGCCAAGTGGCGCATCAAACTTTTTACAAGAATCCACCTAGAGAGGTACAGTATCATAGCTCGACTAGTAGAAGCAGAGGAATCAGAGGAGTGGGATGGTGGATCCTGACTACAGTAAAAACAATAATAATAATGCTATCCTGGGACGGTCAATACATTTTGCACCATCATGCGCATGAATTCTATTTGCTTGTTCAGGAGCCTCGATGTTCTTGCATTTGCTACCTTCCAATGAGGTATAAAAAAAATAAGCAGCTGCAGTGCACGCTCCCTGTCTGAAGACTTTTCGACTGTGATTTTCTGTTTGTCCCCTGAAAAGGATTTGACTTGGGAACACGCTGTGACCTATCAAAGACGCAACCATTGCTCCTATTTTTCATCACAGATGCAACCCCATGCAACCACCCCAACAAATAAAAACAATGTGCATCTACCCCTATACCAAAACCAAGTAGCAGTGACGCACGCACCTCTCACAAAGAAAAACCATGCACGCCTATCATAGATGCATATGCTTTCAAAGTTAACACCGCGCCTCGACCTCTATCAGAAAGATTGCGCACACCCCTATCACAGGGGCGAAGGCACCTCCAAGTCAGAACCCGTGCTCGAACGCGACGATTACCGCCTTTTCCGATTTTTAGTTGAGTACGAATAGAGACTCGCGTCGGGGGTTTCCTGAGTCATACTACGCGGGGTTATCTTGCAGAGCGGAAAGGCTTTGAGGTTCCTGCTAGTGTTAATTTCAAATATTGGAAGAGATAAATCCATTGTAGACGACTTTAATTGAACGGGGTATTGTAAACAGTAGGCAGTAGAGTAGCTTTGTTGCTACGATCTGCTGAGATTAAGCCCATTGTTCTATAGATTTGTTCGAAAGAACAACATCTCCTCTCTCTCCTTCTACCCTTTCTTTTTTTTCTTTTCTACTGCTATGTTTAAGGGCATTAGAACATATGCGTAAAAAGAACTGTAGTCTAGTTCTTCTTTCGATCTCTTTTTTACACCGCCCGCGCACGCACTTTTCTCATTTTTGCTGCTTTTTTGCCTGTGATTCTACTTGCCCGGGGACCTGTAATTCTTTTTTGTTTGGCCCTTCGAATCTTCTACCTCTCTCACTGCACTACTTCTACATCTATTCATACACACAGCGAGCGAAAAAGCCCGGAACTTCCTCGCCGCACTAGCTATGGGCTCACTCATACACATAGCGGGCAAAAAGTCCAGAACTCCAGCTGTTTTTTCGACTTGGGCTTTTTGTCTCTCTGACCGCACTAGCTACTGGTCCACTCATACATATGCTGATTGAAAAATACATAACTAAGCTACGGCCATACATAACTAAACCCACCGCATCCCGTCTGATCTGCGCAGTTAAACACTTGATGGCATTGTCAAAACTATGGTGGTGGACCACATGGGAATACTCGGCTGTAACTTTTCCTCCCTTCTTCTCCTTATCGTGTCTAATGCGATTGGATCGGTTGTTGCCCAGCATTCATGCAGTAGGTTCCCAACAACAACCATAGCCTCTGGCTTCCATACATCTACTCATTGCACCTATTTGGTATCTGTAGAGTTTGCTCATTTTATTTTTGTAGATACTCCATCCAATCCTCGCCAGTCCTCGGTTACATACTATGGGTTGATTAAAAATAAAGAGGGGATTAGCAAGGACAATCTTTAAAAGGCATGCATATTTGAACCATTGAATAGGGAATACAAACTTACAATCTCGCTGATCACTTTGTCTTTGTTGAGAGAAAGCTCGTTGGCCTCTTCTGCCTGGCAGTCGCAAAATGCAACGGCAGAAAATAGTTCTCAGTCTACACATCCAACTCTCCGAGCTCGAATATCGGCCCATCATCGCCATGATCTTCGCGGATTATCTTCAAGACTTCGTCATCATCTCTCAGCCTGTTTACAATGAACCTCGAATGGCACAAGTTGATGATGTACTCTCGAGCATCTACGTGGAGCTTGTACGAGAGCCAATTGTCGTTGTTGGTGTATAACTTGATGGTAACGATGGCGTATGGAACAAGAAAGGCGATGGTGACCAACAGCAATGGGATTGCCAACACCAACTTGATAGAGATGGCGGGTGTGATGATGCCGGCTTGTTCGTACCCCTTGATCATGCCGATTGGTCGCGTTTGGGAGACCGCCATGGCGTAGCAAGTAGCAACGTAGCTGAGAAGGTCTCCATTCTCAAATATGGATGACATGGCATCCTGCTGACGAAATACCGCTTGCAGCTCTCGACTATGGTTCCCCAACACCCTCAAATTGGCATTCAAGTTGGTTAACACTGCGCTAAACAAGAGGGTGGAGTCAGCGGAGTTTACTTGCCGTACGTTGCTGGCGATGGAGAGCTCGAGTCGACCGGCTTTCCCTGCGCTTTGAGCCCGGAAGGTGAGATCTATGATGGCCAACCAACTTTGGTAGGCAAATAGCCCATAGTAAGTTGTTCTTGTAATGTCGGTATTGTTCCCTCTCGTCGCACGATCGCGTGCTTCCTGGATGGACTGCACGTTGCCGAAGCCGTCTATGGACGACGTGCCAAGTAGCAAGGCAATCCCGGCAGTGGTGTTCGTTGACAAGTAGAATGGCTTTACTTTAAAAGTACCGTTCGTGGCGTTCGCAATATCGTCGCCGAAGGACCATCCATCGTAGACTTCCGTATAGTTACTTGCCTCTGTTACTCCTGCCGACAACAAAAAGGAGGTGCCATTCGCGTAATCAACTCTTAGCGCAGCTCCGTATATCTGCACAGTGTCGTAGATGCCGGTAAATTCCACTCGTCGACTCAACCTCTCCAATGGAACTTTATGGATCTCTGGTGGGAAGTTTGCCGCGGTAAGCCGTCTCGGATTGCCCGCCCATGGCAAACCCGACGCGATGGTGTTGTTGAGGCTTTGCAGCACAAAGTTGTTCATCGACGAAAACTCTCTGGTCTCTGCCGGGAGGATGTTTGTGGCGTTGTCGTACCCTTCCAATGGATTCTGCCCGAATCCCGTAGAGAAGCATCCAGTGCTGGTGCAGAAGTCTGTGGAGATATTTTTGGTGCTGACGACAAGGCCCGAGAAAGTCTGGCCCAGGATGCCAATGGTCATGAGCAACAAGACGGCAAACATCGGAAATCCACCAAGAAGGTTGAGCAATCCAAGCACATCCAAGTACGATCCAGCACGAGATGTTGCCATAACGTACAACTTGCCCCTATTCTTAGGGAAATGCTTGTACAACCAAACGGTCACTCCCTCTCTGGCGCTTTGGATGATGACGACGAAGAATCCACCGACGACAGCCAGAAGCATGCTCGTGACAATGCCCCTAAGGACATCATCCTTGATAACGATTTCGATATCCATTACAATCCAGATGTGTAATAAGAACAGAGGCGAGGTGACGTGAACAAGGAAGAGACAAGAGAGAAAGGCTAGGAAGAGTGGAAGGCTAGGAAGACAGGAAGGCTAGGAAGAGAGGAAGGCTAGGAAGACAGGAAGGCTAGGAAGAGTGGAAGGCTAGGAAGACAGGAAGGCTAGGAAGAGAGGAAGGCTAAGAAGAGAGGAAGGCTAAGAAGAGAGGAATGGGCAAAAAAAGATGCTGTTTATTGCAAGAGGGGTATTTATACTAGTGTACATGAGGGTTGGTGGGGGCATGGTGAGAGATGACGAACATGTTTATCTTACTGTAACAAAACGGCCTAGACTTCAAACTCGACTGCGCAGCGGGAAATTTTCTTTGCTTCTCCGAGGAAGTGACTGTACTGTTTGTCAACAAATACGTCGGAGGGAGGTGAAAAAACAGATGGGCTCTCCTCTCGCTTCCAGAGTAAAAGAGAAAAATGTCGGCTTTGGCGCGAGTGTCAACAATAGCGGAGTTAATACGAGATTGGCGTAGTGTTGCAAGGCGTGCTTCTGTAGGGCATGGTATGTCAGAAGGTGTTTGAAAAAGAAAACAACCATGAGCCACGGCATGTACTCCTTGACACGCACTGATCCTGACACATCACTAGACTCCTGCTCTTTACTTCTAGGCTCGACATTGTCCACTCTGATGCTAATACGCCTTTGATCCTGTCAAAACCTCCCATAGTAGTTAGCCTACGACACAGCATGTTCGCATTGAACGAGACCAACACAATAACAAAGAAGGAAAAAGATAGACGTTAGGGCCATTTCTATCACACCGATCACCAACTATGGATGCTCAGTTGCTCACAAAGAAACAAAGCTGTAATTATAGGGGAACGAGGAAGAACAAGATACTTTGCTTCAACAGTCCGTCACGACCACGCGTGTCCATCCCCCCTCCTCCTCTTTTCAAGTCTCGCCAAGAATGCAACAATCTGCTGGCACGACCGCAAAGGGCACGCGGCAACAGACTGAAACTCTCCTCCCCGACTAACGCGGCACAGATGTGAATCCGTTGGCCACGCTCCATCTCAAGGAGGCTTGACCTAACATGACAGGACTTCCATCGTGACCTACGCCTGCACTTTATAGATTACCATTATGAGATGCCGAGCAGATGGCTAGAATAGAATAGAGAACATCAGAGGGAAGACACACAATGGCAGGGGTTCGTGATAGTAAAAAGAAACGCCATCTTTATTTCCCTGCTAGATAGGAAATAAATGAGTTCCGTCAGTGTGTTTGGGATTAAGGTTGTGCGCGTACACAACAACACCTCTCTTTCCTTCGACACATGTGCCAGCGCCAACCACTTTGGTCTGTCTTTTTGTTTCCCATTCATACGACGCAAGGGCTACAACCCTGCTCTATTGTACCAGTCCATCGTCTCCAAAATTGCTACCAACGGATGTCGAAGACTTGATGTCCTCGGAACATGCTACCTGTGTCATTCGAAGCAGTTACTCCAACAATCCTCCAGATGTCGCGCACCATATGCTCGAGAAGGAGGTCTGCTGGATATGTCATTCTATATCGACGGCTATCAGGCAGTGGAAAAGAGTGACACAGCCGCCGAGCGAGAAGAAGTACGGAACAGAGCACTAGAACGCACCGCCACAGCCCTGGACACACCCGAGTCCTGTCTGGACAACGGTCTCCGCATTAGAAAACGGGTCGGGACTGGCATCATCTTTTTACTGGTCTCAGGAAAGTCGCCTGGAATTTGCACAGCACATGCAGGACGCGGGCTGGACTGTCAAAGTTGCGATGCGGAGCCAGACGACATTATCATCTCTGGTGACTCCGATATGCTTGCGTACGCCTCCATCCGAACTCTATAGCGTCCCGTATCCGGAGGTCTCATCCTCGTGTACACCGTTCCAGATCTTTTGAAAGCTCTTGATATCACCCGTTCCCAGTTGACCGCTATGACGGTTGTGAGTCGCAACAACTATGAAAGGAATATTCACTCCCTTGGCCCGGGGGCTAATTTTTCTATTATCAAGTCTATCAAGCGTGCAGGTAATGATCAAATGGAAAATTGCTATCCCTTGATATTCTTGGCTACCTTTTCATATGAAATCCTGACTGTGCTCATTGATATCTTGCGTTTCTTAATAGACCCGAAGGACATCGTCTTGGCTTATCGATCTGACATCCGGGTTATCTCAAAAAACACCAACAATCAGGACTTTGCCATCTCGATCAGAGTCTTTGTGGATCTCCGACAAACCAGGGTTGAAAGTGATGGATCCCGGCCCGGTTCTCAGATCCTGTTCGGGCAACTACAAGGCCGATTTCATGATTTCTGTACGCGATGTGACCAATATAAACAGAGTCAAACGCGGGGAGTTCAGCCTAGGTAACTATTTATTATTGGTCCTATCTAGATCAAGCTATATACATGAAGTGCATCTCATCATGTTTGTATTTTTCTTAAAATAATTGATAGGTCCTCCGACGATACTATCGCATGATTGCGAGTTCCGAGATCTTTTAATCGGTATCGGACAATCGAATCCCCAGCACCGGTTTCCAGGGACTCTGAACCCTTCCCTCAACAGCCACCCACTGCTAGTTTGGAGCCTATAGCTCGTTTTCGGATCCGCAAGATCAGAGTCATCCACCGTTAACCAGAACACGGATACCTCGACATCGTCAGCGATTTTCCTTCAAGGAGCGACTAGGGAACGTGGCTCATGAGCCCTCACCCAAGGCCAAGCAATTGGTTTGGAAACCGCCCAAGAAGGCTCCCGAGTCCCCCGACGACACTTCCACCAGCAGCACCAAGAAGGACAGCAAAAAGAAGGATGGGAAGGCTAAGAAGACTCGAAAAAAGCCGCCATCCGATGAGAGATCGAACTCGTACGCTGAGAAGGGCAAGCAAAGTTTCGTGAGGTCTCTCGGCTGGCACCATCATCCCATATCATAGCTGGAAGTCGGTACTTTGAAGACAAATATCGAACGAGTCTTGTCGGATCGGCCTGATCTACAGCTCGAGGCGACCAACTGTATCAAAGTCAAGGCCTCATTGGTGGGTTTCTGGAGAAGTTGCGGACTCGTATGAAGGCAGCGGAGGAGTCTAAGCGACAGGAACTGAGGAAAGCAGGCAAGACCACGTCGGAGTCAGAGCGGCTGGAGGTACGGCGGGATGCGGTGACGATGGACGAGCGAGACCCTTTGGACTATCTGTGTGAGAGGGTTGAGCTCAAAGTCAACAAGTGTGGTGACGACGACGTCGACGACAGTCAGGAGGATTCAGACGACTTGGATACAGAAGGAAAAGGTAACAAACACGTCCAATTCCTTCAGTCTTTCCTGACCTACTTGTACTCAAGGAACCTTCATCAGCTTCTTGGTAGGGCTTCAACTCTTCGACATCTGTAGAAATCGAAACGAGCTCAACGAAAGAATGCTGTTCACGGCGAACTCTTTGGTGCGGTCCGTCGCTGGACAGCTCTCAGTGGAACTGAAGAAGATGTATAAAAATGGCACCCACCTTTTGTATGATCAGGTAAGGATACATGGGCTATTAGCAAGAGTGGGCTGAAGTTCACTGCTACAAAATATATAGCTAATGCTTCTTAACTTTTTCGCTATAGGTCAAGACCTTGAAGGACAAGGGACGACTAGAGGCCCACATCGATATCCGGATTCTGGAAAACATCTCGGCCGCGGAAAACTACCTTACCCTCAACGAGCTCATACCGAACAGCTGGCGACTCGCTCCCACCACCCCCTTGCAGCAACCGTTTGTGACATTTTCGGAGCGAGAGCTGGCCCTCTCGGACGATGACAATACCGCCCTCGCATCTGTTAAGGATCTCGAGGACTGGATCGGGGGAAGTGAGCCTGGGGTTATCATCTAGAACTTTATCTCCGTCATTGATTCTGTTGAGCTGTCAAACTGTCAAAAGAGCAAGGCCGTTCATCGCGGGGCCATCAAACTGCTCTCTTTGGATCAGATTCGGGATCATTTACAGTTGGTTGAAGAGACAAAGCCAAAGGACTATCACCGTGGCGGCTACATCCCTCAAGGATCGATACGAACGGACGGTTTCCTGGTCCAGGCTATGACCCTCAAGTTGCGTGAACGACAAGACGCTCTATTCAAAAGACTGGCCGAGGAGGATATGCCCTCAAGAATCACTACAGCCGTTGCAGGGGTTAACGGTTTCCTTCAAGAAATTCGGAATGTGATCAAGAGCGAGCAGGACATCAAAGAGCTTTGGCCTGGAAAGGACGTGGACAGGATGAAGATTTTAACCTTGGATGGGGGCCAGGCGTGTGTGGTTGGAGTGTTCGCACATATACCCAATGACTTGGATGGCAAGAAGGCTGAGGAGAGGTCCAGCATGGACGGAATCATCACCACCAACCAGGAATCGACCAGCCTCGCCAGCCAAGGGTCAGCGTCCGTGGATCCAGTGCCCGCATCAGCCTCCACCTTCACCTCCGCGCAACCTCATGTAACGGATTCGCCCCTGACCCTATCGAGACCTGCCTACTATAACTTGGCAACTTGGCGGTGAAGCAGATGGCCGTATATCAGCCATCATTTCGCTTCAGAAGGTGGCTCGAGAACAAAAAGATGGCTACACCACAAGGTGACGAGGAGAAGTCCATTGTTTACATCGGAACCCGTCCGCCACCCCTTCGAGGACAAGGTGCGAGCGTTGTGAGTATGTGAGAGAGCTGGAGCAGGTCGAGCAACGGCTGAAAAGGGTCTATAGGGAGACGACCATCGGTATCAGAGGTATCATTGGGATATGACGCGGGTCCGACAAGCAGAGTATCAAACCATCGCGGAGAGACTGCTTGGGATTGTTGGTGGATGATTTACTACTGCTTGTTTTAATTCTCATATATCTTTTTAATTAGGAATGGATGTGCCGTCCATGGTGGAAGTGTATCTGACCGACAGCCGCGTCGAATTCAAGAACAAGGACAAGCTAAACTTTGCCTCGTCGATCCGAGTTTTTGTCGGTGGAAGGCAAACACCAGTTCACCTACAACAAACGGCAGCTATGATGTTCCGGGTACACTGACGGTAGAGAAGGTCAAGGCACGTTTTGCAGAGGCCTGGTCGATCCACAGCCAGAGAAAGAGCGAGCTGGAAATGACCAGTCGAGCGAGCCAAACAAGGTACAGATCAACATTGCAATAATTTGTATAGCCATCGAAAATGCCATATCTCACGGTTGATTTTAATAGTCATCTTTTTTGAAAATAGTTCTTCGTCGAACAGGTCTACCCAGAGACAAAAATCATCACAGCACTTCAACAGATACCGGACTATCGACCGACCTCCACCCGTGGACCACAAGGATACCATGGATACCATAAAACAAGAGCGCCCAACAACCCTCGTACATCGGTGTCGGTATTCGGTCAAACCCCGGACAAGGAAAAATCAAGCACGAGCCTCCACCCGTGCAGACGGAGTTGGAAGTAGCAAAAGCATCTCATCCAACACCGATGCCAAGCCCAAGTCAAGTCAACCTCGGCAGTCCAGGAAGCGCAAGGCGATCGATGACACTCAGGCCCCGACCCGGTTGTCGAAGCGCAAGGCTGTGGAGGAAGCGAAACTATTGATGTTGCACCCACTCTACATAGTGAAGATTGTGGGGCAGTAGGTGCTTGGGTTGCGTCTACAGTGACGTAATTTAGGCATCCGGGAGCAGGACAATGGACGCCATAATTCTCTTGTTGACTGAAAGAATCTATGTGATCTTTCCTAATATGGATCGAAATTAACTCTCACAAGACTTTACTGGACTACTATGAAATGACAAAGCTGTTTCTTCCTCACCATTTTCCTACTCTTACTACCTCAGCAAACCGACTATCCTCATCAACATTCGTTTCTTCCGACCCCAAAAGCACAAGCCCCAACACCATGGGGCTCTTCGACTGGTACCCTTTCATTCGCAAGAAGGGCTACAACCCTACTGTTCTATACCAATCAGTCCTAGCCTCCCTGACAACAGGCACACGTCGCTTTGATGTGATGGCCAACTGCTTTCCCGTCATCCAACAAGCCTACTCGAACCAGAACTTGCCTCCCGATGATGCGCACAGGATTTTGGAAAACGACATTAAACGATTTGGCGACCCACTCAACATGCGTTTATACATTGACGCGATCAGGCAGAGGAAAAAATGGATACAGCCAAGGCACGAGACGCAAAGCGACACAAGGCCCTGAACCGGACGGAAAAGAGCATCAAGGTTTTCGAGGAGAGACTGAACAGCAATTTGAGGGTCAGGAAACGACACTTCACTGACGTCAAGGCTGGACTCAAGTCGTCTTTTCACTGGTCGTTGAGGAGTCGCCAGGAGTTTGCCAACTACATGCGGCACCGCGGTTGGACTGTTATCGTTTGCAGGACGGAGGCTGATCTTGCTATTGCTATGGATGCTCAGGGCATTGACGTCATTATCTCGGACAGTGATATGATGGCGTATCAATCAGTCACGACCCTCTGGCGTCCAGTCTCCAATAACCTTATCCTCGTTTACAAGATTCCCGATGTCCTCGCAACTCTTGGTATCTCTCGGACGCAGCTGACGGCGCTCGCGGTAGTATCTCGAAATGACTATCACAAGAACATCTACTCGCTTGGGCCAGTAACCAACTTCAGCATTATCAAATCGATTGGATCAAGACCAGGTAATATCGCGTTGAAATTGAGTGGCGACTTCTTTTTTTTGGCATTCTCAGCCAAATATTTTACAAAGCTGGTTCTCATTCTGATTACTTTTTTTTTTTTTTTTTTTAAAATAGACGCCCGAGAGATTGTCACTGCCTACCTTACCCACGGCCAAGTCGTGGTGAAAAACACGAAAGAGGAGACATTCGAGAACTCGATCCGGGTGTTCATTCTTTTACAGCAAGAGCCAATCCGGCCTTTAGTCCAAGAGTCGCAAGCCTTGCAGCTCTTCCGTGTACTGCAGCACAGGTTCAACGAACTTTGCATCAAGCACCAATCCATAAAAAATATTCGAGCGGCAGGAGTCAAAGAGAGGTAATTGTACAATGTATTTTTTGAGGATTTTTGTACTTTGCGGAGAGTTATTTATGAACTACAGTTCTCATCATGTGCTTTTGTTGGTATGTAATAAATAGGCCCAAGGATGACATTGTACGGCTACCCTCGCCAAAGACCTTCAACCGGTACCGGACGGTCGAGTCACCCGCTGCTATCTCCAAGACAAAGACCGTCACTACACCGCAACCTGCGCGTGGTCCTTCACAACAAATTTCTTCTGATTCCAGTCCATCTCAACAGTCTACTTCTGTGATGTCTGCCCCAGATGCTGACGGCCATCCACCCTTATCAAGGACACGGATCCCGCGGAACCGAGGACGATTCTCGTTCAAGGAGAGAACCCGCAAGGTTGTCCATGCTCCACCTCCCAAGGCTAAGCAATTCAAACTGAAGTTTTACCAAGAACGACCGGAGACTGTCAACCCCACCCCAGCCAAAAAGACGACGTCAAAGGCCAACAAACCACCACAACCCAACATGAAACCGATCGCCGACAAGGACAAGAGTGGATTATTGCGATCTCTTTCTTGGCACCATACTACCGCATGGCTGGAAATTGGCACCTTGGAGGCGAATGTTGGACGTGTATCAGGAGATGGAGCAACACTCGGAAACCCGGAAATCCCACTGAATCTTAACATTGTGCAGCAGGAAGTGGTGGATTGCCTACAGGAGGCTGTCCAATCAGCAGCAACTGTCAAACGGAATGCCCAGCGGCTGATCGGAGAGTTTGTTGAGACATTGGCTGTCAGGATGCACGCCGCAGAGGAGACGAAGAGGGCAGAGTTGCAGAAGCTCTCCCCGCCAATGACCATGACCAACGTCGAGCGTCGCAAAGCCAAGCGCGATGCTGTCACAAAGGACGAGCGAGAAATCCTTACCCATCTATGTGTGCGTATCAAACCCAATGCTGCCGACAAGGAGCAACAGGATGTTGAGCAGAAGGAGGAGGACAACACCGACCTGGACGACAAGGGCAATCTCGAGCAAAAATTTCTGCGGCCTTTCCTGGCATATCTCTATTCCGGGAACTACCCGAGTAAAACAAGAGTGGGTGTCGTTGTGAACAAGCTCATTGACTGGTTGACAGATCACGGGTTCCATCACCCTATTCGGGCTAGGAGAGACCTCAACGAGACTATGCCGTTCACCCCTTCCATGCTTGTTCGCTCTATCTCAGTACAACTCGCAGTCGAATTACAGCGGATCTATGGACATGGCCCCTATGACCTTCACAAGCAGGTATGAATCAAAGCATCAGTACCTACTTATTATGTATTTCAATTTAAATCACAAAGTTAACATTCTCACTCTTGTTTTTCATTTTTAGGCCACAGCTATGGTGGCGAAACATTTATTGCCACCAGAGGCTGACATTGGTATACAGGACGACATCTCCGCTGTTGAGAACTTTCTTCAACTAAATCGAATCACTGGCAACAGGCGTCGGATCATCCCTCTCACCTCGTTCGAGTTACCATTCGTGTCGTTCACTGAGCCTGAGCTTGCTTCGTTTTTCTGGAAGAGAGAATCGCTCAAGACGCGACTTACGGATCTGGTTGCAGAGGATGGATCTCCTGTCAATACCTTATTCGATATCACGAGCTGGATCGCTGGCAAGGGTCCCGGGATCATTATCAAGCAGTTCATTGCTGATGTCGCGCCTCAGGTTAAAACGAGCCGTCAGCGGAGGAAGGCCGGTCATCGCGGGGCTATCAAGCTTCTCACCTTAGAACAGATCAAGTCGCATTTGACAGCTGTTCAGGACAAGTGGGTCGATCCGATCAATTACGCCACAAAAGGATACATCCTGCGTGGCTCCATTCGCACGGACGGATTCCGGCTTCAACTTCCGGCCTACAAGCTCCGTGAGTTGCAATCAGTACGGTACCGTCGGTTGGAACCTACCAAGCTGCCACCCAAGCTGACGTCTACGGTTGGAGGCACAGACTACTATCTCCAAGAAATCCGGCGTGTGATAACCTGCAAGGAGGATATCGAGAAGCTTTGGCCAGGTGTCCCTGTCGAAAGGATCAAGACTTTGACATTGGACGGTGGACAAGTATGCGTTATTGGTGCCTTCGCGGATCTTGCAGAGGACGTGTTGAGCCAGTCTAAGGGCATGGATAATGCGAACGAGTCATCTATGGAAGACGTCACCACCACCACCACCACCACCACCACCACCACCACCACCACCGTCGCCACTACCACGCCACCGACAATCAGCAATCGATTAATGCAACTACCTCCGTATCGACCAAAGTCCCCATCCCGTTGCCACAGTCACAAGGGTTACCTACCTTCTCGTCCAGGACAACATTTCTGAACCTGGCTGTCAAACAGAAAGCCGTTTACCAACCTACGTTCAGATTCCGGCGCTGGCTTGAGGACGCAAAGCAAGAGCAGGTCTCTGTGGATGGACAGCAGGTATCGATATCCGACATCGAGTCTCGACTTCCGCCCCTCAAAGGCCAAGGCTCGAGCGTGATCAACTATGTACAGGAGCTGAAGCGGGTGGAGGAGTGTCTCCAGAAGTTTTATGCTGGCTCGGGAAATCTGTACAAGCGGCAGAAGTGGGACATGGAGAGGGCCCGCGATTATGAGTACCAGCTTATCGCAAATCGGCTCCTTGGGATCGTGGGAGGAAGTCTTGGCGAGCGATATGACCCATCAAATCCAGTTCTCATTGGCGTCGGTCTTGGGAACTTCTCTATCACGAGCGGACTGTCAGCCCTCAACTCGACCTTTCTCAGCTACTTCATTCAAAAGGTAACCATTGCCTTGAAAGTGTCCATTAGCGGAGAGTACCCCTTTATGGGTCTCCGTGTGTTAAAAAAACTAATACGTATGCTCCTTTGATTTTTTTTTTCTGGAATTAGGCCCGCTCTCTCGGTTACATTATCGTCGGTCTGAACGAGTACTACACGAGTAAGAAGTGCCTTCACTGCGGCCACTTTGTCGCCCAGGTCACTCTCCGCCGCTTCTACTGCCCCGAGTGCCAAGTGTATCATCATCGCGACGTTATGGCAGCCGAGAATATGGCGAACATTGTACGTGGATATCTGGAAAAGCAAGAGCGGCCTGAGTATCTACACCCTGTAGCCGCTGACGGCTCTCTCCCATGGATGGCAAAAGCCGGCGCTGGACCCGCTACAAGTTCCACCGCCGCCTCCTCCAGCAGCAACACCACCACCGCCATCAATCGACCAAAGGGATCGCGCAAGAGGGCAGCTTCGACCTCCAGCTCAAGTCGGGGTCGTCGTGGGAAGGTGGCTCAAGAGGATAAATAGAGCAGCTGCTATACATAGTCTGTGTGATGGTTCGCCCACACACATTAGTGCAGATAGGAGGGTGTGGGTGCACAGATGCGTCTTCGGTGACGTAATTTAGGCGCCCATTCTCCTCTAGTCAGGCATCCATTCTCAGACCTCTCATTTTAAAATTCCTGGTTGTCTTGTCCTTCCTAAACCGCCAAACCATTAAAACACTTCATTCTTCAATTGCATCCTCGAAACCAATTCGACCATCTCCTTCCTCATCGTAAGTTTTTACTTTCCATTAATTGCAACTCAAGCACGCCATCTTTCATGCACTCTTTGACTCTTATTCGAAACTGACTCTTTGGCTCTTTTCTTTCCCTATTTCCCTTTCTTTGATTCTTGACTTGGGTCACAGCGATCATGACGGTCAAGAAGATTCTCTCGAGGCGTTCTTTGGGAAAACAGGAGGACAAGGATTACCGACGCCAAAGATCCATTCGTATGAAATCACTCCCGGATGAAGATGCGGGTGTTGTCTTTTGGGAAGTAAGTTGAGAAGAAAAAAAGTCAGTTTCGATTTGCCCTCTGTGCGCAAATTAGAAAAAAACTTACACCTCTTTTGTCTTATTTCGCCCGCATTCATAGGACTTCTGCGACCTTCATGACTGGCCCAAGACGCCAACCACCGCAAACATACACAGATATATTGAAGTGTTTGTAAACGATGAGGAAAAGAAGATCAATCGGAGACGGGGCTTGACCAAGGGCGACAAGGGTTATCTCAGCGGTCATGACTTATTCATCAAGCCGGTCTTACGGTTCAAGGCTCGGCTTTTAACCGCTCAGAACGCGGCGGCGAATCCTGCTGTTGTGGTTCACGCGTCACCACCACCAAAAAAGCCATCGGATGGCAACGGCCAAGCAGACGATACACCCTGGGTTTCAACAAGCTCTAACAACAACAGCAACAACAACGACAATAACAAGAGACCTATGTCCGCATCTAAGGAGAGTCAGCCCGACATATTTGCTATCGCGGAAATCGCCTGGCTCGTTTCCAGGTTCTTGGACGCCGTAGATCTTGGTCGACTTTGTCAAACCAGCAAAGGCCTCCAAAATGTCTTTCACTCTATACTCTGGTACCATTACGTCTTTACGGAAGACGACTGCCTAACGGAGGCTCTTGATCGGAACATGGCGTACCTGCGTTCACTTGACCTGGAGGTTGGTCTCTCGGATCCCGAACTTTTCAAGGTCTTTGGACGATGCGATTCACTTACCCGACTACACGTCTGCGCCGATGACGATGATTTGGACGACTTTTGCGATGACCGCAACAAGAAGAAGTACTTGCATCCATTGATTTCAACTATTGGTCGACAACACCATCTGACGCAACTGGAGCTCAATACCCTGCTTGTGTGGCGATATCCAGAGACTTTCTTGCCAGCGTTCCTGGCCTTGCAACAATTGCAACTACTGCGTGTCTACATGTCCGTTAAAGGTCCAACGATTCCCACGGCTCTCCAGATGGTTATGGACCTACTGAACAAGCATCCGCGACTGGAGGCGATTCTTTTTGGAGATTGGTGCTGCAGTGAAGATTCCGATGACGAACGCAGTTATTATTCGGATGAGGATCACAGTCATTTTTCTGACGGGGATGAGGACGAGGATGAAATAGGAAATCAGGAGATGGATACTTTCAACGAGCTTGAGCGTCAGTTGAGGGCAGATGGATATCCTATGATTACCAAGTTGGAGCTACCTCCCCGCCAGTATCGCCCTTATCCAGCTACCTTTTTAGAGCCCCTTTTCCGCTCTGGCCTACCCAACCTTCGATCTCTCAGACTTCCTAGAGCAGAAACAACCACGGCCAGGGACCTTGGCCTTGTCATTCGATCGGGATGTCCAAAACTACAGCATTTCACTTTCTCACCTGGAACCGACAATTGTGACGCCTTCCCTGAGATATACAATGTTCTCGAAAACTGTAACGCGCTTTCATCGATATCGGTTACGTGTGCCTCAATGCTCAACAAACGATATTTCTGCCCGCATGCTGATACCCTAACGGTCCTGATCCTGCCATCTTTCAAGACGATCTCGAGCGCGATTCTCCACCAGGTTCTGTTGCGGTGCAGTGCGCTGAAGGTTCTCCGTCTCGAGAAGGGGTTTTCCGGTTATGCCACGGCCTATAAGGACATCGATTTCAAGACCGGACGATGGAGCTGCGCGGGTTTAGAGGTCCTGTGGCTGTTTGACTGTGTATTTTTTGGACCACGACGTGTGGGATCACCTTCGCAAGGCTACAAGGACTACACGGAATCGAGAAGGCACTTTTGGACTCAAGTCGGACATTTATCGAAACTGCAAGAGCTTGTAATCGGTAGTACGAAGGCGGCTAGCACTTCAGACGTGTACTGGACAAAGGAGCTGAGGCTTGGAGGTCCGATTAAAAAAGGGCAAGACGAGAAGGACGACAGTCGCGCGGCGGAGGAAAATCCGGGACTGTTGCACCTGCTGCGTGGACTCAGGAACCTACGTGTTCTACGAGTGCGGACTGACAAATGGCCGCGGTGGGTCTTGCCAGACCAAGCCGAGGTGGAGTTTATGGAACTGAATTGGCCGTGTCTCCGCGAGTTTTCGTATGTCAACAGTCACCATGGCGCTAATGGATGGTTGCTTGAGAATGAACCTCAATGGAAATGGCTCAAGCTCCGTCGGCCGGGACTTGTGGTCAAAGGATGTGTAAATTTGAACGAACCTGGTAGCCTCAAGCGTTCAAAACTAGCTAAACTGTATATTAATAATACGGGTTTTTATTAAAGCATTGCCCTGGTCAGTTTCTCTCTTTTCCTCGACCCCAGGATTTGTTGTACCCTTTCATCTCTTGCCTCCTCAGCATCGGTGTCGAATGTACGCCAAGGAAGATCCTCCACCGCCCTACCATCATTTTTCATCGCTTTCACCATCGCCATCTGCTGCTGCTCGTCTACCCATTCTCACCCTCTCTGCTCCTGTTTCTCTTTTCACTGGCAGCATCAACAAGTCATCGCTCAAGATGTCTTAGACTAGCATGTCATGAGGAATATCCTTAGCCATAAGAATATTATGGATGACAACGCAGGCCATGATCTTTTGATTGAGGCATCGCATGTCGATCTCCTCAGTGTGGTCCAATCGCAAGTTGATGAGGCAACGAAAGCGTCTTTGAGCTATCCAAATGCAAGCTCGATCTTGACCCTCGTCTCTTGTAGATTGATGTTGAAGAGGGTTCTTTCCGGAGGCTGTGCCAGGTTCTGGACAAGAACTGTGAGGGCTGGAGGAATAAGAAAGAGGAGTGAGGACTGGAGTGTTGAAATTGCAAGGCTGATGGTTTTTATTGCAAGATGAGGAGGAAGGGAACTAGAAGAAACTAAAGCTATTTACGTGAATTGGTAGAAAGAAAACACAAACAAGATAATTTAGCAACTCCTTCCACCAGATGCAGGCCAGGCTGTGAGATGATCGCCAGACGGTGCTGCTGGTCACGGGTGAGTTTCTGTTCGCAGTCGGCATCAATGGCGATCTCCTGATCTTCTGCTTTTCCTCCTTTAGTGAAGAGCGGCGCGATATTGCCGAAGATTGCCACGTTGGTCGAGTTCGGGCCATGTTTCATAAGACGTTCGGTAAGACAAAAGAACGTCGGCTTCATTCTTCTGTAGCCTTCGGTCGCTGTCGCTTCCCTAGGGGATATTGAGCATCAAAACATGCAAGCAAGCTTCTTCCACATCTGTTGTTGGTGTCGCTCTCCATCGAGGGATCGCCTCGTGACCTGCTTGATATGCTTGGTACTTTCGAGGTACCGGAGCTCGCATGTTCAGGTATATTCCCTTATTGATGGCGGCGTCGTAGGGAGGAGGAGGAGCCACTCTCCTGACAGACACCTCCTTGTAAGAGGATATGAACTCCGGGAACGTCAGGTACACAAACAATTCTCCCTGAGGCCTTTGGAGATATTGCTTCCAGAGATTATCAGCAAACACACACTCGTCTTCATCCTGTAGAGAGTTCGGTGCCCGTCTCGGTTTCAACAGATTCATCTCATCCTCCGGCCGGTGGGTTGGAAGAAACATCACGTTGTGGCTCTTGCGGCTAATGTTGAAACTACAGATCTCTAGACAGACCTCAGGAAGGGACATCCGGTGATAAAAAAAATTATATGCAAGAGTATGGAGAAGGCATATGTCATTGATTAGCATAGTCGTAGCAGCCATAATTATTCATTCAGTTTCATTCGCCTGTCATCATTTTTATATATGAAATTTTGAAGTACATTACAACAACAGCATAGCGATCGCCTGTACCACTTATTTGGAACACCTCGATCATCTTTCTGCACATCCACAACTGCAACCAGTTCATTCTTGCGTCGATCTTGTTCCTGATCTATGTATGTCAAAAAATGGCGAGGCAGAGAAACGGTTAAAAAAAACCACCGAGTTAATCCATTGGTACACCCTTTTTATTTTGTCCCGGCCGCCAAAAAAAAATCGTTGAAAACAATGTATGAATCACCCCCCGCAGCTTATCTGATGGTTGAATAGACCCTTTGTAGACTACCGCCGGTTTCTTGATGTATTTACAGATGTATGACAGAGGCTTGTCTCCTGCGTTCATCTGGATGTCGATGTTTGCCCTGGCCATCCGAAGAATATCTGGGCTGTAGTTGTTGACGTAAATGTCGTCCTGTGTACGGCGACAGTGCACTCTTTCACCCTTGCCTTGACGACTGTCAATTCACATTCATCCCGAGGGAGATCAAAGCGACAATCTGTCGCCAATTTTGAATGCATTTCAGGGCATCGGCCAACATCAAATTACTCTAGTTACTTTTGGCAATGACTTGAGCATTAATACCCTTTTCTGGGTTCAGGGTTCTGGCTCAGGCCTGAAGGATAGCTCGACCAAACTTGAGGTTAGCAAGTCAGCGTGGTTGATGCTGTCTGATTTTATTGTCATTTCTGTTTATTGTTTGTCGCTATTACATTTCTTAACAACCTTTCTCCTATTTCTTTTTTGTCTACATGATAAAACAGTGCTTTGAGTTTCCAGGGTGGATAGGTCTCGAATCGATCAAGGCGTACGTTTCTCGAGTGCGGAGGTGCCTGCTGAATGACGAATCAAGGCGGGTCCTTGACGAGAGTCTTCCGCAGGATGCACTCGACATGCTGTTCGACAAGTTTGTGGACCGCTATCGACCAGCCATCGTTCCCGTTCGTACGTACCCGTTTGTACCAATTGAGATGAGGACAAGGAAAAGGCCCAGAAAATGACCATGTGCTTATCCCAAATAATTTTTTTCCTTTTATCTCTAGGAGAAAATCGTGGAGCACAGCGATCATGGCTCATGGAAGACACTCATCAAGGACACGGAAGACAAGCTCGTTGCATGGGAGCACAGGACCATCAAAGGTAATCTCTGCCGCGAGCTCGACGGCATTGATTAAAAGCACAAAGACGCGCGCCGTGACAAGTCTGTGAAGACTGCCCTTGACATTCTCGGCTTCTACTTTTATAGGCGCTGCTTTCGGCGCGAACACACGCTCGAAGTCGACAGCGTCAATGCATCATTGGTAGAATGTGCATTTGGTCGGATCAAGATCGTCAACCATCACGCCGTCACCGTTGTCGGCGAGCACTTCGTTTTCAAGACGGTGGAGAACTACTTCACCGCGACGGACCCAGGTTTTCAAACGGCTCTCAAGGAGTTGATGGATCGGACGGACGCAGCCACTCAGGGAAACATCTTCGAGCGGTACATGATGACCGTTTTCAGCGAGACATTCAAATCGCGACGTCTCTCTGATTGACCTCATCAGCCCCCGATCTTGGAGATGTGCCCTGGCCTTGTCGGCGAGGTGGAGATTGTTGGCTGGAGAGAACCTGCACTCCTGCTATGTACGACCCATGAGATGATGTCGATGGAGGAGTTTATGGACGCACATGTCAACCACCATTCAACTCGCAACAACACGCCTGTCGCTCCGTTCTTCTTCCCCAAACACAAGCCATCGGGACCAGACATGGTGTTCGTCATCCGAATCGACGGTCGCAGGATGGTGTCTGTCTTTGTACAGACGAAGCGGCATCAGAGTTCAACCCGCCTCTACAAAGATGAGGCAGAGGCCACGGTTTCGGCGTCTTGCATTCGGGACCATGCTAAGGACTTCCGGAACTTCTGCCTCGACAGTCGACAATATCTACATCAGCATGGTCGTCGCCTTCCCCATGAAATGTTCTTCCAGCTTGCCACCAGTCAAAGTTCCCAAGGTGGACGCGAGTGGCGTTCAGCAGGTCGTGATGCGTGTCAGCGATACCAACTTTGGCCAGATCTTTCCCAAAGAGCATGTCAAGTTCATTGGCAGGCTCAAGAACGCCGGAATATTCCTGTGCACGAGCCATACAAAAAGTCTTGTGCTAGAGTTATGTAGATATTCCTGTACCCGAGTCGTGTAATAAGTCTCATGCTGGAGCCATGTAAATATTCCAGTGCACCTACATCATGCTTCATCTGCCTAAGTGTTTACCGAGTCTATTTTTTATCACCCACATCATGCAAGCACATGCCCGAGTGATATTTTTTCTTTTGTATTTTTTGCGAACCTTTTTTTTAAATGACAGCAGACCTGCCGATAGTGGACCACAGCGCTTATTCTTTGTTGTCTCCATCCAACATTCCAAAAAACATTGTCGGTAAATATCTTACGAATTCCTTTTTCTGTGCAACCAACAATACCCCCCTTTGCTAGCTCCCCCCTTAAAAGCAGTTAGAACGGGTTTGTATTGTTTTTTAATTTTCTTTTGGCCTTTAGGTTGGAATGCTCTCATTGACAGATGACCCAACCTTTTCTCTCTCTCCACAGGCATGGGGCAAAGGACGTGTTTGCTTTGCTCTCATTTTCTTTCTCCCTAACCTAAAATGACGGCAAACATACGATCGTTTCTGCACGATGGCTCGACTTTTCTCATCCACGAGGCTGACTAACAGGTGGCTGGTCAGGGTCCGATTCTTCAAGACCCAATCAATCCGGAATGTGTTGACCCAGACGGGGTTTCGTTGGCTTTTGCTCCCAAGGCCTCCGTTGTATACCCCCATCTGTAGTTCCAAGTGGTATAAAACTCATAGCCCAATGGGCTGGTTGGTCTAGACCACAAGCCTAATCCTTTGAATTTCGGACGGTATTGACTAAAGATTTTTCCAGAAAAGCCTGCACCTTCGTTCCTTCTTATGATCGTTTGTTTGGATCGCTTTGGCATGTTGATGTTGCCCACCAGCCTATCCAGACGGGTGTTTTCTCCAAGCAGTTGAAAAAATCAAGGCAAGAGGCTCGAGCTCGAGCTTACAGCCCTTCCCTACTCCACCCTCTTCTCATGGTGATTAATATAAAAGAGACTTTTTATCTGTCGGCTTTGCTTCTTAGCCCTTCATCTTAGCCCTTTCCTTTATTCGCTTCCCCTGGTTCTCTCCACGACTTCCTTCTTCCGCTCTATAATGAAGTTCACATCAATCATCCCCATGACTGCCGCCGTTGCCGTGGTCTTGGTCCCCTCCTTGACTTCGGCTCAATCTAAGAACGCAACCTTGAGCATCCTCACCAACAATGTCTACTTCTTGAGCACTAACCTCTACCCCAACTGGGGCCAAGGTAAGCGCTGATTTGTCGTTTCTCGGCTGTCGAGACAAATTAACCGCCGAAGCCTTTTGAGCTGACTCATTACCTTCTACACTCTCTCTTTTTTTCTCTTTGATCCTTGATAATTCCCAATATCGACTATTGGCGGTAAATAGTTACGCGAGCTGGACTCATCAGCAACTCGGACTACATCAAGGACCACGATGTTCTTGTCCTCCAGGAGTGCTTTGACTTGACTGCCTGCGATGTCATTCGCTCTGGACTCGCCTCCCAGTGTAAGACAACATCGATGATTCGTTTGCTTTTTATTTGCAGAAGACCAATTCCTCTTCTCTTTCACTCACTCAACTTTTTTCTTTTGGCGTATTATTAGACCCTTACCAAACCCCCACGGTCGGTCATAGTAAGAGCGGCTGGGACTCAACTTCAGGCAGCTATTCTGCAACCTCGGTTGAGAACGGTGGTGTGACAATCCTGAGCAAATGGCCTATTAAGCAGAAGCATCAGTTTGTTTACAAAAATGGCTGTGGAGCTGACTGGTAAGGAATAATTGTCCAGGCAAAACATATTTATAGTATGCGTTCAACGAACAACCCCGCGTCGTTTTAACATTTTTTTTTCTTATATGCAGGTTCTCTAATAAGGGCTTCGCGTATGTGATTCTGGACTACAAGGAAACTAATATCCACGTCTTCGGTACGCACATGCAGAGTGACGATTCCATGTGCAGTTCGGGCCAGGCTGCCAAGTACCGTGGTCTCTCTTTGGATCAATGGCGTCAATTCATTGACAGTCGCAACATCCCTGCGAACGAGCTGGTCGTTATGGCAGGTGATTTCAACATATTAAAGGATTCCTCAGAGTTCTCGGGTCTCATCTCGAGGTTAGGTGCGGTTCAACCGAAAAGGTACCAGGGCTGGCCCTGGACCTGGGATACGGTCGATAATACGATTGCGAACTACAACTACCCGGATACGGTCAAGGAGCCCCCACAGTACATTGACTTTGTGTTTACCGATGCAAAGCATTCTGCCGGTGTTCGATCCTCAGTTCAGACTTCGCTTAGGGTCAAGTCTTCCCCATATGTGCTCAAGGGAGCTACCTACAACGATTACAGTGATCATTACCCCGTTGTCACCGAAATCCAAGTGGACCTGTAGTGGTGACGACGGTGATGCGAATCCCAATAAATAATTATACTTCTAGCAGTCAGTCCAATGCCGTACACCCCGACGTACAGTCCCCTGCGGACTGCAAAAATCATTTTCTTATGTTTTGTGCGGTCCCCGACTTCTACGTCGTGTAGCATTTTCATCCTCTTTTTCCTTTTTTTTTCGCAGGTGCAAATCATTCAGAAATTCCCTATACGCACGACTGTTTCTAGTATCATCTTTAACATTATTTCTTTACGTCCTTTGTTCTTGATGACTTCTTCCAGACGCTTTGGCATGCGCTCATACAGTTTTTGAAGAAAGTTATTAGGGGGGTCTGTCCAGATCTCCTGCGCACGTTCCCAGAGGTCCTTCAGCCTCTCTGGCGGCTCTGTATTACGATCCAGCCTGCGTTTCATGTACGCCCAAACATGTTCGATGAGGTTGAGGTCTGGAGAGTTGGCGGGCTAAGGAAGGATAGTAATATCCTCTTCCTCAAAGGACTCCATGACCTTGCGTGCAGTATGTACTCGGGCATTGTCCTACTGAAAGATGAATATCGCCTCGTCCATGCCCCAGAAATCGCGCGATTGCCGAACATAATCCTTGAAAACAGTGAGGCAAGCATCTGGATCGACCTTCCCCATGATCCAGCTAGCATCACCGACGCCAAAAAAGGTGACGCATCCCCATCATCGTTCCACCACCTCTTTGTAATGATGGTTGGACTTGATGAGGTTGAAGGCGTCGGCGATTGCGTCTACTGCGGTAGTAAGACTTGCCGAAGGTCCCGAAGCAACTGATCGTCGTCTCATCGGAGAACACCACTTTCTTCCAGTCGTCCTTTGTCCAATGAATACGGGCTTTGGCGAATTCAAGCCTTCGAGCTCTTTGATCTCGGTTGGGATTAGGCTTCTTGGGCTGTGAGTACTCCTCACACCCTCCTGAAGTAGATTCTGTCGGACCGTGCTGATGTGAACCTGCTTTTCTTCTGTCGATTGCGCGAATCGTTGCCCATCCTTATATGTTTTCAAGTCGCCCATGTCATGGTGGTGTGCGATATTGTTTTGGTCGAGATCGCCCTTGGTCTTCCTGGGTTTGGTGGTGTAATGTTTTCTTTGTCTTTGTCCTTGATCTTGCAACCGAAGGCTTGGAGATGTTGAGTGATTGAGCGACTTTTCTGAGTGATTTCTTTCTTTTACGCCCTTGTGCAAGCACAGCTGCATGCAATTTCGCACGCGCACCGTGCTATTTCCATCTGTAAAGTGACACACATTTTTATTTTGTTTCTGGACGTCAGGTGGGAGCCACTTGAGCTAACTGATTCAAATAGCTATTGTGGAAGAGCTATGCTCTACTTCTATCCAACAAAACAAACCCCATCACGCTCGCGTATCTGTTAGGCCGAGTAATTCGAAGCTGAAAAAAGTGTGTACACACTTTCCAGGCCTGAACGGACACACTTTTTTTACCATATTTTTCCTTGTCTGGAAGGTGCTCAAATGTGTGAACTCACTTTTATTTTTTTGAAACAGACTTGGGCGCAGGCTGCGCCAGAACGTCGTCCAAGTCCTCATCGTCGCCCTCGTCGGCATAGTCCTCCTGATGCTGCTTCTGCCTGTGGTTCCTCGTAAAAGCTGCTCCTGGCCGCCTATAAAAGTGGAATGAGAACGCAAAATATGAGTTAGTCATGCAAACAAAAGGCAGTAGGTGTTGTTAGTGATGTGGCATTTGACGGATTGCTTGCACGTTAAGTGGATGTCCCAGTTGTTGGCCTCGGGGTAGAACTGGGCCTGCTCGGGGGTGGCTCCAGAGATGACGGCAAAGTTGGCGATGAGTTCTGCATGGTCAACCATGGCTGTGTGTAAATTGTTGGTGAATGTAGTAGATGAGTAAGAAAATAAGGAACAAAAAAGCAGCAGGTCCAGCCCCTTGAAGGCGAAATTTGCAACGCGATGTTGCGATGACGCAGTCACCTTCATCGATTTGATTGCGAACAGTGTGTAGTTTTTATTTTAATTCAGCGATGGCTCCATTGTATCCAAGGCACTCATAGGTAGTTACAAGTATCTTACAGCTTGGAATCGTTCTTCAAGGACAACACTAACTTGCCAAACTGGGTTCCAGCCTTGATGACATTAAACGCTTCCTCAGCAGACTCAAGGCCAGGCCAGACCTGACTGACCACAGGCTTGATCGTGTGCTTTGCAACAAAGTCAACCATCTCCCCAAACTCGACGCGCGATCCCTAGGAGAAAAACACAGTTGCTCATGTTAGCTAATGATATTGAACATCGCCTATGTTCTATGCTTGCTTCGCTGAAGATTGTGTTGACTGCTCCATAAAACAAGGACTCACCATGGTGCTTCCACGGACCTCGATGTTGCGCAAGACGGCAACCATGGTATAGTCGACCTCGAACTTAACGGTCATCCCATAGGAGACAATGATGCCTCCCATGCGAAGAAGCCTAGTGAAGGCCTTAAAGCCATCACCTCCAGCACCGTCAATGACAACGTCAAAGGGTTCGCCATGAGTAAGGTTTTGAAGTTGGGAATCCCACTTGTCTTTATAGTGGATATCAATGAATTAGAAGACAGGAGCGTTAGAGGCGCATAAATAATCGCAGCGATTCGAAATGAAACTAAGGCAGATGTATGAACACGTAGGTGGCACGGTACCTGATTTGTAGTTGACACCTCCCTGAGCACCAAGCTCGATAGCCTTGAGGATCTTGGCGTCGTCTGATGAGTTGACATAAACATTGGCGCCAGCAGCAACACAGAACAACAGAGCCATCAGAGCAACACCTCCACCTATCGGATAGTCATTCAGAAGAGGACGATAAATGCGCCGGCTCAGTATCTACCTTCTTCCGTTTCCATGGGTGCCATACATGGTCAACATTGACCGCGGCGCGCGCGATAGACTAGTGAGGGTGCTTTTTTCTTTTCTGCCTATCGACTGTCTTTTTCGAGATTGCTTACCAATTCCAGTAATAAGGACGTTCTGACCTTCGCGGACTTGTCCCTTGGTGAATACAGCACGCCATGCTGTCAGACCAGCCAGAGGCAGGGCAGCAGCCTCGGCGTCAGTCAGGTGGTCAGGGACCTTGAAGAGATCGTCCTGCTGCGCGACAAAGTGCTCCGAAAAGAGGCCTAGCATATAGAGAGAGACGCGGGCAATGGGTCAGGAATGAATATGTAAAAAGAACCCAACCCCGCACCAAAAAAAATGAATTTGTCATCCTACGGTTTTTTTTCTACGCTGCAACGATTTTCCTCCCATCCTAATTTTTCTCTTTGATGCGGCGGGTCTTGTTTCCCACCAGTAATAAACAAAAAAAAACAAAATACATACCTGGAGCAGGCCCACCACCAAGGATGTAGTAGTCCTCCTCGGGTCCCCTGGGGTCCTTGGTCCAGCCGACCGAGGGCATGACGACAACACGGTCGCCAATATTGTGCTTGGAGTTGCCCTTGACCTCGGCGATTCTGCCAACACCATCTGCTCCCAGGACCGTGTTAAACACAATGACCTGAACAAAAAAAACAGAACAACATAACAACAACTAACAGGTGAGTACAAACAGGATCATTTGCACCCTCTCCACAAATCTGATCGGGGAACACAAAACAAAATCACGTCCCAACAAATCTGATTGGGGACACAAAACAAAATCACGTCAGATAAAGTGAAACGCGGTGGCATCAAGTATGTTCTATCTCTTACAGGATACACTCCCTTGCGGATCCAGACCTCGCGGTGGTTGAACGAGACAGCGTGAACGTCCAACAGAGCCTGGCCATCCTCTGTGAGTTCTGGTTTGGGGATATCGACCAGCTTGGCGTTGTGGTAGGTGGGCTCAAAGTTGGTCTTTTCGACGATAACAGCCTTCATATTGTTTGCAGTTGTGGTTATGGTTGTGTGTGTTGTTTTTGTGAAAGAAAAGGAGGGTGTGCGGTGTTAGAAGTGTGTGACGAGTAGTTGTGAATGAAGCGAGAAAGAGGGGTCGGCCGACAGCTTTTATAAGTTCCTGAGCAAAAGTGGGATGTGACGGCTGATCGGTATTCTTTCTTCCGGGTCTGCCGATTTTCGCAGCGGAGTATATTCTGCACATACGTAACGCACATACAAATCACACAGCTCTGAAGAAATTAGTTGGCGCATTTGTATTACAAATTCGCTCATTATTAATAAATCTCTTCTGTGAAAAAGTGTAAACGTAACAGATTCCTTTTTGAAAGCACTAGAATAATGCCCGCGGCTTCGCTCGCAGAGGTGTGGAACAGGTTTGAAGTAATACTCAATTTACCGATCAACTATGCACTTTTTGGACCAAAGCTACATTCGAGATCCACTACTCTTTTCGGGTACTTTATTTTCGCACAGGTGTCAACTGCTAGCACATTACACTTAGAACAAATCACTATGTTTTCGATCAATAGGATGAATCATTTATTACGTACAGAGCGACGTGGACGTGATCGAACCAGTGGCTTCTCCACTTCCTCCACTTCCTCTTCTACTTCATCGCCTTCCTCTTGCTCCTATATCTGATTGTCCTCCTTCTCCTCTTCGACCAGCGCTCTCAGCAGGTCATTGTCGTAGCCATCCACCTCGTAGGTGTCGCTTTCAGACGTATCTGACGAGTCATCGTCATCTCCAGAGATACTATTCGACTCAAACACATCTGGGCTCGTCTGCAGCAAGTCATCTTCCTCCTCTTCTTCCCCACCGTCTTCGTTGTCTGTCTCTGGATACGGATCTTGGCCGTGGTCTTGGCTGTAGCCCAGGCGCGTCACTGCATGCTTGGTATTCATGAGACGGCCAAGGGGATGTCCTTTGAGCGCCATCAAAAAGTGTCTCTTGACTTCTTTCATCCAACCCGTGACCTTGGCAGCCGTGACAGTACGGTGAAGAGATCGGCGGATATGTTCTGTAAGCATGTGCTTGTCGACCTTTGTCTTCTTGACTTGGTGCTTGATGGCACCGAAGACCCATTCGGCGACATTGAAATGAGGGTATATGCAGGCAGGAATAATTGGATATGAGGCGAGTTTGGGAACAAATCTGTTACCCTTTTCACTTTGTGGGTCCTGCAATTGTCCGTCAAAAGGACTCGGCTGCCTTGTAGCTTGGGGAACACCTTCCGCCTGAGGAGGTGTTCAAAGTCGACACCCTTTTAAGATTTGAGCTTGATCTCACAGGCGACCAGACCGGTTCTGTCGACGGCAACAACCAGTGACATGTTGGGACCCTTGTTGGGCTCGACAGCCTTCATGGGACGGACACCTCTTGGGGTTCAGCCAAACCTGCGACGCGTGTGCAAGTTGAAACCGGTTTCGTCAAGGAAGACGAAATCATCAATGCCGGAAGGACGTTGAAACTCCCGAGCTGCCCACTCCTTTCTCGAGCGAATACGCTCCGGATTGTTGTAGTGGACAGGTTCTGGATGCATGAGCTTGAGCGTGTATACAATGCTGCTCTTGACGGCCCTTAAGACAGTCTGCAGGCCAACGGAGATTGAGCCGAGGGTGGTTCGACCGAAAGCGATTGTTGAGCTCGTCCCGGAGATCAGGGATGGAGAGGTCAGGGTCGTCGAGGAACCGCGCCTTAATCCACTCTATATGTTCGTCGGCGTGACGGGTACGTTTGTCTCCACCTCTTCGTAACGTGTCGTATCTTCCCGTTCGTTCCCAGTCGAGGTGAATGGAGCGCACCGTGGAATAAGGGAGATTGAAGCGGATGGATGCTGACTTGAAGATGTGACCCTCGTCTGCTATGGCGTGGACAATGTACCTCCTCTGCTTTAACGAAATATGTTGACGAGAGCGTTTGACGCGGGTCTGTTCTTGTGTGTTTGGGCGAATAGAGGCCATGGAGGTGAAAGAAAGGGTGAGAGGCAAGAGGTGATGATTTGGGACAAGTGATGAAGGCAGAGAGATCCTTTTGACTCTAGAGTACTTACTTATACAAAACATTGTCGCAGGTGTTGTCATTATGATGATTATCCGTCGGGACAGACCATATATGTGTTATCTTCTTTTATTGTAATAAATGCAGAAATCCAGGTGACTGGTGAGGTAGACAATCTCTAAGGGACGGAGGAGATACTGAAGCGGTGGCTGCTGCTGTACAGAGGCCGAACTGCTTGGATGCGCTCCTGAGCCGTGTTTGGATGTAGCATAGGTTGTGTAAGTGAGGGAGACAGGTTGTTTGTGAGTAATGGAGCAGAGGTGATTCTTAATGCCATTGTGTTGGAAGGATGACTTGGCGAGAAGAATATAGTGAACGGTAGTGAGAGTGAACAACGAAAGGAGAAAAAGGAGAGGACAAAGGGTGAAAGACAAAACAAAAAGAAAGGTGAGAGCAAAGAATCACAAAATGGGGTGTGGAGGTTGGAAAACGTGTCGTGATATATGCTAAATCTCAATCGCCCAGGTACAGACCCCCTCCTCTTTTTCACGATTAGAAACACAAACAACCACAAACATACATCGACTCTCAACAGAGCAAGGCAATTGTGGCCAATATTGCTGGTTGCATGCATTCTCTAGCGGGTTGGTGAGTGCTGAGGGAAGACAAAAAGAGGTGGTGAAGAGGAAGAAATAGAAAAAAAGGACAAAATGGAAGAAAATCACAACTTTTTGAATGATGCTTTTTGACACCCTGTGCCGCAAACGATGATTGTAGTCCTGGGGACTGTAAAAATACATTTCATATGTTTTGTACAGCCCCCTGCTTCTACACCGTGTAAACGTTTTTTGCAAAAATGCAAGCTCAGCAAAACAACACTCCTTTATTGCCATGCCTGCATGCCTCGGACTTTCATCTTGTACTTTCTCTTAATGCACTTTGTGCTGGCTTGTCAATGATTCTATCCTGTCCTAAAAAGCGCTTTTAGCATTCCCTTTCCGCCTTCTATCCTTTCCACTTTCTCCTCACCCTCTCCACCTTCCTTCCACTTTTCCACTTTTCCACTTGTTACTCTCTTCATTGACTCTTCCACTGTACTATTCATCTCACATTCCCTCAACCTACTATATCTCTCACAAAGCGCTGAGAAGAAATAAGATCGACACCGTCAAACTTAACCCTCGCTGACATATTCTTTACATTCCCAAAGAATACTCCCTCGTCAAAACTTTGGGGCGTCACTCGCAGGACAAGCCTATAAAAAATGACCACCTTTTTTTGTCTTAGCAGCAGAAACCTTTGTTCAAAACGTAAGAAATAAATGTACCACCATGTTTATTAAAATCATATTCTCTTCTCTTCAAGCTGACACGCCCTTTTTGGGTCGACAAGTGGCTCTGTTATGCCCAGGCATTCCACAAACCGAGCAGTGGGAAGGTCACTTTACTACTGTGATCTCTCCATCTGAGTTGCTACTCCACTTCCGTTTTTTAGACCCACTAAACGGCACTTTTCCCTTGTTCATGTCGGATATGATTTCAGCCTTGTGCTCTTTCTGTTTGCCCTTGGTCCTTCCCTTTCCTACTACATGGTATGGGTCTTGGATACACTCTGCTTCCTGCTCTTTCTCTCTCACAATAAAACAATACAAAAACCCACACTCTCCCCTTCGAGTCCTGCCTGATCATCCCACTCGTTCTCTCTTGTTCACTTGTGCATTCTCTTGTTCTCTCCTCCTCACTTGTGCTGTATAACATACGAAAGCATATAACACAAAATTCTGCTGTACACATTACCTTCACCAACAACCACGCCTTCACAACTGCACCTTCTTCAACACCCTCCCTTAGTTTTCATCGTGCGTACCATTTCATCTTAATACCCTCCTCTTCTGCAATAATAAACAGCATTCTTTCATGCTCACTGATCTTTCTCTCTATTCTCTTGTCTCTTCGTTGTCACTGGCCTTGGTACTCCTACTTTTCGCTTTACTTATTGTTATTAACTTGGTAGGGTAAACGACTGAGAGCAATGAGAGAAAGCTAGCTCTCAAAGAGAATTACACTGTGACATGTAGAGGGTAAAGGCAATAATGTCCAATGCGGATCGTAGAGTGTGTGAAAGAGCTGTAGCGCAGGTAGAACGCGTGTTCATCTGCTTTATAAAAAGTATAGTTTTAAAAAACATAACATTGCAATACAATGTCTAGAGGTGCGCCAGTTATTATTGTAACTAAAGAGACAATGTTTGCCTATATCCAAGTGTCAGTTACACCAAGTCATATTGCGGATGTATCGTATAAAAAAGGATGTAGCCAAATGTTTTACAAGCAGGCAAAATTGTTCTATTCGACAACTCGACGTGTTTTGCGACAACCACTGAATGCCATCGCCAGCCAAAACTTGGTCTTCATGACCACCACGCATGTAAAAAAAAAAGCTCTGTTTCGTATGAAAAGCATCTTAAAGGCCGCTTTGAACAACATGCAGGTGGTGCTCTATTAAAAAAAGAAGAGAGAACAAGCGCTACTTGGCCATTCGATGCTAACTTCAATGGGATTTTCAAAAAAAACATGAAGGGCGCTTGATACGCTGGGTTGCAAAAAAAGGGGTAAAGAAGGATTGAACGCACGACGTAAAATAGCACAACTCGTATCCGCTTTACCCACTCCACTACAAAACAAGCTCGTTGAAGATTGGGTAAGGTCAACACACTCTTCAATCCTACGTAAAGAAGTAATGTTAAAGCTAGAATCAGATGGTACTAGAAACAGTCATGAACGAATGATTGAGAGATGGATGGAGGGAGGAAGGGTGGGGGAAAGAGAGAAGGAAAGAGAGAGAGAGAAGGAAAAAAAGAGAGAGAGAAGGAAAAAGAGAGAGAAGGAAAAAGAGAGAGAGAGAAGGAAAAAAAGAGAGAGAGAGAGAGAGAGAGAGAGAGAGAAGGGAAGAAAGAGAAAAATTGTGTACGTATGTCCAGATGAAAGAAGATAAAGAGAGAGAAAGGGAGAAAAAGGCAGAGTGGGAGAAAGGAAAGAGGACAAGAGTCAATGCCACCATTGCACCGTGCCTGGGCTGACTTTCTTTAATTGCAAGGTTCTTCAACTGCTGCTGTCCTCTCAATCTTTATTTGCAAGAAATCCTCTCAGCCTATCGTTTGACCTGTTTGTAAAAGTGAAGCGCTTTTCGACTCTTATTATTGGCCAATCATTTGGCCTGTTTTCAAAATGGTCTTACTTCTCTCAACAACAAGGTTCAACCGTAAGAGGGCGCGTGGTTTATTAGCTTCGGTGACGTAATTCTCGCGCCCATTGTCCTGTTTCCAACTGCTCTGGCACGGGTGACTTCCCCTTTTTTTTTTTGTTCTTTCTTCCATCGTCTCATCTCGTCGTACACGACTCATCACTTGGAAGACTGGAAATGAAATTACCATCAAATGCAAAGGTAGGAGCAGCTGCACCAGAATGGCCACTTTGGACCGTTCTTCCCACATCCAGGAAATTTTTCTGATGATAGCAATTGAAATAGATGATTCCCCAAAAATGAGCTAATTATAAGGAAGTTGCCATCACTCCAGGTCCTCAGACGGTCGTTCTATGCAATCGCGCTTGCTTGCGGGATAGTGTTGATGATCCGTGTACACAACATCATGCTCTATCGGCTGATAACCGCCAAGAAGATCGAGGGCTATACGAATCTCAAAGTTGTCGAGAAACCCTCTGTCTGCCCCTTGCCCCGAGGTGCCACAGTCTGCGTCCATTCAGAAGCAAGCAAGGCTGCCTTAGTCGACATTTGCGGAGACTTCTCAGCTTCAACTGGCGACTGCCAAGACAAAACTTATGGATCTATCGTCACCACCAAGGACCACATCGGCGACATCAGCGAATACACCCTTAGGATTATTGTTCAAGGAGAAGGGTCGGAGCTCGGAGGTGCGGTCGACAAGTTTGTCCAAGGACAGTCTCGATGGATAGTTGATATCATGCAAGGCGACGGATACGAGCTATTGACGACATTCGACGACCCCCGCCGTCTCGCCTTTATGTCACAACTAGATCTTATTCAACACCGATGTGCCAACTTCTTCAACGGAGCAATCAACGGCAACGGATTCGGATCCAAATGGCACACAGTGGCTCTGGGTCTCTCTTTCGGTCTGTACCACAACATGACCCTGATGACCCCCGAAGTCCTCAGCAACTTTATACCTCTGACATCATGCACCGAGGCAGACATGGAGCGAGCGTTCAAGAAATCCCCTCCAGAACATCTATTCGCCAACTGGAACGAGTCGACCATCAATTTCCAGATAATTGGCAATGACCTCAGTGATATGACCGGCCAGTCATACCTCAAGACGAAGGCGCCTGGATTTGAGGACAAGGACCTATTCTGGTTAAGAACCATGGTGGCCTACTACGCCACTCGACCCAACTATCAGTTCCGAGAGCAGTTTAGACACTATTCTCCGATCCGGACTCCTTGCATGTCTATTCATGTGCGACACTCTGACAAGCATTCGGAGGCCGCGCTTTTGGAGTTTCCCGATTACATGAGCAAGGCTGAGGAGTACAAGAGCCAGACTGGGGTTTCGAACATCTACATCATGTCGGACGACGGCAACGTCATAAAGTCTACCGAGCAGTACAAGAACTTCCGATTTCAGTACCTGGACGTGCCTAGGCCGAACGAAGCGTGGTACACCGAAAAGGCGCAAGGCGTACCTATGGATATACTCGAGAGAGATTTCTTGCTGGATGTTTACGCTGCCGCCCAATGTGAGCATCAGATCCTCACCTATTCAAGTAACGTTGGCAGATTGATCGGCGAGCTCTCCTACGCTATACGCAATAAGGAGCCGTCCTTGATTTCGATGGATACAGAGTGGTTGATGTGGCCCTGAGATGGACTGAAGAAGCGAAATAAAAACTACATTACGTATTTGATAGACTAATCCTGAACTTCCCCAGTTCTAAATATGCTTGCTGTTTCCAGCTCAAGTCACAAAATTCTTTCGATGCTTGAACATGGGCATCGACCAACACCGCCAAGACCAAGAATATATCGTTCCAGGTTTCGTTTTGATGAATATGTGACCCCGCAGATGCAGCTATAGGATGCACCGATGCATCCATGGATCCATGCTCCAGCATGTCAAGTCCTTATACGACACCAAGATGATGCCGTAAGCAACTTGATTCTGGATGGTACCCCTGGTGATACTGATCATGGCTAGGTGCTTCAATTGCTTTTCCGGGAACCTCTGGGGCCTCCACACGTGCTTTTGCTAATGTGCCCCTTACTTGTTTCCTTCTGCCACCACGCCCCACGCTCCTCAACTTCTCTTGCCTCTCCTACGCCCTTTTCATCACTTCCACAGCAATCATCCTCATTCACATAGCCATCGACCTCACTCCCATTTCATTTTTTTTTTTTGGAAGTCACGCCATAGAATAAAACGACGATACACACAGATGGAGTCCCTGGCAAGGAATAGTAATATTTAGAATGCTTTACTTAGTGAGGTAGACTACGAATAAGGCTGGAGAGGAATAAAGCAACACTCACAAGAGTGGAAAGTCGTATACTGGTATTAGAGTACTATTATGTGTCGTGTATGATAATGCACATAAGGAATGAAGACATGGTTGTCTATAAATACCCTACGCTTCAATCTGCCAGGTCCGTTGCAGAACTTCAGTAGTCAACCCAGCCCTCAACGCTTGGCTTTCGCTTGTGGGCTGTCCCCATTTCGAGATATCGTCGACCGAATGCTTTCCGAATGCACTCGTCTTCTCGTTCGCCACGTTCCGCCCCAAAATTCCCTCGCAGTCGTCAGGTCCGCATGCCTGACCCTTGCGCACGTACTCCACGAATGGCCCGTATGACTTTTGTGCAGCGCCCATGCTCTCGCTCTGCTGCTTGATGGCGGTAGTAGTAGTGGTGGTGATAGCGGCAGATTCCTTGATCTTTTCCTGTTCCAGATCCTGTTGCAGCGACTGAACAAACTTGACTATCCGGGGAACATCCACATAGCGAGGAGAGCCTTTCCAGTAGACCCCCATAAACTCATAGGCGATCCCGCCGTACTTTTGGATAATCGACACGGGCATCTCGGGCCCAATGAGGACGTCCATTTCCTGCTCGGCAAGTTTCTGGGCTGCAGGGTTGTTCTTGACATACTCCCGGCTGGCGTCTCGCAACTTGTCCCGCTCATCGCCAGACATGGACTCTTTCTGCTTATCCGTCTTGACCATCGAATCCGGCAAACCAAGGACGAGGCTGTGAGAGCTCATGATGTCCCACGCGCCTTTGATGTCCTTGAAGTATGGGCAGTGCTCTCGAGAGACTTCGTCCACATAGTTGGTCGGCCCACAGACGGTCCGGATGAATCTCTGTCCAATCGCAGTGGTCGTAAACTTGAACCAGGGTTCGTGGTACCGCGTGGTGTCGACACTGATAACGGTCGGCACGGCTTCGTGGTTGGGCATGAAGATCGACGTTCCGAGGGCGTTTCCATGAGGCGAGATCAGAACATTGATATCCCGGAGCAAGTAGGCCGTCTCTGCAATCCCGCATCCATGATCAAAGGTTATCCACTTGACACGGAAGCCAGCTTGGACAAGACCCTGGATCAGCTCTTCGTCGTTGACAAGACGTCTGGATCCTTCACGCTGGATAATGCCCACCACCAACTTGCGTTTGCTCTCCTTGGCCGCCTCGCCCTCCTTGCCCTCATCAAATAGGTTCTGGTAAGTCTCTGCAGGGTCAACGATGTCGGGGTGCATTTGTCCAACTCTGCTCTTGGCCTCTCCGTTCTCGATACCGTGGTTGGGTCCAGCTGACTCAAAATTGTAGTACCTGGCCAGATCCAGACATCTCAGCTGCAACTTTGCGGCTTTCTTTTTCTCCGCCTCCTGCTCTTGCGCCTCTATTTTATCCTGCCCGTATTTGTGAGTCCGCTCCTTCTCCTGTGTTCTGTTAATCGACTCCTGCACATTCTTGACATGCTTCTCCCAAGTCAGCGGTGTCGACCAGTAGTACTCCGCGATCTCTTCCCGAAAAGACTTGTAGACCTCTGCAGGGGCGTTGTTCTCGCAATAGTCTAATCCGCACTGCGAGCCCAGTCCGATAACGGCCCTCCGGAAGCAGATGGGGGTGTCCTCAGGAGGAAGAGTCTGGAACGGCGTTGACAACTCGCTTTGGGCAAGAACGAGTTCCTTGCCAGTCTCGAAAAAGTGATCCATCTCCCAGGCGCCCATACGGCCAATGGGGTCGTAGGAAAATCTTCCAGCGCGGAAAGTCCATGAATTCTTTGTGCCTCCAAATCGCTTCATTGTGCTATACACCATATACATATAAATCAAGGGTTAGAAAAACATGTATCATGGCGTCGCCTCTGTCACTCTTTGTTGCTTCCTCTTGCTATGATCCTGTTTTTCTTACCTGTAAAGAGGAACCATCCCGTTGTAAAGCCAATGCGAAAAGTGAAAGGGCGAGTACAATCCGTGAACAAAGACCGTCTCGTTAACATAGTGGGCACGGATAACGTTCCTCCAAGAACGTTGTAGCCTTGGCTGCCAAAAGACGTCTGCCTCCGCATCCGCGGACATCAGGTTGACTTTGGGCAGGTTCTTGCGGGGCCAGATACCGTTGCTGCGAATAAATGCGCCTACGATCGAATCAGACCAAGGGGAGACAAGCGAGAGAAAAAAGGAGAGTGAGTGCGAGAATATATTTTTAAAAAAGGGTACGGCGGGTTAAGGATCATGTTCTACGTTGCTGAATCCGAGAATCCACTGCTTGAACTATACCTTGTCTGTCAACACAGAGGTGTTGAACAACGCACTGCCGAGATCGTCGATTCATCGTTGTCTCCTTTTCTTGCCCACTTAGGTCATCGTCCGTACAGGTCCAAGTCGCCTCGGGGAGCTCAATATCCCTGGCAACTGTCTGTCCTCCCCATCGATTGTTCTGCGCGGTGACCGGTTTATCTTCGCTGTCGAGCCCAAAGTACACTGACGAGGAAGAAGAGGAGCCGAGACGTATATTTGAGGAGCGGTTGAGGGTGAACATGAGGACACCCCCAATAGTAAAGATGAGGAGAACGGGAAAGAGGCGGCGAATATTTCTTGTGACCTTTATGTTGCGAATTGCGGCGTTGACCGCCTGCACGAAGCCACCTAAGGTCTCCATGGGGGCGATGGTAGAGGAGAGAAAGCGGAGAGGGGGAGGGAGGATGTGTAAGAAGATGAGTGATGAAGTGAGGATGGGTAAGAGGATGAGAGTGGGCGATGGTGGCATGGATGATGAGTTAACAAATCCGTCGTTCACAGTCACACTTCGCTAAGCCAGTCCAGTCACATGACTTTACTGTTGTGGGAGTTTTGAAACCCCGTGTTCAGAGAGAGAGCGGGGGGAGAGTTGTCTGGAGATGGGAAACCGCTAGCTGAGCCTTCCTCCCTTCTGGAGGACCTGATATCGGCCCCGGAGGTTTGGGTTTCGTCGTCGGTGGGTTTGTTCGGCATGCTGCTGCGTTACTGGTGATTGTGGGTGTCTCTTTTCTTTTTTTTATGTTATTTTCTTATTTTGTTGTAGTCGCGGTTATGGTTGGTTAAAGTGATGGTGAAACGAAATAGGAAATGGGTAGATTTGGTGTGTTGCTGATAATTTTGTCTCTGTTGTCTGATTTCTCTGTTGTTGCTGTCGCTGTCGCTGTTGTTGTTATCGCTGGTGGTAAAAGAAAAAGAAAAACGCTAGTGAACCCGTTATGCCTGCACGAAAGAGGGAAATAAAAGGTTCATATTTAATATCCGTCGCGCCGCTCCTACCCCACTATAGTCTGTCTTTGTCGCTCGTTGTGTCTGCTTACCTGCACGAAAGAGGGAAATAAAAGGTTGATTTCCTCTCTTGCGTGCAGGCTCCCCTTTTTGTCAGAAAGGACTCTACTTAAGGGGTGGTGGACGAATCCACCACACTGTGGCCGTTCTATCCATTGTACTTCAAGAGAGGGAAACCCACTTCATGTCTAAGCAACGTCTCCGCACTTCTCAACACCTTCGTGCTCCCGTCACTACCACCCCCGTCGTCGCCACCACTCCCCAGCCTGTTCCAGCCACCACCGTCGTCTCCACCACCCAGCCTATCCCAGCTATAGTCCACAACACTCGCGCTCGTACTCCTCGCACTGTACCATCCTTGATTGCATCTGGTAACTATTCTGGGGAACAGCGGTATCGTTTGTTTATTGCGTTTGGCTTTTAATCACTTGCCCTTATTTTTGTGTATAGAAGGAGAAGGCAGCTCTGACGAAGATGGTAATGGAGAAGACGATAATGGATTCGAGAGTGAGGATTTCGACATCGATTAAGAAACCGAAGTCGGTGTCGACAATGACATCGAGGGAGAAGCCAACTGTGATGTGGAGGAGGTGAATGACCACGACGTCATCCCGAGGCCTATTTCATTCGCTCTTGAGAAAGACGCATATTTATCTAGGAAGCGAGGATTGAAAAAAAACAGGTAATCGACTAACAACAGTTGTCCCTTGATTTGAGTTGTTCAGTCCACAATGAAACAAACGGTTGTGTAACTATATTTTACTTTGTCATAGAGTCCTATGCAAGTCAGATCAACACGCTCGTTTTAGGAGGAGAAATGATTGATTCAACAGCAGTAGCCGCACACGCAGGTCCGAACGACATCGAGGAGATGGAGGACGTAGTTCTTGAGCAGATCAAAGCCCAAGGTGCACATATAGCCAACGCCACCAAGAATGCTTACAGACCAGCTTTTGCAGATTTTAAGGTATGGAGTATACCAATGAAAACAGAGCAGACACTCTTAGACCATTGGTTGCGTTCGCTGTCATCGCTAATCGGTATTGCTTTCTCCCTTACTTCTTGTAGAGGTTTTGTGATATAGCGTACTAGAGTCGGCCGGATCCTTACCTGGTATCGGAGAGAAAAGTGTGCGTCTTTTTGACCAATTACCTCTTCAAAAAGACTATCCAGAAGCACATTAATTCGGACAAAAGGAAAAAGGACAGGACATTTCTGATGTTCAGAACGGATATCGCAGACAAAGGAGTGCCGATAGACAATACATCCAGAACATTCGACTTTCAGGTCTGTATGTAAGCATAAACCGGTATCGTTATTTGAGAGTCAGTGCTCGTTTTTTTTTTGTTTACTGTGCCCTAGTACAAATGTTAACATCATTTATTACGCCCCACTTTTGCAACTTAGATTTGAATCAACTGCCGCGTTCGACACAGGACACTACTGCTAAAAAGAAATGGACCATCGATGTACCCTACGGAACTAGCAAGATCGAGCAGACGGTGTCATGCCTCATTCACCTTCAGTCACTGCAAAAGAGCCGTCCGAACAATCCGAGTCAAGAACGCCCATTTTACTTCAAGAAGGGTCTTATTGGAGTTGCAGTAAAGGGATATGCCCGACGCTTAGTGGGAGGCGTTCTTCGGGAGCCCGTTGTTATATACGATGAGAACGGCAACCTTACTCAAATGGGACGAGACGTATCAACAAGTGCCATAGCAACAAACCATTACTCGGTGGCTGAACATATCCGATGCCTTTTGAATACCTGGCGCCAAGTTGTGGATACCCGTGCTATTGGCCAACGAGAGCATTTTTGCCTAGCAGCGCGCCATGCGATGCTGCTTCGAGATGGAGATCTTCGCGGGATCAATATTGCCAACTTATCAATGGAGACACTGCCTATGAGTCCAGGAGGTATGTATTATGTATAGCTCAAGCCTACCTTCGAAGTACAGCTTTTCACTTTCACTGCGTCAACTTAGCTCGCAATAATAAATAACCTTTTGATTATACTCTTTTCTCACGACCCACCTTTAGGTATCCAGAAAACGGTGGCATTGGTATTCACCATGTTTGAAGGCGAAGCAAACCAGCTTGGGCACGCGCAGGAGGGGATCGCCATTCGACATCACGACGTCAGGAGGTGCAGCATTGGCGCGTTGGCCTTTTATTTGTTTGATCGCTTTGTGGTAATTAATTATATGTTGTTTCTTTTTTATTTTTTTATTTTGGATGAAGGAGTACATTCACTCAAAAAAAAAAGCCAAAAAAAAAGCATACTAAATATACAGTGCTCCAAAAAAGTGATTCATCTTTTTGCGATTTCGACTTTTTTTTTGAAATGCTCATTCATCAATGTTCCGACCGACCCCCAGATTCCTGTCATTCATTCTCTCGATTCGTAGCCTCATTCATTACAACTTACTTCTTTTTGCATGGATCGACATCGGGTCATCGTCGGAATCGAAATGCCTGAATCGAATGAATCAGTTAATTGGATTAATGCATCCCGATTTTCTTTTTCAACTTGTGCGGTCTTTTTTAATTTCTACCTACCTTTAAACTTTAATGAGTTACGTACTGAATCCTGTAGGACTATCTATCAAAGTTTGGAGTTCTTACTCATAGTCTTTTCTATATGACATATATGCCTGATTTTACATGGACTTAGCATGTGTTTAGCTGTGTTTTTTTAACCACAAGCTCAGTGCGCTTACTACCGGCAAACTGAAAGCTGGCCCATTTGTAGCGCATGGTGTATAATCTAAATGTGGTCAATGTAAGAGGCCAGTTATTCTCTATGGAGCGCAATATCATGACAATGTGTGAAATCATGCTAGCTCCATGTAACAATACTTACATTAGTGATATTTCATGCTAGCGTTATGATAATCCCGTACCTTTTCTATGATGATGATCCACTCCATGTCTTATACATGGACCAGCTTTCAGTTTGCCGGTAGTAAGCGCACTGAGCTTGTGGTTAAAAAAACACAGCTAAACACATGCTAAGTCCATGTAAAATCAGGCATATATGTCATATAGAAAAGACTATGAGTAAGAACTCCAAACTTTGATAGATAGTCCTACAGGATTCAGTATGTAACTCATTAAAGTTTAAAGGTAGGTAGAAATTAAAAAAGACCGCACAAGTTGAAAAAGAAAATCGGGATGCATTAATCCAATTAACTGATTCATTCGATTCAGGCATTTCGATTCCGACGATGACCCGATGTCGATCCATGCAAAAAGAAGTAAGTTGTAATGAATGAGGCTACGAATCGAGAGAATGAATGACAGGAATCTGGGGGTCGGTCGGAACATTGATGAATGAGCATTTCAAAAAAAAAGTCGAAATCGCAAAAAGATGAATCACTTTTTTGGAGCACTGTAGTTTCTAGCCTTTGGAGAATAGTTATTGACATAAAACACCTTTCTTCCACGATACGAGCAGGTCTTGAGAGTTACTGTCTTTATTCGCGATATTGAGAGGGAGCACATACACACACACACAAACGCACACACACACATACACAAACGCACACACACACACACACAAACGCACACACACACACACATATATATACCTACATCCTTTTCCTCGTCTGCCGCTATTCGAGTTATGCCCGCTGACCCCGAAGATACTCCTTTGGATACAGGGGTTGCCGAGAGAAACTCCACTCTTCCTTCTCCCTCTCCCTTCTCCCTCTCCCTTCTCCCTCTCCCTCGACAAGTGACCCTGTTCAACCGGGCACTGACGCCAACGACTCGGCCAGCCAAGGGCAACTCCCTCCAAGACCCCACAGATGCTACGTCACGTGACTTCCGCCACCAACTGAACCCCATCCAAGATCCAAAACCCCGCCCATGTTCCAAGCCCCGTCTAACATCCCAAGCCCCGTCCACTGTCCAAGCCCCATCCAATGTTCCAAGCGCCGCGTTGGTTCCTTCTGTTCATCCGGCCCTTAGCATAAATAGACCCCTTGTTCCCCTATCTTATTCCCCAGTCTGCAATAACTCCCTTTGTTACAGGATCATAGTATGTACTCAAATGTGCATATATCCCTCACCTTTATGCTCCATTCCTCTGTACCATCATTCCTCACCCTTCATTCCTTACCCTATTCATATGTAGATCATACACATAAATACCCCCTCTCTCTCTGTACAATAAACACTATCCGTTTCTGCCTCCTGCTACCCTTCTTCTGTTGCTATTGCAATATTGGACAAGATGGCGAAACCAAGTACTCCAAGCATACGATCAAGAGCTATGCCAAGTTTCACCTGTTGAGTGTGGATAGACTCCGGGCCGACAAAAGGCCATGTGTGACGATGAAATGAGCATCTTTTATTCAAAGACATGCATGGAAAGCACCTCGCAGCAAACGATCATGTCCTTAGCTTTTTGGAACGGTCTTCATCATCACTGTCAACGTCGTCGGCTGCTCGTTTTCTGGCGTTCTTAAGCCTATCAATGAATTCAACATGCTCTTTGGGAAAGATCTGGCCAAAGTTGGTGTCGCTGACACGTATCACGACCTGCTGCACGCCACGCGCGTCCTTCTCGGGAACTTCGACGGCCGGTGGCAACCTGGCACCACATACCATGGGGTAGGCAACTACCATGCTGATGTAGATGTTGTCAGGGCAGACGTTCTGAAAATCCTTGGCATGGTCCTGAATGCAAGACGCCGAAACCGTGGTCAGTGCCCTCTCCCAGAGCTTTTTGTAGAGTGTGGCTGAACTCTGATGCAGCTTCGTCTGCATGTAGGTAATGTTCTCTCTCTTTTGGATGCCTGGGTAAGGGTGTGTGAGTTGATTGCGGGGGAAAGTCTTGGTAGTAAGACGCGCACCCACACATGCACTCACAAACATACTCTCTCACTGTCAGAACCTGATATTAACTCTTAGCAATTCAAGTCAAAAAGCAAGACGCACAGCAAAATTTCAAAAAATAGGTTGTGTGTCTAAATCAAAGGACGACCTCCTCTTTCTAAAGAACGGGCGGATGTTGAGGTTTTTATATTTAGTGATTTCAGCTTCCATTTCCTTATTACCTTACCCTGTATTCCATAGTCCTGGTTCTGCCGTAGTTGGCTTGAAATTAGGATGACAGGCGCGAGTTCCTACCTATTTGTCCTGAAGATCGTCTGTGGAGTAATTTATTGGGCTATATACAAATGGGGCTGATTGATGCTGTGCGACATTGAACAATTGCAACTTAAGGCTATAGCCAGGTCGTCTTGTGACTCCCTACTTCCTGCATGTGCTCTGGCTGCCGCTTCACGCGTGCCTTGGTGCCATTGAAGACGGCTATCTGGATCTCTGGGATGATATAGTGAATGTTTCTCTTGTCCATGGAGACTTTAGCCTGTGTCGGGCGCTTGATGCTGCAACCAGGTCGGGGATAGAAATTGTACTTTATGTCGGGGCGTGCTTGCGACCTAGCAGTCATGGCGGGGTATGCGATGACCATGATAATGTATGTGCTGTTAGAGGAAGAGAGGTGGTGAGCTGCAGTGCAGGGGTAGACACCGTTCCGAGGGCGTCACAAGCATTTTTTGTCGAAAGCGTTTGGCACTGCTTCATGTGCATCTGATGATTCTATTACCGTTCGTAGATCTGATCTTGGCATTTGATATTTGCAAAGCAAAGTGATCGTGCTTGCACTATTTTTCAAGTGCTCAGCCTGGGATTAGCACACTGTCAAAGAATGATGTTTTCAGAGATCTATTGAAAGAATTACTTCAAGACATCAGGCGCAATGAAACTGAATCTGAGATTGCTAACAGCCCGCTTCTTCTAGTACATCATGCTTACCTTGCTGTGTCAGCAGGGTCCGGTCGGAATTGCCGCCTTCCAAGGGTAGTTGAATGTCTTCATTGTCTCTACACGGTTCGGCCAGCTAAATTGAATGTAATGTTAGGTGGTATGCTTTACGGATCCTTGGCACGAAGAAACAACACCATATCATACCTATCACGAAGCGGCCAGCTGTGCTCAAGCAGTTCTCTAACAGCATTGCGCAATTTTTGAACTCCATACTGAAGTTTGCACCGACCACTGAAGCTGTTGGAGGTCTGGAACTCCAGCATGTCGCGCTTTGCAAAATTGAGACCTTGTTCGATCGTGAGGCAGTTCTTGACTGAATAGCTGTCAGAGTTGAAAACCCTGTCGACATGGCAGGCTCTTCCTTCAAGAACTTGTCCAGTCACTAACGAGCGTCCTTGGCACCTCTCGACGAAAAAACGCCATTCGTGCTTGCTCCACACAACGCGCTCCTTGTGTCCACTGAAAGCCTTGTTTTTAACAAAGACGTTCCAGCGATTCTCCCAGTCGTTCGTCCAAACTACGTCCTCCCATTTCGAGGGTTCAAATCCGTCCCGAAGCTCTCGAATGACTTGGTCCGCCCATTTGACGCCCTCCTCCCATTCTTCTTCGATCTTATTCAGATATTGGATCCTCTGAGCGAGTGTCCGGTCCATGAGAAAGCTATCGTAATTCATCAACCAGATGCAGCGTCCGCGTTATTTTCCATGAACTCGAAGAATTACAGAATGTCCGAACTCACTTTTCCACCCTTACCAATTAGCAAACTCCGAGCTGGCCACCAGGAGCCGCCCCTTTGCTCCATACCCCAGAGCGCGTCCCTCATGAAACACGGTGCGGTCAGCTGTAAACTTTTTCGTAGGACAAACGGCACTGCCGGCTGTGGCCGTGAGTTGGAGTCCCACCAGAAGCATTTTGGTGATACTTCCTTGGCCATGTTGCGAAGATACAAGCCTTCTCTGGAGTTGTATGCTGCAGGTCCAAAACAGAAGCCTTGTACAGCCACCGTCATTATCGTGTGCAGAGCAGAGTCTCGAGACTCAAAGTCTCGAAGCCGGGCCCTGATCCATACATTGAACTTGGCCATGGGTTCCTGTCGTCGTCTGGCTTGCTGTTCTCTGTCGCAACTGTTGCAATAGCTAAAGAACCGCAGCGGAGTGTTGATCGAGTTGCCAAGAATAAGGCGCGAGTTCTCTTGATCCTGTCTGCACGAGCAGTTTGTGCAGATGGAGTTTTCCACACCTTCTGGCAGCTGACTGTTTGGAGCGAGTTGTTGCATATACGTCAGCAACCTATCTCCTTCAAGGCCGTACTCTTCCTTGAACTTTTTTCAGAGTAGTACATTAGCACAATATTCTCATGGCATAAATGGCATGCTCAGGATATGTGATTAATCAGTATAATTTACCTTGTGGGTCCTATTGCGACTACTGCATCTGCTACATAAAATCTTGCTCTGAAAATATCTTGCCTTCTTTCCTGCTCCAAGCCCAACATTTCGCCAGGTTATTGGCGCTGCGCATCCATTCCCGCTGCACATTCTTCCTGCGTCGAAGGCAGTGCCAATTTGATAGTTCAGATCCAGAAGCTTGAAATAGTTGTTTTTTTGCTGTGTACTCAGAGGAGTAAAGTTGTCAAGCCATGCTAAGGGAGTAGCTGGTTTTCCCGCAATCTATAGAATTTCATGGTTCACAGGTTACTTCCCAAACTACCAACCAACCATCAAAGCAACGTTTGCGTGAATAAACTCGTACATACCTGTACAACATTGTCGACCACAGACGCTCCCAGAGGAAAAACGATATTTTCCGTATGTAGCTGAATTGGTGTACCCTGAATCAGAGACGCGGCATGAACAACGGTGATCTTGAATGCTATTCAGTGATAGGTTGATTACCTTCTACTTAAAATCTTGCTTTCCAACGCAGACAATAGTGTATGTGCCATGTTTTGGCTCTCGCTTGCCGGGTTTCCTCAAGAACAAGTTCCAACTCTTGGAGCTTAAAAGCGTCGCGGATTTCATGTTCGTCACATGATCCGCTACCAATCTGATGTTGCCAATCTGTTGGTCTAGGCCTGTCATTAGCTAGTTGCCCTTTTTCCTCTCCTCGCCCATTTGCCCCCGCCATTCGTCATTCACTTTCTTCATTTCTGCTTCCACGCACATTCCAGACCCTGCCCCGTCCTTTCTTTGTTCATTCACTTTGGTATATATAGACCTCCTGTCCTCCTGTTCTCGTTCCTCAGTCTGCAACCATCTTCCTGCTTCCTGCCTTCTCTCCCCTGCACACTCTTTTTCCCTTCCCTGCCACTCTCTCTTCTATAATAAAACTCATTATTCATCATACACTTTATTCCGAGTCTTGCTTGTTCATCGCAGTGTGCTGTAAATCTGGGCTTTCACTTACCATCAGGGGAGCCTGGAATGGGCTCTGGTGACGGAGCGCGGACACAGGAGGTTTCGGTTTCATCATCACCAGGTGTACGGCTGCGGTGCTTGCGCTTGGTATGCCTCTGAAGACCATCTTTGGTGGCGTATGACGAATTGCAGCCAACAGCGGAGCATTCATAGTTCATATGTGTCTGATGGTGAGTATGAAAGCTACCCTGGTCCTCGAAGCGTTGCCGGCAGTCTTTAAATTGGCACAAGTATATGCCATGGTGCCGTCTGCTGTGCTCTAACAAGTCCGATTTTGCTCCATAAGACTTGGCGCAGTTGTTTTCAGGGCAGAGGAACCGTTGACCCGAGTGAACGCGGTTGACATGGTGATCCAAGGAGTTCTTGCTGACGAATGACTTCTTGCAAGCGGGCACCGTGCAATATAGTCTCATGGATGTTAAAAGAAATGGTTGACTCAGTAATGGTGAGTGTGTGACGTGAGAGAGCACTACCAGGCCCGCGGTAAGTGGCGTGGTAGTAGATAGAAGACGATAAATGAAAAAGGAGAAACTGATGGCGAGCGGGCAGAATGGTCGGTCTGGATGACAAGGGTGAGAGGGAAGAAAGAAGAATAAAGTCAGACAAAGACTGGGCTTTCATTTTGTACGCATGGAATTGGTGGCAACTCTCATACACACATCAGAGATTTCTTGATCAAAACAATAGTTATTTCTACTTTCGTCCTGTCCGCCACTTCCACACAATACACATACTTCTCCTTATGCACGCTACTATCCGTCAAGCAATGAGCATAAATGTGTTATCTTCGTTGGAAAATAACTCATTTTCTGCGGTGAGCATGAGACAATCTTCCAAGGAAAAATAGGACGGGTGCGGCGGCATATATGGTTCTGACCTTCGGAAAGTGGACTTGAACCTTCATTTTATCGACTCCGCTGTTAATTATCTTTCTTATTTTGCGTTGCACCCCTCAGGTCCAATGTATCCTCGTACCGCTGGATCTTATTCGTAAATCCACTTTATTGTCTTTGCCAGTCTACCTTCAACACTACTTTCCTCTTTTGCCAATTTCTGCACAAAGACAGGCACCATCCTGCGACCGTCGATTCGGATGAAGAACACCATGTCTGGTCCCGACGGCTTATTGCTGGGGAAGAAGAACGGAGCGACAGGCGTGTTGTTGCGAGTTGAATGGTGGTTGACATGTGCGTCCATAAACTCCTCCATCGACATCATCTCATGGGTCGTACATAGCAGGAGTGCAGGTTCTCTCCAGCCAACAATCTCCACCTCGCCGACAAGGCCAGGGCACATCTCCAAGATCGGGGGCTGATGAGGTCAATCAGAGAGACGTCGCGATTTGAATGTCTCGCTGAAAACGGTCATCATGTACCGTCCAAAGATGTTTCCCTGAGCGGCTGCGTCCGTCCGATCCATCAACTCCTTGAGAGCCGTTTGAAAACCTGGGTCCGTCGCGGTGAAGTAGTTCTCCACCGCCTTGAATACGAATGGCTCGTCGACAACGGTGACAGCTTTCGATCTCAAGGGTGTGTTCGCCCCGAAAGCAGCGCCAATAAAAGTAGAAGCCGAGAATGTCGAGGACAGTCTTCACAGACTTGTCATGGCGCGCGTCTTTGTGCTTTTGGTCAAGGTGGTCGAGTTCGCGGCAGAGATTGCCTTTGATGGTCCTGTGCTCCCATGCAACGAGCTTGTCTTCCGTGCCCTCGATGGGTGCCTTCCATGAGCCATGCTCGCTGTGCTCCACGATTTTCTCCTAGAGACAAAAGGAAAAAATTATATGGGATAAGCACATGGTCATTTTCTGGCCTTTTCCTTGTCCTCATCTCAATTGGTACAAACGGGTACGTACGAACGGGAACGATGGCTGGTCGATAGCGGTCCACAAACTTGTCGAACAGCATGTCGAGTGCATCCTGCGGAAGACTCTCGCCAAGGACCCGCCTTGATTCGTCATTCAGCAGGCACCTCCGCACTCGAGAAACGTACGCCTTGATCGATTCGAGACCTATCCACCCTGGAAACTCAAAGCACTGTTTTATCATGTAGACAAAAAAGAAATAGGAGAAAGGTTGTCAAGAAATGTAATAGCGACAAACAATAAACAGAAATGGCAATAAAAACAGACAGCATCAACCACGCCGACTTGCTTACCTCAAGGTTGGTTGAGCTATCCTTAAGGCCTGAGCCAGAGCTCTGAACCCAGAAAAGGGTATTGATGCTCAAGCCAGTGCCACAGGTGACAAGCGTGAGCTGATGCTGACCGATGTCTCGAAACGCGTGTAGGATTAGGGACAGCAGCGGTCGTAAAGAGTCCTCCGAAGAGGATTTCGACTGGAAAGAGCCATTGAACTGGTCACCAAGGAACTGTGCCTCATCGTTGATGACTAGGAGTCTGGTGTCATCCTTGATCTTTGGTAGACATCCGCGCTCGACAAGGAGTCCCTTCGCATCCTCGTACACGTTGCGGATTAGCAGCGAGAGAGGGTTCAAGCCGTGATGTTGAAGATCAAGTAACTTGAGGAACAGCGCGTTGAAAATGTCACGGAACAGCACATGAGGGCACACCTGCAGGAGAGCCCACCGAGCACTGGCAAATGTCTCGCTGTCACCGAGGACGCTCAAGCAGTGCTTGAAGACGAGAAGCCAAGAGAGAAACAGCAAAAGAGTTATCTTCCGAGCATAGGCGTTGTTGGCCTTGAGATCCACGACGGTGTAGGATGCCTGGAGATCCTTCAAGTGATCGCGGACGGAACCATAAAGTGTCATCATGTCGGATCCCCAGTCGTCATCGGCAGCGCTGAAGTAGAAACCCCAGTGCTGAGACAGGAGCTTGATGACAGCACGGGTCTTGCCACAGCCAACACGAGCACAAGTCAGCGCAAATAATAGTCAGCATTATGCTTAAGAGTTGATGGGTAGTAACCATAGAGCGCACTTTGCATCAAGTTGCTTACCAGAGACGCCGAACACTGAAGAATGTGATATCGATTATATTCCTTGACCATGTCGAGAATAGATCCAGCTGAGAGATTCCTTGATTCCGAATCAGGTGTGGACGGGTCAAGAAGGTCCATGAACAGCAGGCTGGGTCGGGTTTCCGTTTCTGGTGCTTTTCCGAATCCGCGACGCCACGCCCTTGGCAAACCATGAATGGCTCCTGATGTAATGGGTAGCGCCCCTTCGCCTTTCACAAACGCGTCGAGAAAGTTGGCAATTGGTCCAGGTGCAAAGAACTTATCCGTGGTGTTTTTGATGTCAGCATGGAGGTGACCTGGTTGAATGGAAAAAGGCCAAAGGTCATTGCATGAGAAAAAGGTTTAAGTCATACATGCACTTAAGCCATACGCAAACCAAGGGTAATAGGCAAGTGCTTACCAGACAGCGGTGTGCTAGGACGAGAACCATCCGAAAGAGAGCCAGGGAGGGAGTCAAGGCTCAAGAAGGGACAGGTACATGAACTATGTTGGTGCAAACGGATGAGTGTACAAGTTAGTACATTTGACACACGCAAATGAAGATGAGAGCAAAACGCGTCTACATTACCTAGTGGGGGTCGCTGGACAATGACGTAGGTGTTGTCTTCAGGAATTTCGCGAAAGAGTTCAGAGAGTGGAGTCCTTGGTTTGTCCAATTCTGTCTTATCATCGAGAGCATCAACCGTGATGGTGGAGGATTGCTTGACCTCGGGGATGAAAACGCGCCAGAGGGTGAGCTTGTTTGCAACATTGTCGTCAAAGTCAGGACTCTGCTCAGCCTTGATGAGCTTCTTGAGGTCACCGATTGTCGTGATTGACTCAATCTCGGCAGGAAACGCGTTGGAGGTAGCCTCTCCATCAACAAGACAGAACAGGGTCAAGTGGTTATCGGTCATGGTGTTGCGAAGCATTGAATAGACTGAAGATGAAAGAGAGAAGGTTGACAAGTAATAAAGAGCGAAAAGGAAGATAAAAGAACGTGAGAGATGAAATGAATGTGGTGATGAATGTAAAGAAGAGAAGGGCGTGGGAGTGGTGGCAAAGGAAAAGAACGGGAGGCGCGGGTGTTGTGGCAAAGAAATAGGTAAGAAAGAGCGTGGGAGCGGTGGCAAAAAAAGAAATGTGAAAAGGATGAAGCGTGTGAAAGGAATTGATTGATGGTAAAGGCGATGAAGGTGTGGAAATGGTGGCAAAAAGAAAGCGGGTAGTGAGAAGCAAACGAGCGTGGGAGCGATGGCAATTGTAATGGAGGTGAGAAAAAAAGGCAGAGGAAAGACAAGAGATGTGGGAAGTGTGAGCGTGGGAGTGACAGAGAAAGGAATTAGGTGATGGCAAAGGCGGTGAAAGAGAGATTATAAGCTTCATAGTGGCGGTACGTTTTAAAAGGCCTGAAGAATGCAATCTCAATACCCATCGTATCCCTCGAAGTCTAGGATGCCATCTTCCCAGTAAGTTGCTTCATCCACTAGTTCAGCTTGCGATCTATTGCCGATCATCCCCGCCACGGCTATCGTTCCCACTGGACCCTTAGTTGCAGGAAGTCGAACGGAATCATCCCAATTGTCGCTCTTGAACTTGATGTACACCGACACATAGGGCTTCTCACCTTTCATCAAACCATCGCTGATGATGAAGAAGCCGGGAACCTGGTGTGTCCTTGCAAATTCTTTCGTTTGTTGCACACATTCTTCATCGCTTGCACTTGTTGTAAAGTAGTTGATGTTGTGACATGTTTCAAAGATTCTCTCCAAAACTCCCTTAATCTCCGGGTGTAATTCTCCTTTTCGTGAGTAAACTACCACGTCGTATGCATTCATCGTGTCGAAATGTTCTAGCGTATGGGTAATTGTAACAACAATTTTTAAAAAGGATTACTTTAAAAAGGCTTGAATTTTTGGCCTACGTCATACTTTCAATTTTTCTTCGTCGTCTCTGATATCTTCTCTACTCGTTTTTGTTCCCCGTTAGTACAGTCAAACCTCCCCTAGAGCATACTCTGTGGCTGCATCCATGCTATAGAGGATATCATATAAGGCCTTAATCACGTGATCTGGCCCCTTAATATAATGCATACATATTCTTCATTGCCAGCAGTGATGAACGGAGATGTACCTTCCACACATCTCACAATGGACTCAAAACCTTTTCCACAATGCCAACCCAACAGCAACATCAACACCAACACGGAGATGGCGACCCACCCTCTCATCCCCTGCCCTCAATCGGGTCTCCACCATCTCCCTCCTATGCCTCCATGGCAGCTGGAACCCGTAGTAACAATAAACTTCTCATTCATTCAGTGTTCACCGACCCTGAAGAGGATCACCTTGCTGCTGCTCTTGCACCAAAGGGGAGCTCGCCTGGGCGACCTGGTGAACCCAAGAGCTGTGGCATACATTGTCCCCAAAATCATTTCTTCTGGTGCATTTTCGGATGCAGTCAGATCCACCCATTCAGCCTTATTCAAAGCCCATGATGACATAGCACCTCTCCATATTCTCAGCAACATGGCCTTCCCTTGCGCTGATAATGTCCACCACCGCATCGAAATTGTGTACCACGAATCTTTGGATACTACGGTTGTCTCCACTACCCCAATTACTGTCGGCGACAAGCAGTTCGCTCCCCTTTCATCGACTGTTCCCCAATTATCACCCGTTTCGTATTCACGGACTGCCAGTTCCAGACTTCCCTTGATTTTGGCATCCACCTGGAGCAGTTCTGCTCTTGGTATTTTGAGGACGTCAAGAAAATGGGCAAAGTCATTAAGATCGAGATCCCCCTGTTCTCCACCCCCAACGGCAACCACGAGGCTCGCAGCCAGTTCGCTGTTTATGTCAAGAGTGACAACACTGCAGATGACTTCAAGATCGACCGCCTGCTATCCTTGGGCAACCGCCAGAAAAGGCCTTGCCGAATCAGCTGGATCAGAGCCACACCCTTCTGCAACTATTGCAAGGGATACGGACACCTCCTCCTTCAATGCCCCAAGCGTTTGGCTATTGTCTGCAGTACGTGCAACGCCAACGGTCATGTCAGTTTCACTTGCTCGAGATTCTCAGCCAGAGATGCAAAGAGAGCGAAAGGTAAGATGCCTGTGAGAGGGCAATCCACTTCCACCTCCTCCACTGACTCCCCTTCCGCTCCTAGCTCCTCTTCTTCCTCCTCTTCTCCTTCTTCTTCCTCTTTTTCTTTCTCTTCTCCTTCTTCTCATCATTTCTCTTCTTCTGATTCTTCTCCTTCAACTTCTTCCTCTTCTTCTCCTTCCTCTTCCTCCACTACTCCTTCTGCTTCTTCGCAACCTGATGCATCTTCAAACACCCAACCCGCTTTGACCGCTACCAACGTGACCTCTCAGTCCCAGTTAGTGGTTTCTCCTTCCAATTCACCCAAAGATGACATCACTATGAGCGAATGTCAAGATCAAGCTCAGGATAATGGAGAAGAGGCCTTTGATGAGGACTTCAGCTTGGAGAGAGATGACCTGGGAGACCTTGACAGAGCTGCCTACAGTACTGAGCACCCCACCCCCTCTGACAACAATGACCTCCCCATGGAGGATGCTACGGCCGTTTCTACAGCAACCCGGACCAGGACAAGACGCGCAGTAACCAAGACCGCGGTTGCCACAGCAGCTAAGACCATCACCAAAGCATCCAACAACATCTACACTAAAGAAGGTAGACCTACCACTAGATCTACTTCTACAATTAAAAACAATCGATCACAATAATGCGGATCGCAAGCTTGAACGTGCGAGGTCTACGTAAGCAACACCTTCAAAATATCATTGCTACCGGTCCACCTCATTTTTTAACCTGGCTTCGACAAACGGATTTCGACATAATGGCCCTTCAGGAAATCAACCTGTCAACAACGCCAACCTCCGCTGATTAAACCAACTACAACCAATACCTCAACACTCACAGCTCCGTCTGGTCCTCCCACTGCGCACTCCTCCTTCGCAATCCTGGCCTCTCCTTTTCTAACACCTCTTACGCAGAACAAGTGTAAGAAGACGAGGGCGGACGAAAGGAAGAACGAGGCGAGTGGACAAGGAAGAAGAGGGAAATGTTACATTGTGATGTCTTGTTTAATAAAAGGGAGTTATTAACTAAGGAACTAGACTACGTATGAACTATTGTGCCTTTCTAGCAAAATGAGGCAAAAAAATTAAAACTAATCCAACAAAGTCCAGTGGAGAGCGGAGTGTACTGTACACAGGCGCGGAACAAAATTTTAGTTGTGAACAGCAACTTAATCAGGGTTTATTGCGCCTTGCAACCAAAATAATTAATTCGGACAGCTAAACCTTGATTAAGTTGCTGTTCACAACTAAAATTTTGTTCCGCGCCTGTGTACACTCTGCTCTCCACTGGACTTTGTTGGATTAGTTTTAATTTTTTTGACTCATTTTGTTAGAGAGGCACAATAGCTGTCCGAATTAAATATTTTGGTTGCAAGGCGCAATACCTATTTATGTGTGTTCAAGGGATCTGGCGGAGCCCATAGCTCTTTCTAGGTCTTTCTGTAGGATTGTATCGGCTGACTGGTCAGGAGGGCGATTAGTCAGCGAAAGCCATTCAGTGATCAGTTGATCCCGTAGTCAGTGGCGATAGAAAGATCTAGAAGTTGGTGGCGTTGGTCATATGCCAGTTATCAGAGTAAAACTATGACAACAAGGGAGGATTATTGTCACCACTGTCACTTCTTCATCTTCTTCCTTTATGGCCACATTCTGTATTATGTACGCCCCGGCCAACAGGACAGCACGAAGGCTATTCATGCTGAACTGTCTCTCTCTTCCTTTCTTTCTTTCCCCTCCTCCAAAGGCCTTTCTTTTAGGCGGCCTTAACTACATACACTACGCTCATCCTCGTCCCTATCCCCTGTTTCAGGATTGGATTGATACTCATCTTGTCGATTGCATCACCCCACTTCATACCAACTCCAAGCCCACCTTCACCCCTTCAGGGAACAAAGCCCGCCATACCATCGACTACATTTTTTCCTCTTTCCAATTCCTCTCACAGGTATCTAAATCTGAGCAACTCTGTGCATCTCCTTTCTCGGATCACGACATGTTGCTACTGACAATTTCCCCCGCCTCCACCCCATGACAGGTCGAGGGATTTGGCGAATGAATACCCAGCTCCTCAACAACAGCGACTTTACCAAAGATCTCACTGACCACCTGGTGACCTTCTCCTTACCTCGTCCCCACCAAAACAAGACCCAACACTGGGACAGGGTAAAGATGGAGATCAAGCGTTTCTGCATCTCAGCCTCCATCAAAAGGAAACAGGATCGACAATCCGCCACAAGATACCTCAACATACAACGCCAAAACAGACCAGCCCAGCTCCCCCTTGCAACTGGTGTAACAAAGGACGCAATCATTCAGGATCTGGAAGCTCTGGAATCATCTCTTCAACAACATACATCGGAAGAATTGGATGCCTATGCCCTTCGATCAGGAACCTTATGGCGTGAAAAAGGGGAAGGCAACACCGCCTACTTCTTCCGAGCCATCTCTCAACGTAACAAAAAACGACTTGTTCCACACCTATACAACCCTGCCACCAACGCTCTAACAACCTCAGCCGATGAGCGTCTAGAAGTCGCAACAGACTTTTACTCGCGCCTATACTCCTGCGACCCCTCCAACCAGGATGCGACTAACCGACTACTGGATACCGTCCCCCCACATGCAACCCTATCTGAACAGGATCGCGCTAGACTTAAAGGGACTATCACACCCGATGAGTTGGATCACATTGTGAGCAGGACGCCCCTTAATAAGACCCCTGGCAAGGATGGTTTACCCTTTGAGCTTTATCGACACATCCTCCTCATACCTTGGATCAAGGAACTATTCACCGCCATTATCAATGATGCGCTGACACTTGCCTCCTTCCCCACATCCTGGCACGAGACAGTGATGATCCTCCTTTTCAAAAAGGGCGATGCGACAAAACTGGCAAACTGGAGACCTCTTTCACTCATCAACTCAGACGTCAAACTCTTCACCAAAATCCTCACTCTTCGTATTCAACCGTACATGACCAAGCTGACAGAATCGCACCAAACCGGGTTCACGGCAGGACGACATATAGCAGACAATGGCTTAGTGCTCTCAACACTCCGAGACTACTGTAATGCAAGAAAGACAAGACATATTGGCGTACTACTGGATCAGGAAAAAGCATATGACCGTGTACATCCTACCTATCTTCAACAGGTCTTGAAACGGTTTGGATTCCCATCGTGCGTCACGGAGTCGATCGTCCAACTTTTCTTCTCCACCAGGATTGCCCTCAACGGTTTTGTGTCTGACACCTTCCCACAATCAAGAGAACTTCGCCAGGGTGACCCACTATCTCCCCTCCTCTTCAACCTAGCCTTTGAACCGTTGCTTGCCCATATCGAACGATCCTCGGATATTCACGGTATTGTAATCCCTGGTCGCACGGATCCCATCAAGCTCAGCGCCTATGCAGACGACCTCATGACACTCATCTCCTCTACAACCGAATGGTCAGCATTGGAGGACATCCTACTGACCTATGGCCGTGCATCCAACGCCAAAGTCAACCTATCCAAAACCGTGGCCTTCCCTATGGCCCTCTCCTACTCCAAAGAACTGCAGATCCATCTGGAACATCTGGACGTGCGATGGCATGACCACAACTCCGCTGATGCCTTGATCTACCTTGGATTCCCTATCTTTTTCAACCGCGATCAGGAAAAAGGGTTCTGGGACAAGACGCTGAAGAAGATACAATCAGCCATAACCATGCACTCTTTCCGCTCCCTCTCTGTCCTGGGCCGAGCAGAAAGTTTATGAGAACGCGTCGAAGGCGCAGACCGCGTTCAGGTATCACGCGTTCTTAGCTTTAAATACAAACCCCTTAAACAATATGACAACTCTTTCAATTCTTTGAAGTGAACAAAGCATCAACAACGCGACCTCGAATTCTAATGAATCAAGGATTAAAAGAGCCGACATCGAAGGATCAAAAAGCAATGTCGCTATGAATGCTTGGCTGCCACAAGCCAGTTCTCCCTGGAAGAATGGGGAGGGTCAGAAGAGCCCTTTTGTCCTACTGCACCCTTGAATTTTTCCTCAGTCCCCTTGAAATTTTCCTTGTGCAACCGTGATCGAAAATGACCACCAGACAAAGTCTACTAGAGGGATGAGGGACATGGCAAAGTAGAAATCATTCAAATAAAAGCGAAGTGAATACTGCTCAATTTTCTACTTTAGAGGTCTACACTATCACCTTTGTTCCTTTTTTCTTTCTTGAAAACACATCTGTCGAGAATCAAGAACGGGTCAAGGGTGACCTTTTCTCGAAGTCTTATTGTTTAATAATAGCGTGTCGCATCCACGTACACATGACCAGTGCCACATGAACAGTGTCACCTGAACACGAGTGGATCTGTCGACTCTCGGCGACAATGCCACATGGACACGGGTACTCTTGTTGACTCTCGGCAAACAGTACCACACTCTCGTTTGACATACATACTGCTACACCAATTAATATATAAGTCTTAACCAAATCCAAAGCTCCAACTCATCCCCGCATCCCTACCTCAACATGAAAGAACCAATCCCACCCCCTTCGAACACCATAGGGAATATCTCCCCTTCATCACCGAGACAGCTCCGCTTCCTCGTCATCGGCGCCGGATCCCGTGGAAATGCCTATGCTCGCGCCGTCACAACCGTAACTCCCGGCGTCATCCACGCAGTCGCCGAACCTCACAAGTTTAAGCGGCGCGAATTCGGACGAAACTACATCTGGGGCACAGAAGGGACCTCAACCGAAGGGCAGGAATTCGCCGACTGGCGCGAATGGGTGAATTGGGAGATCGAGCGGCGCAAACGAGCAAGCCAGAATGACAGTCCCAACACAAGCGCAACGCCTCCTGCAGGCGTAGACGGCGTCTTCATCTGCACACTCGATGAAACACACGTCGAGATCGTTCAAGTCCTTGCCCCCCTCAACCTCCACATCCTTTGCGAAAAGCCCCTAGCCCTCTCCCTCAATGACTGCCTAACCGTCTACCGAACCCTTCAACCACCACAAGGCGAATCCCAAACCCCCACCCCACCTTCAAACATCTTCTCCATCGGCCACGTCCTCCGCTACAGCCCGCACAACATCCTCCTCCGCAAACTCCTCCTCTTAGACCGCGCCATCGGCGACATCGTCTCCCTAGAGCACTGCGAGCCCGTGGGTTGGTGGCACTTCTGTCACAGCTACGTGCGCGGCAACTGGCGCCGCGCCACGCCCGCCGGCGACGGCTCTCTCCTCACCAAATCATGCCACGATATCGACTTTATCCTCTGGCTGCTATGCTCGCCGCCGTCTCTTGAGGATGCCCGCGCCCACGCCATCTCTCCGCACTTCCCCCGCTCCATCTCTTCCGCCGGCACAATGACCCAGTTCCGTCGCGCGCGTAAGCCATCTGCCGCTGGCGATGCGACGAACTGTCTCACCTGTCCCGCTGAGAGAGACTGCAGCTACAGCGCGCGCCGCATCTACAATGATCGCCACCTGGCAAAGGGCCACTTGTCCTGGCCTGTCGACATCGTCTGCCCCGATATCGAGGATGTGTTCTGCGCGCAGGGCGCATCAGCTGCTGAGTCGCACCTCCTGTCTCGCCTGGCTGAGGACTACGACCGCGGCAGCACGCCCGACTCAGCTATCGCCAGTAGGCCATGGTACGGGCGGTGCGTGTACGAGGCCGACAATGATGTATGCGACGACCAGGTCGTGACATTTGCGTGGGACGACGAGAGCACGCTGCCACACCGGCTTGCGAAGACAGCTTTGTTCCATATGATCGCGCCGACGGAAAATCTGTGCGAGCGGCGGGGGCGGGTCTATGGAACCGCCGGCGAGATTGCGTATGACAGCAACACGATTTCGGTGTATAATTTCGCCTCGGCGGAGACGACTGTTATTAATGTGCCGAAGCCGCCGCCGGACCAGAAGGAGTCGCATGGGGGTGGGGACTACGGGCTTGCGAGGCAGTTTGTGAGTGCTGTTGAGGCTGTTGAGAATGGGGGGTTGGATGTTGAGACGGCGCAGGCGCGGTTTGTGGGCTGTACGCTTGAAGAGGCGGTCCGGAGTCATGCTGTTGTTTTTGCGGCGGAGGAGGCGAGGAAGGAGGAGAGGGTTGTTAGGTGGGAGAGTTGGTGGGGGGGAGAAGTTGAGGGCTTCTGCTGCTGCGTGGAAGGCGTAGTGTAGTGTAGGTATGTTGCGGTACGGGGGTTTTTTTAGTTTTACCCTTTTTATTCAACGAAGAAGCGCACCCATGTGCCCATGTCACCACCTGAGCGGGCTTATTATCCCTCACAAGGTGTGAAATAAACAATGGACTCTTTCTTCTCCTTAACTTTAAGAAACAACACCCGTCCTTTTCAGGTACATACTGTACCTATATGGTCAGTACCGCCAATTTTTTTGAATTCGGACGATTCCATTAGTAAATCGTCCGGATTCTATTTTCACGCTGAATGAACTGAAATGATCAACGAATGTCCTACAAAGGACGGACTATTCGCATTGTCATAGGTGCCATGGACATATGTGTTACCTTCTTTTTAATTTTGAACTGACGAAACTAACTAAAAAAATATATAAAGCTATGGATCCCTCACCCCGAAAATGCTCCTTATCTCCTTTTTCGGTAGCAAACCGGGTGGCGAGGGTGGGACATATGTCCATGGCACCTATGACAATGCGAATAGTCCGTCCTTTGTAGGACATTCGTTGATCATTGTCTACGGTGCCATGTCCATATGTGGCCCCAGAGGGATCCCCAACGTGGAAACAGACAGATTGTTCGAGATGACACTGGAGAGACGGTAGTGCTTCTCGAAGATCCTAGGGGAAGACCAATTGCCTTGAACCATGATGTTAGGGATAGGGACACCGGCCATGGCGGCGAGAGTGGAACCGAGGGCTTGAAGCTTGGGTGGCCTGACGCCCTTAGGGACAAAGAGACGCGAGATCGTGTTCATGTAGACCGAGATCGTGGTGGAACACAAAGGCTTGGCTGGGTTGTTGGAATGACGGAACAGTGGAGTGATAAACTGCTTGTCATCTTTGGGGTGCGGGATCGGGACATCTGCAGCCATGGTGCGCGCACGATAGATGGTGAAGGCGTGAACCGGGCAGACTGCCTGGTCGCTATGCTTGCTCAGGTGAACATACTTGATGATACGCTGGCGGCCTCGCTTTTCCTTGGGGAAGATCACCGCAAGCTGGAGTTTGCCGTCGATGACGGCTGACCTAGCTACGTCCATACAAAAAATGTTATCGGGGCGCATGAACCCACACACGCCTAGCAGCCATGCTAGCTTTCGGGCCAACTCCACCATGGGGAGCTTGTGGTTGACAAGACCAGACCGGAAATGAATAAGGACTGGCTCGATGGAGTAGTGATCGTGCTTGGTGTCAACGATGCCGGAGCTGTGGCCGGCCGCAAGGAAGGACTTGAAAATGGGGTCGTTGGAGACGACCTCGGGAGATCGACAGAGGGCAAGGACGGCAGTCTTCCTGTTCAGGATTGAAGACCACTGCAGCTGCTTGTTGGCCATAGTGTGGTAGAGCCAATTGATGATGGGGACAGCCGCATTGACACCCTGATCATAGTGGCCATCCTTGAGCCACTGTAGGAACTCTTGCTGCACGGGTTCGTATCGTAGGCGGGTCTTGGTAGCGGAGATGTTGTCCGTGATGAAGGCCGTAGCATCCTCGGTAGTACCCTCGCGGATTAAGCGTGCCCGCTTATCCTCCACGCCCCCAAATACCAGTGGGGATTCTTGCGTGGGATGTGACTTGCGCTTCCTTGAGGAGGAAGCACGCTGGTTCTCGGGATCGGAACTGGAGGGCAGATCGACATGGCTTGGACTGAGGGAAACCAAGCTGCTGACGGCCAATACGGAGCTATCAGCGTTGCGTCCAGCTTCTCCTGCCTGAGACGCTGCAGAACTTGTGGGATTAAATTCCATGGAGGACAGATGTAGAGGTTGCCCAATCTCTTCCAACTGTGACGAAGAGCGTCCGTTGCCATTGCTATTGGGTGCGGGCGCCAAGAGAAGAAGTGAGGGAGTTGCGTGTTGATTGGCGACGCGAACAGATCGACGTGGTGGGGCCCCCACCAATGGTCCAGTGCTTGGAAGAACTGAGGACCCAGGCTCCACTCCAGCTGTTGTTGCAGTCTCCTGGATGGCGAATCCGCTGAGTTGAAGAGAGATGGCACGTATGTGGTCTGCAGGCGTGTGCCGATAGCTAGACAGTGTCTCCACACTCTGTCTGCTGCTTTCATCAGTGGAGGTGATCTCGTACCGCCGAACTTGTTGATATAGGAGATGGTGCTGGTATTGTCGATGATGACATTCACCATCCGTCCTTGAACTTGAGGAAGGGTGACCGCAAGGAACACTGTCTGGATCTCTTCCCAATTGATGTGCATCCTGCGCTCCTCCTGTGTCCATGTCCCGCTCCAGGTCTGGGAAGCGATCACGATCCCCCATCCCTAGTCTGAGGCATCCGTGTAGACGTCCAGCTCCGGTGGCGTTTGAATCCATGAGTGGCCGTTCCATTGTCGAAGGTTGGATATCCACCATGCCAGATCCTTCTCCGCTTCCTCCGTAAGGATTATTGTGTCCGTCCATTGAGCTCCTTAACGATGCAGGGTAGAGTTCTTGAGAGAAAGGAGGTTGCGAGACATTAGGCGCGCCGGAAATACCGCTAATGTGGTGGCCATTGTCTTGCCCACGAAGGAGGACAAGTTCTTGAGAGTGGTATGGCCCTTGTTGAGCATCATTGTTGCCTCCCGTCTGAGATCCCTCAGCTTGGTCTTGGGGACGGCGAGAGTCATCTTGCGTGTATCGAATGAGAATCCGAGATGGTCCAGGATCTGGGATGGCCCCAGAGATAATTTCTTCTCGTTTATGATGAAGCCCAGTGCGGTCAACTTGTCTCGCACTAAAGTGCTCCAATCAATTGATCAACCAAAACGCAATTTCGACCCTTTTTTTGAAATGCTCATTCATCAATGTTCCGACCGGCCCTCAGATTCCTGTGATTCATTCTCTTGATTCGTAACTTCATTCATCGCCACTTGCCTTTTTTTGCATGGACCGACATCGGATCATCGCTAGAATTGAAATGCCCGATGTTGGTTGATCAGTTACTTGATTAATTGCATCATTATTTTTTTTTCAAAGTGCGGAGGTCTTTTTATGTTCTATCTACCTTCAGACTTCAATGACGTACTTCTACAATACTATATGACCTTCTATCAAAGTTTGTAGTTCCTACCAAAAGTCTTTTGTGCATGACCTATATGCATGACGTTACGTGGGTTTAGCACATGTTTAGCTATTTTTTTAATACCACAAGCTCAATACACTTTCTACAGATAAATTGAAAGCAGTTAAATACAGAGGCCATGGTGTGCGACCTAGAAAATAGAAAACTTGCGGGACTTTTATTCATTAATAGAAGATATCGTGAAAGTAAATTTTGTTACACGGCTCTAGCACGATTTCACACATTGTGATGATATTACACTCTATTGAGAATGACTGGTTTCGCGCATTAAAGATTTTAAGATTCCAACTAATGTCCTTTGTACGTAACTGCTTTCAATTTATCTGTGAAAGTGTATTGAGCTTGTGGTATTAAAAAAATAGCTAAACATGTGCTAAACCCACGTAACGTCATGCATATAGGTCATGCACAAAAGACTTTTGGTAGGAACTACAAACTTTGATAGAAGGTCATATAGTATTGTAGAAGTACGTCATTGAAGTCTGAAGGTAGATAGAACATAAAAAGACCTCCGCACTTTGAAAAAAAAATAATGATGCAATTAATCAAGTAACTGATCAACCAACATCGGGCATTTCAATTCTAGCGATGATCCGATGTCGGTCCATGCAAAAAAAGGCAAGTGGCGATGAATGAAGTTACGAATCAAGAGAATGAATCACAGGAATCTGAGGGCCGGTCGGAACATTGATGAATGAGCATTTCAAAAAAAGGGTCGAAATTGCGTTTTGGTTGATCAATTGATTGGAGCACTTTAGTTCATGTTGTTACGGAATCAGGTGGGTTCGGTTGAGATATTGTGGAGTGGTTGTTGAAACTGGGGGGGATCCTATGGCACGATACGCAAGCAAACAATACACACTGAAATAAACGGCGTCAGCTAACTCAATCAATTGCTTCGTGAAGTTGTCTTTTGAAAGGACATGGAGCAAAAGATCGAGCTGCCTCGCTATTTCTACTACTGCAGTATCTACTTTGGTCTAAATTACGGTGAGGTCAAAGCACTGCAAGGAATGGGCTCTCTGTAACAATGTCTTCATCTATCTATGATCCACAAGGCAAAAACGCAATACTGCCTGCACCAGTGACCCCTTTTTCATTTAATATTGCATCCTCGCCCTCATTGCCGCATAATCCCTCTGCGTAATAGGTTCATACTTCGCTGGCTGGTTCTCATTCACACAGCTCCCCATAACCTCAATCAACCTATCTGGATCTGTCGACAAAAAATAAACAATACTCTTCCGCTGCCTTGTGATCCTTCCCTCCCCCTCAATCCGATCCTGCAATGGTGGCAACGTAACACGATGTGACGTCGAGCGCAGGACATCATTGCTCCACCGCATCATCAGATCCCCAATGTTCATCACAAGTGCCCCTTCGACAGGTTCGACATTGATGAACTTCCCAGCATGGTTTGGATCCTCAACCTGCAACCCCCCACAATCATCCTGCCACAGTATTGTCATCGTGCTCCAATCTGTATGTGCTGGCATCCTCTCACTCGTCCCCTCCTCCAGCGCCTGTGCTGGGATAGGTGGGTAATTCAGCAACCTGAGCTGATTATAATGCCCACTATGCAGGCTCACCAATGCATCCTCCTCAAGCCCAATACCCAACGCCAGTGCCTTCAGCACAGTCTTCGCGGCCTCGAAGCATGTCCAGTAGAATTCCGTCATGAAGGGCTGCCACTCTGGCAATACCTCCTCCAGAGGCCATATATTTGGCATATCGGGGTTTGACTCGCTGCCGACCTCATAACTCTCCTTCACATCCTTTACCTCACGCAATTTCCGCACTGCCACCTCATCCTCCTTGCTGCTGGTGGCATTTGAAACCTTCTCAAACCCCGGCCATGAGTAGCCACGGTGGACTGACCAGCCAGGTGGATGGGGCGCTTTCATCTTCTCCTCTAGCGGCAGGTCGAAGAATTTTGAGGAGATGGCAAAGGCGCGCTCGAGCTCATGCTTTGGGACGCCATGGTTGATGATGTAGACAAAGCCGGTGGTACGGCAGGCGGAGACAAGTTGTTTGGCTGTTCTTAGACGTGACTCTGTGCTGCTGTTTGTGAAGTTTGCGAAGTTGATAAGTGGGAGGCTGGTTGTTGCTATTGTTGTTGCGTTTGAAGACATCATGGAGATGGAAGCTTTCGAGTAAATTGATGAAGGAAGAGAGAACTGAATTTTGATATCAGGATTTCCGTATTGATCCTTTATCAACTGTCTCGCTGCGGAGGCACATGTCAATCATGATTGCACAAGAAAATTTCAAGGGAACTGAGGAAAAATTCCAGGGTATGGTAAGACAAGGTGAATCAACATGCTGAACCACACTTTGGTCACTCTCGCACTGCCACATACAACAACTGGCTTGTGGAAGCCAAGCGTTCATAGTGACGTTGCTTTTTGATCCTTCGATGTCGGCTCCTTCTCTCCTACTTCATTATCATTCGAGTGCAATGATCAGACAGGACTCGGGAGAATGTGTATTGCTTTTGTTATGTTTTATTATGAAGGAAAAAAAAGGAATACGACGAGTGTGCAGAAGAAAGGCTGGGAACAGATGGAAGTGAGTTGTTGCAGATTGGAGAACAAGATAGGGTAACAGGGGATCTATTTATGCTAAGGGCCGGATGAACAAAAGGAACCAAGGCGGCGCTTGGACATTGAACGGGGCTTGGGACGTTAGACGGGGCTTGGAACATGGGGCGGTGTTTTGGATCTTGGATGGGGCTTGGAATGTCCAGTTGATGGCTGAAGTCACGTGACGAATAATTCGATATTCATTGCGCGTTCAACGGAACTAGGACAAAACTTATTCTCGCGTAACCCGGGCAACCTGGGGCCTGGCAGCCTTGGGGCAAAACGTGGCATCGAGACCGCGCCGTTGATGCTTTGTTTACTACCATGGTATAATTCTTTTAAGTTCTAAGGGGTACACTTTTGAGCAGGGTACTGCTTTTGAGCACAGTTTGACGCGTCCTAAATGTGGTCTGTGCCCATACGATACGCGATATGGCGTGATCTGATTTGAAATCGACTTTAATGTCTAAGGGGTTGTTACAAAAAGATGTGGTGGCTAGGAGTGAACCTAGTTCGTGGGGTCAAGCGGCTTAGTTGGCGGAGGAAGACAAATTTCATACGTACTTTTTTCAGTGGGCCAATCAAATTCGTTCACTGCATAGGCGAGTATAGTCGTGTTGGATGGAGGCCAGAATGGGTCGTCTAATCGCTTTGCAACTAGAAAAGTGCCATAGGGCGACGTTTCTTGCTGGTGCCTACTAATACTTAATTGTTAACGTACCTCTTGCGGATACGCTTATGTAGTTTTTAAAAGAAAATAATATTTCTTGAGTTCAAAATCATCAAAAGATAGTGTAGAGACGCGTAACAATGTCGCCTAGTCAATGATGAAAAATCAATGTAGTCGTTTTTCACACTTTTGTTTTTTCGACTTTGAAAACGTTGTTTTTGACACTTGTCCATTAATATGAATCTATAGAATTTGATCTCAGGAATACGTGGGTACAGTTTTTATTGTGATTGGTGGAGAATTGGCTGAGTAAACGAAGAAAGACTATCTCCAACATTCTCCAAAAGTGTCATATATGAGCCATCCTCCTTCAATATGTATTTGTTTTAATTGTTTTCTCTACCTAAGTGATAGCTATGGGTTACAAGTGTTAACATGAAAGAAGAGTGAGTGCGTTTTGGAATGGGAGTCTATAATGGAAGAAGAGAAGAGTGAAAAAGAACCAAGGGGTAAGGAGAAAAAGAATAGAGCGACAGAGATAGATGAATAAACATGTATATATAAAGAGAGAATCTTTATTTCAGATTGTGTGCTATTTTGTTATGTCTGCGTTTGTCGCTGCTTGCTGTTGTCCTTCTTTTCAGGAAGACAACATCCATGGTCAACCAATTGTTTAAGGAGACGAATAGTTTCCTCGTTCACAATTGAGACCCGAGAATAACGAGAGAAGGACTCCACTAGAGCACGAACATCATCGTGCATACGATTTTGTTCACGCTCTTCTTCAGGCGTCTCGTCTCTCTTGATATCCTCCTGCTTGAAGTCCATGGCGGTCGTGGGGACGGTAAGGGTTCTTGAAACATAGAAATTGTTGTTGAGCGGAAGGCGAAGATTGCCAGGGAACTTGCGGATAGCCATAAGGATGTGCTTGCAGAGACGACGGTACCGGAGAAAGTACTCGCAGGAGCAACTGTTGATCAAACCATCAGATAGCGACAAGCTGTAATAAATGGCTGGAAAGGTGATCGACTCGACAATGTAACGACCGTCAAGAAAAAGGACATGCTTCTGGATGGTCTCCTCTGTCATAGCATGGACATCTCGTTGGCGCAGAATGTCGAGAACCTCGCCTTTCGTCCTACGGCCAACACGGATGATTACTCCGAACTCTTCCTTCTTGAATGTCTCCAGGACGACTTCTGTGAGAATGTAGAGGATGCGGTCCGCTCGCGCTCGGTAATGGTGCTTGAGGTAATTCGACTTCAACTGGTTGTGCCAAGACTCAACATAGTTGTTGGTATCCATCGATGCGTAGTAGACGTCTTGACGATAGGACTTCATCCAGAGCTGGCGTCGACGCTCTTTGAGGTAGTTATCCTCCATGTAATCCACCAAGGGCTTCGAAAGCACCCCCCAGACTTGTCGGAACACCACGATCATCTCATTAGCTGTCCTCATATCACGCTCGTACATGATCTTGTGTAGGACCAGGCGGGCATCAGCTTGAAGGCGCTGTTGCTGAAACGGGTTGTCGTTCGTGACCAGTTTTTTGATCTGCGTGCTCCACGCTCGAACAACGTGCCAAAGGCAAAGGTGGATCCGAACGTGATCGCCAAGGCCATGTTTGATAGCCTTGTATTCAACCTTGGAGTCGTCGGTCGTGATGTAGCGGAAGTTGATACCAGCATATGCCTCGAGAGCGATCAGCCAATCCTGCAAGGGCTCGGCGGTCTTGTCCTCGGTCAAAAGAAAGGCCACAGGGATTCCACGCAACGTCTGAGGGTCTTGGACAATAACGGTGTAAAGCTCGGCGCTGCCCTTGCAGGTATTGTGTGTTGAATCCAATCCGACTGCTCCTCCAGAAGCTCGAAGCTTGTCCAACTGCCAAGGAGAAGAGAATCCATAACCGTATTTATTCGTCGATCCTGCAGTAGTCTTGTTCCATCGGAAGACAAAGTTTCCTTCAGCCTGCTTTCTATCCGCCCAAATGGATAACGATATACGACAGTCCGAATGTCCCTGGCTCTTCTCCTTCCAATAGGCATCGTAGATGTTGGCAATGTCGACGGCTGTCACGAAGTCATCGCGCGTGAGTGTCCCTTTTGACAGGCGGCTGTGAAGAGTATCGGAATAGAGGGTAAGCTTGTCCCTGATAGCTCGTTTTCCCAAGCCCAGCTTGATATAGCCCAGGATGGCTTCTCGGACTGGTTGGCTAATACGCAGGTGCTGGAACCCCTCAAGGTCGCCCAAGACGTGGCCAGTATGGCGGCCATAATATGTCAGACGAACACGCTTGCTTGCATTGGCAGGGGGGTAACCAGGAGCTGGGGGATGTCCGTCCTTGAACTTGTGAATATAGATACGAGCGAGGCATCCCAAGTGCTTGGAAGTTTTGAAAACCTGGCGACGCTTTTTACCCTCGGCCTTCTTCTTGATCTCGGGCTTGCCGGCGCAATGACAGTACCAGGTTTGTGTGTACGAGAATGGGCTGGCTTCCGAGCACACCTCACTCGTCTCCAGCCGCCAGTGAAATAGGTGCTGTGTGCTATCCATCTCAAGCCAGTCTTCGTACGTTCGTTCGGGATAATAAAAGATCTTGGGTTCATAGTCAAAATAGACGTTCCTCGCGGAATAAGGTTTCTCCAGAGTGACAAGAGGATACGGAATAGAACCTTCAAGCCATGGAGCTTCGCCAGCGAGACGCGCCCTGAGGGTGTTGAGGGCAGCGGGTTCATCTTGGTACAAGAGCGCAAGTGTCTCCTGCTCCTCCTTGACGTCGTCGTCGTCGTACTTTTTTTCGTCTTCCTTCAAAGCAAGAGCAAATCCTGGAAGAGGTTCAAGGAACTCAGCTACGTCTCGCTCACGAAGGTCATCGATTCCGCAAGGCTGGAATAACGCGGTATTGTCTTGTTTATTGTCCATAAAGGCTAGCAGTAAGAAAGCGCGATAAGTACACAGTTAGTTAGTTACGCGAGGCGTTGGATAATAATATTGATAATAATAGCACTTATTTTTACCTATAATATTTTCATAGGCTTGAGCGACTTAATGAGCGGAAGAGAAGGGGCAAATGGGGTGAAGATGGAGCCCGGATGAGGTGCGGATGAAGTGCGGATGAGGTGTGGTGGAGGGTTACAGATGCAACAGTGGTGGGAGGTGCAAAGAGGAAGAAAAAGGTGAGGAAAAAGGGCAAAAAGCACTTCACTGTTGTTTTTGTTATTGCTTTCCTCAGGTATCGCGTTTTGTACGTGGAAAGTCCCTTAATGATAGGGGCCTTTTTAACCCCATTATTCTTCCTTGCCAGGGACTCTATCTGTGTGTGTATCTTTCTTTTATTATTAACCGTGACTTCCGAAAAAAAATAAAAAAGTTGAAAATGAAAATGAAAACAAAATAAAGGGGACTCTTGGTGATCTGTTGATCTCTATCTTTCTTTTTCACGGCCGGAACACTCTCCCCGAATCTCGGAACGATCCTCCCCCATGTCCCATGCACCCAATCCTACGGCCCCCGATGTCGATATCGACATTTACACGACCCTTCGCCTTATGCAGGAGCAAATGCAGCAACAGCAACTCCTTTTACAACAGCAACAAGCCAGGATTCAACAACTGGAAGCCGAATCAGTCGAACAGGACGGCAAAGTGGTCTGCAAGCCCCGAGCAACCACTCTCAAGCTCTACGAAGAACTCCTCAACATCTATCCATCCATCGGGGAACCCAAGTTCTTCGATTCCGAGCTACCCAAGAACCATGAGGTTTTCGATTGGAACGACTACCATTACACCGAGGGTATGGATTACAAGCCTCCCCCAGTTTTGCAACACTCCGAAGTGTCCCTCACGGATGCAGCCAAGCGACACGAACGTGATTTGGCAACAATCCAAGGATATTTGGCACACACAACCCGGTTCTACGACACTCTCGCCCATGAGATCATCAAAAATAAGGAATCCGACTCGGCTCACGGTAAACGTACGCTCGGTTTCCTCAACACCGTACGTATCTCAGCATCCCACGACGCTTCCAGGATCAGTCGGATGCGAGAGAACCTTTACCTCGACGAACTCGGTATTAAGCATGGAAACGACAAGGAGGAATCCCTTTTCACTTTGGAATCACTGGCAGCCAAAAAAGCAGCCGCTGATCTGGTTCGAAAGACATACAAGAAATACGAACCTCCAAAGGACAAGACCAAGAAGCCTGACAACAAGTCTACCAAGGACAAGTCAGCAACAGACGACAAACCCAAGGACCAGCAGTCGGGAAAGTCGCAACCCAAGGACAAGTCAGGATATAGATCTGACAAGGGCAAGTCGGGTTACAAGTCGGACGGAGGCAAGTCTGGTAGCAAGCCTCGGTACAAGTCTGGTGGCGGTCAAGACAGGAAGCAACCAGACCAGGGAAACGACGGGGAGGAGTCGGATTAGTAGGAGGACGACTTCTCCGGTTCCAGGAGGCATGGAGAGAGATGACGGATTCGACTTGGGTCAACAACATCATCAAGTCGGGCTACAGCATCATTTTCGACCGACCTCCACCACTGCGCCTACCACCGCTACACGATCCGTTCAATTCACCGGAGGAACGGACGGCTATCGACGAAGAGGTCCGTACTTTATTACGGAAAAAGGCTATCGAAGGTTGCAGCGGGAGGGATTTTACAGTCGTATCTTCACTATCCCCAAGAAGACGGGAGACCTACGCCCAGTGTTGAACCTACGTCCACTCAACCAATTCTTGACAGCACCCAAGTTCAAGATGGAAACCCTTACCAACATTTGCAGGATGCTCAAACCCGGCGACTGGCTTACGAGTATCGACCTCAGCGATGCGTTTCTACATGTGGCAGTCCATCCAGCATCTCGCAGGTACCTCCGCTTCAGATGGGGAGCGGAGTCATACCAGTTCCGAACTCTGCCTTTCGGACTTTCACTTTCCCCCTTCGTCTTCACAAAAATCGTGCGTCCAATTCTCAAGTGGGCAAGGGAGAAAGGGATCAGGATCTCGGCATATCTCGACGACATCCTCATCGCAGCCAGGACCAAGGAGGAGGCCAAGGAGCACACTCATCTGGTTCGGGAACAGCTGGAAAAGCTTGGATTCCTTATCAAGAACGCCAAGTCAACACTAGATCCTACCCAATGTATCGACCATCTTGGGTTCAGGATCAACACCGGCAACATGTCACTGTCGGTTCCAAGGCCAAAAGTCCGCGACCTGCGCAGGGAAGCGGAGAAGCTGATCAGAGCAGGGACGGTTCAACTTCGGCGGCTGGCGGCATTTATCGGGAAGGCGATCGCGATGACGGTGGCGGTCTTTCCGGCTCGACTGAGGACGAGGAATCTGATTCAGGTTCAGAATGCAGCTCTGGCCAAGAAATGCAAGTGGACAGATCCAGTTACATTGGACACGGCGGCACTGGAGAATCTCAGCTGGTGGCGATCTCATCTTTCGGAGTGGAACGGTCAAGGATTCTTGCCTCAGAGGACGGAAGTCGACGCATACACCGATGCCTCGGAGGAGGCATGGGGGATTGTGATCGAGGGCAAGGAGATGTCCAGGACATGGAGCGCATTGGAACAACCACACCACATCAATTAGAAGGAGCTGCGGGTCATCTGGCACTTGGTCTACCTTCCAGAAACGACCGGGAAGACCATTCATGTTATTGCGACAACATGACAACCATTGCCCAGATCAACAAATTCGGCGGGACGAGGTCTCGACCACTACTCGAACTGACGACCAGGATATGGAACCACTGCATGGCGACTGGCACACGACTCAAGACGACATACGTTCCCTCACAGTTCAATCCAGCAGATGCACCGTCCAGGAGGATGACGACGCAGCTGGAGTGGTCGATCGACAAGTCATTCTTCCAAACCCTCGAGTCGACATGGGGTCACCACCACATCGACCTATTCGCAACAGCAACGAACGCCAAAGTTCCTCGATACATGTCATGGAAGCGGGAGGAAACCGCCTGGGGCCAGGACGCGTTCAACAGCAGCTGGTCCAACATGAACAGAGTTTATGCATGTCCACCGTGGTCGCTAATCAGCAAGGTCCTCCAGAAGATCAAGCAGGACAAGGTCAAGGCAACGGTCATCACTCCATTCTGGACGAGCGCGCTCTGGTATCCTATGATCACAGCCATGTCGGTCGACAAGCCTCTACGGATCTCGAGGAACCAAGTCTTACCAGCTCCGGGGAACAGTCCACACATCCTCGAGAGGAATCCAATGTGGTCGCTCTCGGCCTGGAACGTCGACGGCAACAAGCAGTAGAGAAGGGAGCACCCGGATGTTTGAGCACTACCGCCACGCTAAAGAAGGAGATCCCGCCGGACGACGTTGACACGCACGGCCGTCGGTCATCCCCAGTCATTGTTGAAGCGTGCTACAGGATCTCGCGATCTCTAACAAGCAACTTCGCCGCAGCCATATTTCCTCAACTCTGAACCCACAGATAGAGTCCCTGCCAAGGAAGAATAATGGATAGCGTTGCCGAATGTAATGACGGCTAAAGCCTATTATTCGACAACGCCAGGGACTCTAGATGTCCCACCCGACCCGCCCTTTTCTAGCAAGTAGATAGAGATCAACAGATCACCTAGAGTCCCCTTTATTTTGTTTTCATTTTTCATTTTCAATTTTTTTTTTCCGGAAGTCACGGCTAATAATAAAAGAAAGATACACACACATCTAGAGTCCCTGGCGTTGTCGAATAATAGGCTTTAGCCGTCATTACATTCGGCAACGCTATCCAGAAGAGATCCTTCATCTTTCTACAAACGGCATGTAACCAGTTCGATAAGATGAAGGTATTGCTAGTCTTTGTAATAAGAATGCAACAGGAATACCGAACCCTGTATCTGAGTTCTTCACGGCAAGAGTGAACAAGTTCGTTTCATGCCTACGAAGTAATGGAGCAGGTAAGTATAGCCACATATACATATATCGTTGAAGCACTGCAAAGAGAGAATAAACGTACCCAAACACATTATGGGTTCCATCAAAGCATATCGCTCTTCCATGGGTCTTGAGTTGTTGTAGTTGCCACAAGGAAGCGAGCCCATAGTATAGACCATCGTTGTCGTAGAAAGTAAACGCGTTGTTCCTTTCAAATTCCTCCATCCATTTTATTCCCGACAACACCGGATCCGGGTTCTTTCTCATCTGGGCGGTTGTGATTCTGTGCCATATATTGTAGACGTCGTCGAAAGTAATGAAATCGTCCCGCGACAACTGCTGCTCGTTTCCTCGTGTGATCTGCGTGAACTTATCGTAGTCCATTGTCAGCTGTTGCATTACTCATTGAATGGTTGATCCTTGGTTTATCAGACGCTCGATCGTGGTCCTGATAGCAGCCGACTTTTGTCGTGTGCCGAGATCGGTGATGTCGCCAACGGAGTGGTTGTGTTGATAATGATACTCAACAATACATTCTGGTTTGCTGAAGCCATCTGCCACTGGTATTGGCTTGAACAAAGCATGGATCTTGGAAAGGCAGCCTTTCTTGATCCCTTCATTCCGCATCCTGGGGTTTCCACTCTTCCCTCCTTTCAAAGCGTCCTTCCGCACTACCTTTTGGCCGGCGCATTGACACTTGTAAGTGAGTCGATATTGATCCACGACAGGGTACTTATAGTTCTGCGAGAAAACAAAGTTGGTGGAGATAGCTCGTTGATGCTTCTCCTTCCAAGCCTCGAAGCGGTCGGGAACAATATGGAACTCGGCGACGTTCGCGTCAAGCTTGATAAACCGGGAGTCTGGATCCGGTTTGAAATGCTTCGCAGAGTCACGGATCTCATTGTCAACGTACAGAACGCCCCGCACTCTGCTCACCACCATGCCACTGAGTCCTTGCGCGATGCGTGCCTTCAGTAGCTATAGCAGTATTAAAACAATTCAGCATGTGGCAAGGCAATAGTCGTGCAGTCAACAGTAAGGCACTTTAAAGAAAAAAAGCTACTAACCTCTATTCCATCCTCAGTTTTAATATCCTCGTTCTTGATGTCCTCTTGATCCTTTTCTCCATCCTCGTCAGCAGCTTCTGCTTTAGCTATATACTGGTCCTACAAGTCAATGCTAGTTTGTTTAGTACGCTACAAGTAAACCACAATCGCAAGAGGTGGCAATTGCACAACATCACCTACAACTTCATCCAGGATATTGACCACCGCAAGTTCTATTCGATCGAGAGCAAGCTTGTTGCTCATAATAGGATCATTAGCGGGAACATCTGAGGCGGTGAACTGGTTAGTATTAGAGGGAATCGGCTACTTTGGGTCTCTCTTTTTTTATTTTTATCCTCCCTCTTTTTTATCCCCTCCACTTGCCATGTTTTTCGTTTTTTCTCTCTCACTCTCACTCTCTCTCTCTTTTCTTTCTTTCTCTCTTTTCCCCTCTCTCTCTCTCTCTCTTCCCCCCCCCCCCCCCCTCTCTCTCTCTCTCTCTTTTTTTCCCCTTATTCTCTCTCTTCTCCCCTCATTCTCTCTCTTTTCCACTCTCTCTCTCTTTTCCCCTCATTCTCTCTCTTTTCCACTCTCTCTCTCTTTTCCCCTCATTCTCTCTCTTTTCCACTCTCTCTCTCTTTTCCCCTCTCTCTCTCTCTTTCCCCCTCTCTGGCAGCGAATACCGTTCATTCTCTTTTGCCGTGCGAAAAATCGTTAGTGAAGCATTTACTTTTCCTTTCGCCATACATCGAAATGAATAAGCACCGCCACTGTTTCCTTCTGCAATGCATTCTACAGGCAAGAGCTAAGCTTCAATCCCTTTCAAGTGCTATGATTTGTCGTCCGCTGAATGACGACAGTGTTTTCTAAATGAGAACCAACACGACTCGAAACATTTGTACAAAACATGTTTAAACATTGCCTGCATTATGTCTGTGAACAAAAAAATGGGTGTCTGCATGCGTCATGAGGGGACACTGTATAGTTACCAGAGATTGTACAGTAGGTATATAACCCTACTGTGGCATTGTTTGTTGATTATGTCTTCAGCACCTTGACCAACTTCGGTACAAAATCCCAGACGGTCACATAGGTATTAGGTATGATAGAATTTTCCGAGGAAAAAGAGAGAGAGAGTAGGGGGATGGGGGAGGGGGTGCAAGAGCCGAGAGTGAACACTTACTTTTGATTTATGTCCCTACTCCGTGGCAGTGCCTTTAACAACCGGCATTATGGCTTAGTCATACGGAACCGGTCTAGACCTCAATAACAGTAATGTGTATCTTTATTTATATAATAGTGCATGTATGCCCATCTTGTGCGACTGTGGAATATTGCATTTTTGGGTTACGCATTGCACCAAACATCGAAACATGCACGTTGATAAACTGAAGGACTGCGCATTGTACTTGTTTTCCACCATAGGAAATTTGCTCATCGCCTGTCGAGAAATCAAGACAGAAGCAAGGTAGGGTAACCATTTCCGATCATGTCAATAATCAATCGATCATTTCAAGAGTCGATCGATCATTTCAAGAGTCGACCGATGATGTCGTACAATGTGACATCGCCTCGAGTTGGAGTCCTATTCAACTGTTATAAAAGGGGAGGTATCTCCTACTTCACTTTTCACTTCCTTCCCAACCAGAAACACACACATTCCGCATAAACAACATGGCACACCAGCTCCCACTCCTCGATTATCATTACAACCCTACAGAAACCTTGCACACCTTCTCCAATGCAGTCTTCGATTATCTGGATACGCACTACGAGCCAAAGGGTACCCATCTACTCGAACCCGAAAAGATGAGGGCCCTATTGGTGTTCTTGACTCTTCCAGAGGATGTCGAAGTCAATCGTCAACTCAGCTCCATGTACTTCAACATTGTGTTCTTGGCCCACTCGGTCCAGACGGTGTTCACAGCCCATGGTCCAGCGGTGACTCCTGCCGGTCTCATTACTTATCTTCGTTCCGAGATCATGAGTGAACCTGATACAAGCGGCTTTAAGTGCTTTGAAATGGCAAACAAAGCAATGCGACTGAGAGTCCCTTTTGCTCGGTCGCAGTTCCCTCCAGTGGCAGAACCAAGGGCCAAGGAATTGCAGTCGTATATTGAAGCCAGCGTTAGAAACACTATCAAAGACATGGGCTGGAGTGCAGCGGCTGTATACAATGAGGAACTCGAGGCCGTGAAGATGCGAATCGCCTTGGAGCAGAGGGGTCAACAGATTGCATTGGACCTTATCAGCCCGCGAATTTGCTATAGCTGTCATAGATACCCATGCACTTGTGGGGCATCACGTTTTATCTAGTGCACACCCTTATCCCCTATTCCTTCATAAACTTCCATATAGCCTTCTCTCTTTTCTTTTGACGCACAACATTGAATAAAGTCCTGATCCTTGTGTGGTAAAGACTGGTGGAGTGTCAAGTGTTAATGGGCGACAGGATAGGGCAATGTATAACCTAATTGGTAGTGCCAGAAATCCGGGTGAGGCATAGCTCGTGAGATGCAGTGCGTCAAGAGACAAAAGAGTGGTAACTTATCAAATAACACCTGGATCGGTACGTTGTTCTTGTTCCCTGATCTTGGTCTGACGCCTCTTCAGAGCCTTGGACAGCATGCCGCCCTCGTACTGGTTCTCGACACTTCGATACGTGATAGAACAGCAAAGAGGGAAGGTATGGCGTTGTCGTGCAGAACCAGCGACCTCATGTGCAACAGGTTTGAAGACCAAGGCGAGTGCCAGGCGACGACGATGCGGACGGGTTAGATGGTCCTGTTTAGACGAAGCCAGATGGCGAAGGAGACCAGGGGGCAAGTTGATAGACAGAGTTTTTTTTCTAGGAAGCCGAGAATCCAGACAAGATGCTTGACGAGATCTGAACATCTGTGAGGTTGTGGACGAAGTCGCTGATTTATCAAAAAAATCCACCGAGAGAGGCATTGCAGTGGCATATGCGTTAGAAGTGAAATGGCATCATGACAGACTGACAAAGCAAGCAGATAAAAAGGTGCTTACCACTCTTGAGCATAGAGGTCATCTCAGGGGGTCGTTCCAAATCTGAAGGACAACCCCAGAACGCCTGTTCAGCCTGAATTCCAGAGACGATACTGTGCTCTCGGATGTCGTACGTTCGCACGAGCGCAAACTTGTGCACTGAAGCCCTTTGTGCAGCACTCAGCTCTTGTGTTCCTCGCGAGAGCTCTTCGAACTCGTCTGGGCTGATGGGAGCCGCGCCGGCAATCTGCCGATTCAAGATGGTCGTAATCTCTCCTAACTTGTCTTTCATTGCGGTGATGATCGGATCATCCAAAGGTAGTTTGTCACCATTGCCTGTGACGAAACATCCTGCTTGAGCCGCCCGCTGAATAAGTCGCGATCTGAAACCGTTCATAGATAGGTGCTTTTTGGCCATTACGTGGCAGTACATGCGATGGTACAGGTCATCGGGGATAGTAAGGTCGTCATTGTCATCCAGCTGCAACTTCAATGTTGGACTCGCTTGGACCTTGCCAGTGACAATGTTGAGCTGATTGCATATCCACTCTCTGACTTCTTGCGCTGTGGTTGGAAGATTGACGGTTGTGCCATTTGCATGGACAAGATACGTTTTGGACTTTACATGTCGCACGCGTCGCATCATCTGCATGCATGTCTCGACATCAACCTCACTGTGTGTGCTGAAGGTCCCAACAACATAGTCCACATGGTCCTTGACGTTGTAGTCGACTCCGACACTGATGGTAGGCGTGTGGATGAAATAGTTAAGATCGGTCATTGTGTCGTTGATGTTCTTGCCGATGTCTCGCTTCTTTTCCTCCTCCGTGTTTTTGGTCACACATTCACCTCTAAAGCCTTCTTCAGTTAACATGGCATCCAAGGCCTCAGTCCATTTTGCACTCATTGTGCTTGAGATGTATAGCCGCTTTCGAGCTTTAAGTAGCACCAGCACCTCCTTGATCAGCTTCCACATGTCGTCAAACAACACAACCTTGTCGTCCTTCTGCTGTCGGAATGTATTGTCGATAACCAAAAAGTCACTACGCAGACTCTTCATGATTTCGATCTCTTCGTTGCTCAGATCTGCGTCGAGACAGATAACCCGTTTTGCTCGTCGGATAAGTCGCTCGAAAATCTGGAGATTGAGGTTGTGCATGTTGCCATGGGTCTTGTCGCTGCACATCTGCTTGATCAGCGAACTGGTTTCGTCCAGGATCAGGATCGTGTCGTCGCGATAGTACTTCATGTCGATTCTGTGCAGCGACTCTGTTTGGATGACCAATCGTTCACAAGCAATTACGCCTCGCAGCCTGTCCTGGTAGTTCTCAAACCTGTGGAACCGCTTTTCTAGCATGTCTGCATGCGTTCGGCGAGGGGTAATGGCGACGAATTTGGACTCCTTGTTGGCTTTGACAAGAGCTTCCAAATATACAGTCTTGCCGCCGCCTGTGTCGCATCGAATCAGCAGACTGGGAGGCTGGTTGACAGTTTCGACCAACTTCAAGGGCTCTAATGGCGGTGCCAGATGGAAGTGCGTCAAGTATTGAGCATGGTCCGGGATGTCCACATGGGAAAGTCCGTGGCGCGTTCGCAACGCCACAGCAGCTTCCATCTCAACAGCCAAAGCGAAATCACGTTTGCACACCTCCTTTCCTGGAATGCTGGATCGATAGCAGTGCAGGAATATAGCCCCAGAGCGAACAAGTCTCAAGAATGCATTTTCTCGATCGTGCCCTCTCTCGCAAACAATACAATAGCCTTGAACTTTGCGTTCCAGATGGAAGTCCATTGGACGGTCGATATAACCCTGCATCTCGAAGAACTGGACGGCATGCTCTGTCTGCTCAAACTTAGCTGTCACAGCATCCACGATGTGCTTGGGCAGACTCGACTGGATAGCTTCTCGAGGTTTCCTAGTTACAGTCGACAGTGCTCGCGCAGCGGCAACCTCGTACAAATCGCTGGTGACCTTGATGGAGTCAAGTCCAATGCTGGTAATGAGAAACTCTTCCTCGTCGGCCAACATGGACGGCTCATGCCATTCTGCCCGCTTCAATGGACGACTTGGATCCAAGAATTTGTGACTACCGAGAATCCGCATGATTCGGTTCCTGCTATAGACTCCATCGTCGATGCGTTTGAGCAACGCGGCGTCTTCGTCGTTACAAAGAGCGGAGCACCAAAACCTCTGGAACGCGAGAAAGAACGCCTTCTGGTGCTGGTGGTTGTTCTCAAACACATATGTCGGGATCACGATGTGCAACGACAGCTTCTTGCTGTTGGATGCACTGAGAACACGGTAATTCTCCTCATCAAGTGCAAACTCGGGGGCGTGTTGGTTGCGCACTCTCAAAAAAGCAGCGAACACCTGCTGCTCCAGTCGCTTTATTTCACTCTCGTCGGCAGAGGAAGCAAGAGTCCAGTCGATGTCGTAGTACTCTTTGCAGGCCTTGCCTTCGCGGATCTGCTCGAAAAAGCATCGCTTTTCTTCGGGAACAGAGTCGTAAGCCTTCAGGAATGTCGTCGAGTCCATGTAGCTTGAATACTCCTTCTTGTAAGGTCCATCGACAGCCACAAAGAACTCGTGGGAGCTTATATCGCTCCATTCGTGGCATCGGTTTGAGGACCCTTAATTTGGCCATCGTAGGTCCTAAAGTAGGTGGATTCGAACTTGTGGGTCATGTTGGGTAGAGGAGAGAAAGTTGAGGTGGCAAATTGGTATGGTCTTGTAAATCGAGAAAGGCCCAATCAATTTTAGAACGAAAAATATATACGCAGCCACACGCACACAAACGGTGGCTTGGCTCTTTATTTTCTGTTTCTTGTGTGATATCCCCTGCCCTATTACAGGAATCCACACATGGCAAGAATGACCGCATTCGACCCGTCCTCCGCATTTACGTCCCCGACATACCCCAGCTTTCCTCTGCCAACTGTAGCCATCGCCACGGCTGTCTCCCCGGTCGTGTTGGCACTTGTGGGAGGGAAGACCGCAGATTGAACCAACGAGTTATCATCGGTCTTGTACCACATGTTCTCTGGTACGACGTTGTTCACGAAGACCGCCTTCTGACTGTACCTTTGCGGCAGCTTCCTGGCATTGGCCACATCAACCGCGGCACGGTTTAATGTCAGGGTTGTTCTGTGGTACGATCCAGTTCCCCAGTGTAGGCCTGCTCGGGAGAAGAATGGCTTCGTGCTGTTTGGTTGGACGAAGGAGGGGAAGAGGCCCATGACAATGGCGGTGCCCCCGCGACGGACATACTCTAAAACTGCTTCCCAGACAGCACTGTTCTCCCGGAGTGTCAGGGCTTCGTCTGTTATAAGTACGGCCGAAGGCTCCGGGAGTTGTGATAAAAACCGAATGGCCGAGGTTGAGTGTTCAGCTTGCTGAAATTCCGCGTTTGACCTGAGGGCGGTCAAAAGCGGGGCATACATCTCGTCAAACCATGGCTGATTGTGCAGAGAGATGGCAAGAACCCGAGCTGTTTCCGATGCCATGGTTGAAATGCTGCAAGCACGGCGGTGTAGCAATGTACCGTGTACAAGTGTCGATGAGGGGGTGATTATTCCGAGTATAGTGGCGAAAGTTGAATCTCCCGCTAGTGCGATGAAGGGTGGGGGTGTTCCGATAAGGCGAGGAGGAAGTTGTTGAATGTGGAACGGTCCTGTGGTTGGCAGGCGCATAGATGCAGGAAATGTCGAAGGTCAAGGTTCTGTAAGCCAAGCCACCGTTTGTGTCGTGTGACTTCGTATATTAGAATGAACGTGATCACGTGATAGTGACTGCTAGCCATCTGATTCGCGTCACCATCAACAAGGAAAATCTTGGCAATGGTTGCATCTCTTTTAAACATTTTCTCCAAAAACACGCACGCGGCATTCATAGCACCACGTTTTCTCCGTTCCAACAAAAGTGAAAAAAGCAACCATGGCGACAACCACACTCACACTCTTCTGTCTCATCCTCGGCGAGCTTGTGTCGAATGCATTCTCGGTCAAGGTGATTTCTTCAGCCACTGTCGACGAACTCAAGGATGCAATCATAGCAAAGAAAACAAATACGTTCGAACACATTGACGCCAACGACTTGGTGCTCTGGCAAGCTACAATCCCCACTGACGAAAACGCAGAGAAAGAGAGAATCATCACGCTTGATAGTCTGGACGACAAAATCCATTTGAAATCCCCAAGAACAAGCCTTTCCAAGCTGTTCCCCGAGAGTCTTGATGACAACACATACATCATTGTCAAGCGACCCAAAGATATGCCCCAAGTTTTTCCGGGATGGCCGCGTGTGAGTTTAGCCGGGGGCTAGAGCGCAGAGTAGTTCCTAGAGAGACTTCTGCTTTCTGGCCCACATGGTCCGTGCGCTCTGAAAAGTGATCCTGCTTCATATCATGGACGAGGCGCTTGAGTACGATACCATCGTACAGAACCACTGGAAGTTCCTGTACACGGACTGGCCTATTATCGACAGAGTGAAGCATCACCGCACAGAGATCGCTGCTGTGAACGACATCGACAGCATCAAGACATTTGTGTTGAATCGCTTGGGGGTCATACCTGTGTTCTTCTTCTTAACCGTGATCTTTGGCACTAGAGCATTTTCCTGCTCATACAGGACTGTCGAGAAGGGTGTCATGCTACTCTACGTGCTCGTGAAGGGGATCTCCTTGAGCGATATGGCACGGTACATCCCGAAGACCTCCTTCCACACCATCCACAAGGAGTTCTACATGCACAACCCTGCGGCATTAAACCGCCTTCTGACCACAATGTTGTCTGAGATGTTCTCTACTCTGAAGTCGCGTCATCTCGCTGCCGAGCGGCCTCTCCATGTGCAAAGGATATAATAAGGCATATACAAAATATCCAATGCCCAAGGAATACAGTGTTGACTTCCATGGCTGATGTATCTCTTTAAAGTCGGCAATAGAACAATGAAATAAAATAGCAATAGATAGCACATGTTTTTTTAAAATGTAATCTCTCCCCTGTATTTCACGACAAAATACAGCTGAGGGTACAGGTGCTTTAGATGATCACATACAAGAAGTACTACCCTTAATCTCGCAGTGAGGGGTACATTCAAGAGATTGGTGTGCGAAAAATAAGTAGACTTTGTTGTTTGGAGAATAGGTTGGTGTTTAGTAGGATAGTTATGCAAGGAATGTTACAGTGGTTGTTTTACATGGTGGATATTATACATACACTCTCCTCTAATGGTTGCTGTAGATATTGTCAAGGTCTGCAGAGATGTAACATATACCATATTACACTTTGGACTTGAAAGGCCTCCCGAGAGAAACCCTGATCCATTCAAGAGCGTAACACTCAACCTCGACGGCCATGACTCAAGGATCATATATGTGAACGCAGACAAAGCTAGTATGTACTCGTACAAGCTGAAGAAGTCAGGGTTCCGTGTGCAAGTGTGCACAGACATGAACAACATGGTCTTTTTTGTATCCGCACCCGCGCCATGTCGTGATTACAACGACGGGACAATGCTTCTTCGTATGGGCATCCAAAACAAGATCCACAAGCTGGACTGTGTTGCGTTGGACGGTGGGTACAACTTATTTATTGGCAAGCTACTGGACAGCGCGGACGAACTCCAGTACGAGAACTTCTGCTATCCGATCCGGAAGACACGTGGAATTGCATTGACCGAGGAAGAGAAGGCCTACAACGAGATCTTCGGGAGCTTCCGTTCTCGTATTGAAGGTTATTTTGGGGAGATGCAGTCGACGTTCACTAAGTTCAGTCATACCGTTGTGAACAAGGTGTCGGAGAAAGAGACGTTTGGTGTTCAGTACAAGCTAGCGTGTCTCCTAATGAACATCAAAAGGTTCGTTGCACTCAGGAGCATTCCCACTGAACAACATCACATGTTGTGGCTTCAGGACGGTTTTGACTACCCAAACAAGACAGAGCAAGAGACCACGTACACTCTTCCGAACATCAAAGTCAAGCTATCCCAGAGCCAAGATTTGCTTGCCACACGGAAGGCTTTTTTCGACATGGCTATTTCCGAGGACCGTTGAGTATCCGAAGGCCACTCAGGGCTTCGAGCAGCTCCAGAAGGGAGTCGTTCCAAATCTGAAGGACAACCCCAGAACGCCTGTTCAGCCTGAATTCCAGAGACCGGTTCAGGTGGCACATCTTTTAAAACCTGCAGTGGTCCATCCAGCGCCCCTAGAACGTTGCAGTGCACTAAGTCCCCTCTTGTTCCATAGCAATAAAAGAAGCCCCACATAAAGAGCATGATATTCGACTCTTGGAAGCTGTCTGCGCCCGATTGGGTCGTACTCTTGAGCCAGAGAGGGCCCGCTCTTTCAAAGTCCAAGGTATTTGAAAGGATACAAGGTCGTGGGCACAGCCTGCTGTTCGGCGGCCGACGACGGAGTCTGGCTGCTGCTTTGACTTTTATTCCTGTACTCTACTCTCCAGCAAGCCCAGTGCGCGGCCTGAGTCTGGCAGACTGAGAACAACCCCCTCAGCTTCTGTAAGACGACGAGGAGAAGGACGAGGATGGACGAGGAGGACGAAAGGAAGAACGAGGGAGACAAGGGAACGAAGGGAACGAGGAAATAGCTACATTGTGATATCTTGTTTAATAAAGTGAGTTAATAACTGAGGAACTAGACTACGTATGAACTACCTATTTATGTGTGTTCAAGGGATCTGGAGGAGCCCATAGTTCTTTCTAGGTCTTTCAGTAGAACTGTATCGGTTGGCTGGTCAGAAGGGTGATTAGTCAGCGAAAGCCACTCAGTGATCAGTTGATCCCGTAGTCAATGGCGCTAGAAAGATCTGTGGCGTTGGTCATGTGCCAGTTATCAGAGTAAAACTCTGACAGCTTCATTGTCACGCAATTGCTCCCTGCTTGTCGCCAACATGTCCAACTTCCGACCAACAAGCGCCTTCTTGATTAGGTATTCCTTGGCAGCCTTTGCTTCATTGTGTGACATGCGACTCAAGTCGACCAGAACTTTGTGCTTGCTACTTCCAAATGTAGCCATCCAACCCTCCCACTCCTGCATGACAGCCTTCTGATTAGTCGAATCCATATCCCGACTATCATAATATTCCACAGGTTTTGCTTGAAGCACGTTCTCAATACCAAGAAAGTACGTAGCTCCCTTGCCTCCTCTGTTGATTGACTCCGCCCATTGACGCCCCTTCCGTGAACTTACAGTCTGGGAGGTCATCTTCTAGCTTGGTAAAGTCGTGCGGTTTAATCAAATATAAAGGTCTGAAAATAGACATTTCGTGCTTGGATCCGCCATATCCAATTTACTCACACCCATAGTTCTAAAAACAAGCATTGCCAATAGACATATGACATCCATAAGCAATACGCGACGGTGTGGCCGCTCAATCAAGCATCACACGTCAATGTCCACTCTCCCAGCACAATAAGTGGTAGACGCTGATGAAATACCAGTCCGCGATGTAACAATGTCATCCGATAGCATGAATAATTTACAGAATTCCCAATCATGCCCAGGTTGTCCATAGCTAGATACTAGCAATGGACTCTAGCACAAGTTGGCCTGCCGGCAATATCCAATGAATAAAAAAGCAGCGCTTCAGGCGCAACGTCAAGAGTGGACTTGTGGTATCCATACACAACGCTTAAAGATGAAGCCGATCAACCAGGCATCACACGTTACTAGCCACTCTCACAACGCAAACGAGTGCTAGACACTGATAATGCACCAATTCGCAATGAGAGGTGCCACCCGATAGCCTGATCAGTTAACAGAGTCCGCAATCAAGCATATGTGCACAATTGGGCCTGCCGACGACATCATGCTCTCTCCTTCGGAAGTGTGACAAGGTAGAAAACATTACCTTTGTAAACATACGAATTTTGGCAGCAATGAAAGACGTGAGAGAGAAGGAAGAGGGAAAGATGACGCGATAACAAAGAGAGAAGGGTGATGGAGAGAGTAAAGATAAGAAAGGGAAAGAGAAGGACGACGATGAATGTGGCGGGTGAAGAAAAGAGGGTGGGGTATAGATAGATGTAGTGATGAAACAGGCGTGGGAGTGAGGATGAGGTTGCTGTGGAAGAGATGAAAGGGCGTGGGAGTGGTGGAAGGATGAAAGGAAGCAGCGCAAAAAACGCGAGTAGGTGACGTCACCATAATTTATTTCATTGACGTATAGGAAATAACAGATTATTTTGCCACCGCTCCCACGCTCTTTTTCACCATTCCCACACCTTCATCGTCCTTAACAACTCCAGGCTTTTTTTATCGTCTCTGACTTGTGCCACCACCTTTTTTGCCATCTTTTCTGCCGCCGCTCTAACGCCTTTTCCAGGCAGCACCTTATCTTTACCCACACCTTCGTCATCACCCGTCCCTTCTCATCGCTTTCGCCAGTAATCCATTCTTCTCTCTGTCACTCTCACGCCCACTCTTCCCACATCTCTTTACTGTGCTACCTCGCCCACGTCTTTTTTATCGTCTTTCCCCTTTGTTTGCCACCTTTTTTTTTTTGTTTGTTTCTCTTCACCCCCTTTTTTTGCCACCATTTTCACACCCTCATCGTTTGCCACCACTCCCACGCCCTCTTCTTTCTTTTCCTTTTAAACCCTCGCCTAGCATCTTTTCTCTTTTTCTTTTCTTTCATCCTTCGCTTTCTCTACAACCCTCACTCTCTTTACACCTCGCTCTCTTCCCTCTACTTTCTTTCCTCTGATGCTTCACAACACCATGGCCAGCAGCCTCTTGAACCTTTTCTGTCTTGTTGATGGAGAGGGTACGTCCAACGCGTTTTCTGTCAAGATTGCCTCAACGGACACTGTTGATGACCTCAAGAAACTCATCAAGGCCGAGAAGACCAATAACTTCAGTGATGTCGATGCAGACCAGCTTACCCTCCGGCGTGTCTCAATCCCTGTTGTTGCAGCCAACAAACACAACCCGATTGTCCCGGAATGAAGTTGAGTCATCAACAGAGCTAGACCCAACCGACGATGTTTCCAATGTCTTTCCAGACAAACCACCCAAGAAAACAATCCACATCATCGTCCAGCGCCCTCCTCAAGGTAATGCTCACACGCGTTTATTGCTTTTTGTGACTTGCTGTTTGCATCGTCGACTCTTGTCAATGCACTAACCTGAAGCACTCATCCATTTGCACCAACATAGTCCAAGCACCTGTTCCTGCTCGAGCCTTGACTCTCCTCCCTGGCTCTCTCTCGGATGGTTCTCGTCCTAGCACCCACTGTCTGGTATGCACTATAGCATGTCCCTTTGTATACGTCTTGTTTTTCCAGCATTCAGTTGTCTCATACCCTGCCCTTCTTTCTTTTATGCAACTAGGCGACCTCCATGCTGACATCAAACGGATCATAGACAAGTTCTTTGCGCCAGGACCAATCTCTGACTTTCTCGGCGCGTTTATAAGAGGCGAGAAGAAACTTCCAGTCACCAAAGGATCTATTCGAGGGTTGCCTAGCGCATGGCGTCGTGGATTCGGAAAGGCCCCAGAGACTTAAGAGGATTTGTCCTTTATTTAGACGTGAAGGTGGATCCTGTCCCAGCTGGAATGAGTAGGTTACAAGGAGTTGCCTGAAGCGACAGATCATGTCAGCCAGCGACTATGACACTGATCTTTACTTCGCTCGTTGGAATGTGCTGAAATAGCTCAATTATTTCCTCGCCCTACGCCTCCACTCCAATCCCAGGGCATCTTGTGTACTGGAAGTCTGACCACAGCTCTTTCTTTCCGTTGATGAACCAACCATGAGTAACTTTCTTTGACCCAAGATGGATGCAGGAGCCAAGGACCTTGGGATATCGGTGGAGCTGCGACCTGTACTTATTAACAGGATGTACATGAAGATACGAAACTCGTCCTCCGAATTCCGTCCAATAATCATATTGGAGTCATCCTCAGTTTGAACATGTATGTTCATCTAACTCGGTCTAGGGATCCTAGCTGACTGTTGCCTGCGTGTTTTGGCTGCAATGCAGCGCCTTGATAATGAAATAGCTACGTATGTATCATTTGGAGATACTACAAGAAAGGTCAGGAGCTAATAAGAAAACCCTTGTCCAGGTTGCAGTGTTCTCTGTTAAAGCTAAATTTCGGTTTCACTTTGCTCGACTAATAAATCAAGTCGTCCACTGAAATGTCAACTTTGCTTCTTGACTTTGCACCAACCTCACTGCTTTTCCTCGTCACTCTCGGACAAGAACAACAACGGCCGGGTCCCATGCACGGACCCTCACTGCATTAACACATACAGCAAAAGGGCTGACATGCAGCGACACTACCTATTGCCCGACCACCCATAGTTAGAATGTGTGTACGTAAAAAACATGATCCAATAAAATAATATAACGCCACCTGCGTTTTCACTCACTAATAGCTGCAGACGAGACAAACAGGACCACGCAATCCGTTTTTTAATACCTTTTTTTCCCATCGAGTTATCCCCATCTGCATCGGCATCACCCTCCATTTTGATCCCATTTTTCTTGAGATTCTACAAACACTTTCTCTTCGTTACCAGTAAAGTAGTACTCAGAAAGACTCCCTCTATTCAGCCAGCTTGTCCGTTTTGCTCTACCACCTCTCCTTGTCATCGGCATCGAATTCCGCTAATGCATTAATCGGTCCATTCAGGCCTTTCCTGTCACTTTTTTGCTTTTTTGCCACCGGGACGTTATTCAGCGACCCCGGTTCTATTAGACTGCGCTCAAGTACAGCTACTTACGCTTGTTTCTGGGATTGTCATTCCGAGTCATTAGCATGAAGCGTCGAGGTGAGTTTAACTGCTCCATGCATCGATTCCGACTGATTTTATTTATTTCTAACCTTGTCTTATGTTTCTTATTTATCTTTTTAGCAAAAATTCAACAGCAGCGGGATGAACGGGAAGACAGGGCATCTCAGAATATTGCTCAGGAGGAGCGTTTACAATGGGAAACTTTGGAGGAAGTCGATGATGATGATTTGTTGCTGGCGCTCGCTATCTCGGCGTCTGCTGATGAATACTCTTCGACTGTGTCTCATACCTCACATGCCCCTTCTCAGCCTATGAGTGAAGTTGAGTTGGCTGCCCTACAAAGAGCGGAGGGATTGGAACGAGCACTCAAGGAATCCTCTCGCCGAATCAAGGGACTGGAGCAACAGCTGGAGCAGATACTCTCTCCGGTTTCTGGCACTTTCATTCGCATCGACCAACATAAGCGACGAAGAGGCACGAAACTTACAGGGGAGGAGAGGCGTGCCGTTCTCCATTGCTATGATGTGTGTCGAGAGGAGAAACACAGAGGATCGGTTGTGTCGACGTTGGACCCTTTTCTACGTACTGCTGTGTACTTCGGGACCTCGCAGAATACGGTGAGGGATGCTGTTCATGGTAAGAATTTGGAGGGTCGACGGGGTATGTACTCTCGCTTTAGCTCGGTGCGATTGATGGCTTCCGATCTTCGGCAGAGGACGGCAGAACTAAACATTTCTGGATCTGTTGTTACTCTTAAACGTCTACATAAGTTCGTTCGAGAAACATGGTCGTTGCCATTCAAGGTTCCGGGACGAGATACCATCCGCAAGATGATGTGTAACATGGGGTACAAGTACAAGGACGCAGGCAAGACAAGGAACTTTGTGGAAACGACTGACATTCGACAGCAAAGGCGCCAGTATTTGCAGCAACGATACTCGGATCGGTTCAAAGATGCACTGTTTGTCTGGCTGGATGAATCCTACTGCAACCATCAGCATGTTAATAGAAAGGTGTTTATTATACCTTTTGCATCCACAACTTTCTTTTCCTTGTTTTTTATTTGCTGCTTATGATAATAATGCTCTGTATTTCAATTTGTTCATAGACATGGTTTTCTGATGGTATGACTGTCCTTCGCAAGAATAATGGGCGAGGGAGGAGATATGTCATTGTTCATGCAGGTTGCGAAGAAGGGTGGATTGGTGAGCCGAAAATATGGGAGGCCAACAGCAGCAGCAAAACCCCTGACTACCATGAGAACATGAATGCCAGGATTTTCGAGGAGTATATGGAGGAACTGTGCCGTCATTGCGTAGAGAAGGGGCACAGGGAGGTGGTCTTCTGCATGGATAATGCAAAATACCATCGTCGTGAGGCTCTGGGGTCCAACACTGAAGAGAACCGCAAAACTCTTTCCACGCTCAAAAAATCCGAACTCATTGACTGCCTTATTAAAATCAATCCCACACTCGACGCAAACCAACTCAACCAGTGCAAGAGACCAGAGCTTTATAGCATGGCCAGACAGGTTGAATACCAAGTTCCGCTAGCTGTTGAGGCGATCACTCACAGGTATTTTTCGCGTTTTTTTTATTTCTGTTTGGCCTCATTTTTCTCCTATCCAACTACACTTTTTAACATGCCCTCTTTTGATTAGATTCGGTTATCATGTCCTATGGCTCCCTCCTTACCATCCTGACCTCAATCCCATCGAGGAAGCGTGGGGAATTACAAAAGGCCATGTAGCTTACGAGAATGATGGATCTGACTTCGCCAAAGTCAAAGCACTTGTGATTGAAGGGTTAGAAAAGGCCGAACCGGCTTGGCCTAAGCTGGTCAAGAGGACTATGCGCAATGAAGCGAGGTATATAAAGGAGGATCGCATTCAACTCAATGAGCCTCCAGGTTCGCCACTTTTGATAGAGACAGAAACGGAGACTGAGACGGAGGACGAGGATGAAGGCGAGGAGGAGGAGGAGGAGGATATGATAGATATGAATGAGCTGGACGATGGTATTCACTGACCAAAATTAAAGTTTATTGCAGTCACAATTTCACGTACGTATTCTCACATTCTAACTATGGGTGGTCGGGCAATACCATGTGGCTGAAAGAAGTTCATCCTAGATGTGGCTAATCTATATTGAGTATACATATTGTGCTGATTGTGGCTGAAAGCGATTACTAGTTAAGTGCGGCGAATTTATATCGGAATGTCTATGAGCCTATTTTTGGATCAGATTAGAGACAAAGCACTGCAGTGGTTTCTGGAGATAGAGAGGAAAGGGATGGGCAGAGGAGATGGGGAGGAGAGATGGAGAAGGAATATAGAGGCAGCATTTGCATGGAGGGCATGAAGAGGGACATGGGAGGGAGAGATGAGGAGGGGATGAGGAGGGGACATGGGAGGGGATATGGAAAAGGGAGATAGAGGGGAGATATGGAGTGGGGATATGGTGAGAAGTGATGAGAAGAGATGACAAAGAGGCATTAAGAGGGGACAGGGAGGGATATGGAGAGAGGATATGGAGAGAGGATATGGAGAGGGGGCATCGAGAGGGGGACAGGGAGGGGACATGAGGAGGGCATGGGGAGGCATGGTAAGGAGGATATGGGACAGTTATGACGAGGGGAGATAAGACGGATATGAGGAATGCATGAAGCAGGGAGATGGGCTTACCAGTTTCAAGCAGCTCCCCCTCTCACCAGTTCCAAGGATGTTAACTTACACAAAAACGTCTTCAAGCGTGACCAGGACATGGCAACAATTCAAGCACGTCTCGCCCACCTCACTCGACCAATCGACGCAACAGTACACGCAATCCTCGCATCCAACCCCATGGACATTGAGGACCCTGTTCTTATCAACATCATCGAGACATTCGACATCCTTCGGTACAATCTTGCTTTTATCGCCACCGAAATCACTCACTTGCGCAAGGATGCTCTGTATCGACACAAGAAAATCATTCCTCCTGCTGACCCCAACGACAAAACGCCGCTCATCACCCTTCAACAATTTATTGACCAGGAGAAGTTCACCCACTCCCTTCGAAAAGCTTCAAGCCAAATCGGATGTGGCCGTGACCGCGGAGGATTCAACAACATGGGCAATCGCACTGGGCAACAGAACTACAACAACAATTTCGACAATTCTCTCAAAAATTCTGGAAACAAGGACAATAGTAACAATGGATCACGTGGTTCAAACTCCGACACCTCCACCAGTAGCAACAACAATAACAACTCTGGCAACAATGGCAATCATTTTCAACAGTCCTCGACCACGAGGGGACGGGGCCGAGGACGCGGAGGCCGGCAGTAGGAGGTCGACTACAACTCTTCCAGGAGGCTTGGCGACGTCTGACAGACGAAAACTGGGTTCGCCAAACTATCGAGCATGGATTCAAAATCCCATTCGACACTCTACCTCCATGCAGTCCCCATCCCAGCAAACACCAACCACGATCAACAAAGGAAACGGAAACGATCGAGAGAGAGATCCTCGACCTATTGGAAAAACGCGCCATCGAGGAGGCTACAGAGGATGGGTTCACCAGCCGACTCTTTACAGTACCAAAACGAACCGGCGACCTTCGTCCATGCCTCAACCTTCGCCCTCTCAATCAGTTCGTACCGCACCAACACTTCAAATTGGAGACGGTGAAAGTTGTCAGCAACCTGATCAACAAAGGCGACTATATGACGAGCATCGACCTACAAGACGCCTCTCTCCACATCCTGATCCACTCCTCTTCACGCAAATACCTACAGTCCCATTGGAAGGGAAACAGTATCAGTTCCGCGTTCTACCATTTGGTCTCTCCTTAGCTCCCTTCGTATTCACCAAGATCCTGAAACCAGTTCTGCGATGGGCGCGCCGACGAGGGATACGGATATCGGCCTACCTGGACGACCTACTGATCATGGCCAAGTCATTCCAGCAGGCAAAGAAAGAAACTCAGGCAGTAGTGGACAAGTTGAGCAGCCTCGGTTTCCTGATCAAGCCATCCAAGTCACAACTGACGCCGACCCAGACGATCACACACCTAGGATTCACCATCAACACCAAGTCAATGACACTGTCAGTACCGAAGGAAAAGGTCAGGGATATCCGACGGGAAGCGACAAAGATACTTCGCAAGGGCATCCTAACGGTTCGAGCTCTCTCGTCATTCATCGGGAAGGCACTAGCAATGACAGCAGCAGTTCTTCCAGAAAGGCTACGAACACAGCACCTTGTCCAGTTGAAGAACGAATCGCTTCGCCAATACAATTCATGGACGGCATCCGTTTCCTTGACGGACCAAGCGAAGGAGGACCTGACATGGTGGATAGACGGACTGAAGTCATGGAACGGTCAGAGCTGGATACGACAACCACCAGAGGAGGAAGTTTTCACCAACGCATCGGACACCGGTTGGGGTATAGTCAGCGATCGATACGCCAAGAACGGAGCCTGGACAGAACCTCTTCTATCGAAACACATCAACTACAAGGAACTCTTGGTCGTCTGGAAGGTGGTGACTCAACCGAGGTTTCAAGGGAAACGACTTCTCATATATTGCGACAATACGACAACACTAGCGTACGTGAACAAGTTTGGAGGAACACGGTCACCTGAGTTGATGGAGCTAGCCAACCAGATGTGGACACATTGCTTAGCGACAGGAACGACACTTACAACAGCCTACATTCCATCGGGACTGAATCCAGCAGATCCCCCGAGTCGACAGCTTCAGGAGCAAATGGAATGGAGTATCAGTCAAGAGACATTCAATGCGATCAACGACAACTGGGGTCCACACAGCGTAGACCTATTCGCCTCCAGCACAAACACCAAACTACCGCGATACATGTCATGGTAACACGATCCACAGGCCGAAGCCCAAGACGCTCTCCTTCAACCCTGGACACACCTAGGCCGCCCATACATCTGTCCGCCATGGAACTTGATCCCCAGAGTACTCCAGAAGATGGAACAGGAGAAGGTCCAAGCCACCATCATAGTACCCAACTGGTCAGGAGCAATCTGGGCACCCACCATCCGGTCCATAGCAACGGCTCCTCCAATCCACCTTCCACGCTCAGCAGTCCTAGATCCAAAGGGAAAAGAGTTCGGTCTCCTATCGAAGAACCCGACCTGGTCGCTAACGGCTTGGAGCTTAAGCGGCGCCGACTAGCAGCTGAAGGATACGACACGGCAGTTATCGACATCATGACTCGTTCGGAGACAGAGCTACGCAAACAATCACGTTACAACTACATTCAAGAGATGTACCGCAAGTGGTGCCACGACAGCGAGCTGGATCCTTACATCGCCAATCCCTCCAACGTTCTCAATTTCCTCGCATGGGGCCATTCAACAAAACGCTGGCGTTCCTCCACCATTGCAGCTTACCGTGCACAGATCCTGGCCCTCTTCGACGATAAGACTCCTTTCGAGAGCAACGATACGTTTAGCCAGTTCTTCAAGATCCTTCGCGCCAACGAACCCGACGCTTCTACCGAGGTTGATCTGGACCTTTCGCCCATTATTACGTATCTCCGCTCATTCGCCAGTAACGAGGACATGTCACCAGAGGAGCTCACCCAGAAACTTTGTTGGCTTCTTGGAATGTGCGCCTTCCTTCCCCCAAGTGACATCGAGCGAATCGACTTGGACAACTGTCGCATGGATGATGAATTTATTTCTCTCCACATTGTCAAACCAAAGGAAACATCGGCCGGCATCCACAAGACCAAGTCTGTCATCTTACGAGCGCACTCCTTGGACAGACAGCTATGCCCAGTCCAGACTTTCAAGGACTACGTTCGTCGCCTAGCCCATAACAAGATCTCAGTTCCCCATCCTACCATGTCTTCTCTCCGGTACAACCCGCTCATTCGCCAGATCAAGTCACCTGGGCATCACGTTGGAGCCCAAAGGATTAGCAAGCACATCGCCGCCATCATGTCCCGCGTAAACGTCCCACCAGGTCATCGCTTACCAAAAGCCCGCGCCGCAGGTTCCACCCACGCCGCCAAGAACGGAGTCAGTGTCGACGACATTGTAGCCCAAGGCAACTGGTCTTCCCGCCGGATGTTCGACAACTTCTACCGCTTATCAAGCAAGACTAGGTCGAACTTTACAGACATAGTTTTAGCCTTTTAGGTAGATCAATCTCTGGAGCCACAGACATGGCTCGTCTGCCCTAGCTGGATAGTGGGTTACGAAGACGACGAAGGAAGTCTTACGTCCATTATCCGAGCAGACGAGCCATGTCTGTGCCCTCCCAACCCTCCCTTTCGTTTAGTTTAGTTTTTTCTTTTTCTCTTTTCTTTCGTGCTCGGTCAGAAAGATGGTGTCCAGAGATCGAGCAGACTCATTTTTATTTTTATTTTTCCTTAGTTTATTGTGCCTTTCTAGCAAAATGAGGCAAAAAAATTAAAACTAATCCAACAAAGTCCAGTGGAGAGCGGAGTGTACTGTACACAGGCGCGGAACAAAATTTTAGTTGTGAGCAGCAACTTAATCAAGGTTTAGCTGTCCGAATTAATTATTTTGGTTGCAAGGCGCAATAGTTTCTCGAGTGCAACCAATGAAGATTGATTACACAGACATGGCTCGTCTGCTCGGATAATGGACGTAAGACTTCCTTCGTCGTCTTCGTAACCCAAATTATGGCTATTTTTGTAGCTGTCAATGGATGCTGTGGCTAGTTGCGGCTGTTTGACTTTGTGGCTATTTTACAAGTCAGGAAACCTAATGTGCTGCCTCCTAACATCCACCAAAGCTTGCTCAGAGAAAAGTCCGGAGTTATACTGCTCTCCAACGTTGTGATGGGTGTACACCGACAGTATATCGCATTACATTTCAGTAATCTCAATTGGATAGAAGACTGCTTGCATTGCACCTCCAACGACTGCAAGCTCCAAGGACCCCTTGGCTAAAGTGCTGTTACCAGGAGACAATGGCTTAAGAGAGATGCTTGAATGTCTAGACGGGTGATTCATCAATAGGATCGGAAGATTGCCTTCGTTCAGTACACAGTTGAGCACCGGGGCGCTGTCATCAAATTACATGCAATTTTCAATACCAGTAAAGATCATCCAATCAAGTTTTAACGTCGTTTTGTTGGCGGCTTGGTCGAAGACGGTCGATGGTTGCATGTTGGACTTTTGTCGAATTGCTTGTGATTAATAACCTTTCGGCCTCTTGCCGCATCGTTTTATACTTGAGACTTTTAAATTATGCAATGCATATTCCTGCTTCACTTGCTCAATCACCAATACAAAAAGGCCAGCAATGACACCTCACCCTCACAAAATGGCAACTCCTTTATTCGCTCAAGTAAAGCGGCACAACTTGCTGCAAGACATTAAAAACAAGCAAGTTCAGCCAATCGTCAGTCAAGAAAAAGAACTCTATGCAAGACTAGCCACAAGCGACCTGAAAGCACTGCTCCTTCCGTCGTTGACGACTCAAACAAAGAAACGTCCCGCCTATCAGCAAACTATATACTTAGCGCAATGTGAATGCTCCCTCACTCTCCGCACAAATAAAGTTTGTTCAGCCACAATAGCCACAACAGCCACAACAGCCACAACACTAGCCATCGTATTTCGATGTACGTCGGACATGAAAATCTTGTCTGGGGATGGGAACTAACCTCGACAAATAGGTCACGGCGTGACCCTTTCCTCCCCGCCCTTCTTTTTATCCTTTCACCTCCCACTACTATGAAGTCCTCGCTGGTCATTCTGCTGCCACTACTTCCCTTCACATTGGCTCTTCACTGCTGGAAGGACACCAAGGCCTGCAACCCTGAAGCGCGCCTCTACGACTCCAAATGCGACATCGCCAAGAACCGCATCCCAGATCTTCGCCTTTTTCAAAAGGACATCGTCGGGTTCTGTAAAGACAACAAAGACATCGTATTTCGGGTCCGCCCTCGCGACGGGCCTACTCAACTCCCTAGTGGCGTGGTCTGCACCGACAACCATCATTCCCCTAACGCTGCATCGTATGCGCAACAACTTGCCAAGGCTATTCGGATGAAGAACCCCAACTTTGTCAAAAGTGGGAGGATTATTAAGTGCTGTAAGGCAATCCTTAACAAAGGCTGCAATTAGATCTGGAAGTTTTTCGTACTTTGGAACTATCTTGAAAAGAAAGCTTGCAGTCTTTCCTTTCTCTTTTGATCATAGCTTGTAGAACATGACAACTTTCCATTAAAACTCCACTTGTTGCGCGTTTCAAAATGTTTGAACAATTTCAACTGATCACTGACTTTTATGGCGCCAGATGTTTTTGCAGTAGGCAAATGACTTATTCCCATAGGTTAAAAGAAGAGACTCCCCATTTATTGGCGCTGAGTTTTCACTTCCCGGTTTTTACCAATAAATTAAGGTTTTACCGCAATTGGTGACTTCTTTTTTTTCCCGACCCGGTTTCTTCCCGTAAATCGATCTGCCCTCAAACACACGGCAATAAGCCACAAATAAAATCTTAGAAAACCAAAAAAGAAAAAGAAAAAGAAAATGAAAAAGAAAAAGAAAAAGAAAAAGAAAAAGAAAAAGAAAAAAAAATATTACCTTCGTCCCTCCTTTTCGTTCCCAAACACCCCTATTCTTTCCCGCTCACTCTCACATCCTATTATGCCGTTCAAAAAAGACGACCTTACCTCCGAGCTCATTTGGAAAACACATACAGAGTACAAAGACTCCTCTCTTCTCTACTTACCTCGTATTCAAAAATTCCTCCGTGGTTTCTCTATACCATTCAACACTTGCATCGCCATCATCGACATCCTCATCAAAGATCCGAAAAGGTCTTCGGCCATTGCTAAATTAAATCGCTTCTTCCCCAACGACAATTCAATAATCCTTCCACTGCCCTCCCTTGAGGGCGCCCAAAAAAGACAAAAACTTTCACACCCTACACCCAACCTGCAACTATCCCACTCAGCCATCATCCTACCTGCAGATGACATAGACGCTCTCGACATACCTTTGCGACCCTCAAAAGATTTTCGTCAGGCGTCACTCTGCATCATCCTTGAAGAGATATACTCCTCTTTTCGCCAACAGCGCTCTTATCACTCACTAAGAAATTACCCTCACCAGACACTCTCCGAAATAATCAACCTCTTTAGCACAGGCCGTATTCACGAGGCTGCTTGCCAATTGCAATTCTTCTCCCAACACGACGCCTTTCATATCATTGCACAAGGCGTCAATTCACTGCTATTTGTCCGCCACCACAACACCGCCTCCACAATATACGCTTCCAAACTCGCCTTAGACTGCCTCTACGCCTTAGGCATCCCATCTCACACATACCCAGTGCCTGCGCTATACCCTGCTCTACACCCTACTTTACTGGCCCCAACGGAGCTCTGTCCTGATTCACATTCGCATTACATGTGGACACCAGCCCACTATCAGCCAGGTAATTCTCTCAATTTTTTTCACACATTTCATTACGAGAATTCATGTTAAAGACAATGACGCTGACTACACCTTCCAGAATTTACAAACGTTTGGTTTTCTCGTGCTTTCGAGGCATATCACATCCAGTCCCGGGTCAGCCACAATATCCTACTTCAGAGTTGCGATGCACTCGGCGCTCTACTCTGTTATGATTCGATGGTTAAAGTCCATCCGCCACCAATGAATAAAAAACATTATCCTCAAGGGCCTCACTTCTTACGTCAGGTATGGCATTCCGCGAGATATCTCAAAAAAAGCCCCGCTTAGTCCTCCATTACTGGCAATCACCGTCATCTCACAGCTTGCCTTTATCCTCTTGAATTTAGAAATATGATGGCTCCTGTCTTTCAGTTGCGCTATGTAACTTTGTCATCAATAATGATTCCAGTGGAGTTCTTGGTTCCTATCTAAAAAAGAGGTACACCATCGACACTGAAAAGGTAACCATGGCACGCACGTCGTCTACAAAAACTACAGCTCTGATGATCATTTTACTAAATACACAATATATGATTTTGATTCCAAACTAGAAATGCCATTTCGTGGACGAGGACCCATACATTTTGTCACTCCACAATTTTTCCTTCCTCTCCTCCCCTTCTTCCGAGAAAACAGGAGGCGGTGACAAGTCCCCAAATCACATCATCCTTCTCCTCCCATACAAAAATGCACTTTGGGAATTAGACGGTCAAGCTGAGGACGGACTTCGATACATTGGCCCATGTCGCAACAGGCATTGGACAAGGTTAGCCAAAGAGCGTGCCGATCAATGGAATGAGCAGAGCAAAGCTATCAACTCCATAGATATTCATGTCATAGTGGGTTCCCTGTCAAGCTCCCTAAATAGCACACCATAATCTTAAGGCCAGGTACACTCCTTTGACCTCCCCTCTCCTTTCAATAGACTTTTCCTATCCATGTATATTTTCCCACGTCTGTTGTCACCGCGTCATACCAGTCAAATCTGCAGTTCACAAGCGCAATTGGATCACACATGAAGCACACAAATATCTCATTTTTCCTTGTATTTATTTCAAGGAAGGGGGCATAATATTTCTTTGCACTTCGCAAAGCTTTTCTTATACAAAGAGGACATCAAAGATCTCATTTGATTATGGATTGTAACTTCATATATCACCCATACCTGGAGCCATCTGGATGCCAACTTCACTTTAATCATAGGAGAATGTTTCCACAGCCACTCCACTGCCTTTAGGTTGTCGCCATCGTCACAAAGGCCCCGAATTTCTCTCAGCCTCGGCCAATACTAAGTCATCCACTGAACCTCCTTTAGACCGATACGTTGTTCCATTCTTTGAACATCCAATACACGGAGATTCTTCAAGTCCTTTAGCTGATCCAAACCACTTTCCAGAGTCATCTCGAGACAGTCATACTGATAGTCCTCGCCTTTTCCACCATCATAGACGAATTCTGTAGAGACATTTACACTTGTATCTTGTCCCAAGCACAGTTCTTCCAGGTTGGCTAATCTGGCTAAACGTTCATGGACTCGTTTCTGAGTGTGCCACCCTTCACCGGCATAGGTCTCCGTAAGAGTGTCAAAGTGCTGTTGTCCAGCCAGAACCTTGTAGACATCCGGTCTTGGAATACATGTGATTTTAGTCTTGAGCACCTTGAGAGACTTTTCGCTTGCCCACAGATACAAGCTGTTCGAGAAGGTTATCACGTCAATAAAATCGTTGGCTTCGATGTATGGACTTCGGAGTCGATGGCGACACTTGACATCAATCGTGATCAAAGCCTTGAGTCTTGGACTGGAGAACAGGACACGGCGCAAAGTCTTGCTGGAGAATGACAAAATAGTCATCACTTCTAGTACTTCCAAATTGTCACAGTGCGTAGCCAAAGCTTTACAGGACATTGGATCCAAGGCAGCATGCGTTCGAATACTCTTCCACCCTCCTACGCAAGCTGACAGCAGGGGAGCGACAGCTTTCCGATCCGCCGTATTTTTGATAACACTGCTATTGACCTTGGGGAGGCAGACTCTTATACGGGCTGTCAAGTCATGAGCCAGGTTGGCCCTGCACGCCCTCAGCTCCAGCCTCTCTACATTGCCACAACCTCTCCAAAACCATTCCCACATCGACAGTTCATCCTTGCTCCAGCAGTGATCGAGAATAAGCTCCTTCAGCCCGGGAAACGTTACTTCAACAATAGGCAATTTTTTAGAGACAATATCGCCAATGTATCCTGGATGAGGGTCGTTGTAGATGGTCAGCTTTTCCAACTTGATAGAACGCCGAGAGATCATGTATAGATACCATCTTGAGCTCACTCCAAAACATGACCCATTACGGGGGCCTAGCAATGAGAGTTCTCGCAGATTTGGGGCTAAGCTGTCGGCTATAATCATGCAGACTTGGTAGAATAGTTCGCTTGAGAAGATATCCCTTTTGTCAATTGAAATCGTCACACCTTCCTCAAAAAAAGCGCAGGGAGTGTTTTTTTTGCGCTATTCATTTGATTTCTACTCTACGCTAGACCATGTTTTCTCGTTCTTTGATTTAAATTTCGCTCTCCTCAAACCCTCAATTTCGCGCTCTCCCCGATCGGGTGCGAGGGGGTGAGTACCTACTACGAGCATGCGATCGAACTTCACCTCCCTCCTTATTCTTCTCCCTATCCTCCTCCTCCTCCTCTTCCTCTTCCTCGCCCACACCCTCGTTCACATCCACCTCTTCCCCTTCCTCTTCCTCTTCGTCGTTCACATCCACGTCCTCCCCCTCATCCCTATCTTCTTCATGCTCTGGTTCATCATCCCAACTCTCAACATACGGGTCTTGATAACCATCAGGAAGGGCTTGGCGGGCATTATAGAGACGGCCAAGCGGAGCTCCTGCAAGTGAAAGCTGGAAATTGCGCCCACCTCGCGAATCCACCCTCTTGCCATCGCAGCATTAATTCGTGCTACGCCATGTGCAACATGGCCAGCAAGGGTCTCGGCTTGGACAACCTCCTGTCGGACATGGGTCTTGACACTGCTGAAGACGGACTCAGCAGCATTGAGATGTGAACTGTATGGAGGGAGGAAGAGAATGGTGTGGCCACTGCCATTGATGGCGTCCTGGACCCTCTGGGCCTTGTGGAACTTGGCGTTGTGCATGAGAAGTATGCGGCGTCTGTCCTCGAGACGGGGGAAAAGTTGCTCCTCCAAAAATTCGGTAAAGGTCTCTTGGTTGTAGGCACCGTGCTTGAAGTGGTACGCTAGGATGCCCGTCTTGTCAATAGCAACGACCAAAGACATGTTTGGGCCACGGTTGTAGGGAACCCTTTGGAAGGCACTCCTGCCTCGAGGAGCACGGCCATACTTGCGAGTGATGTGCAAATTGAAGCCAGCCTCGTCAATGTAGATGAAGTGATTCATATTGCCAGGACCATGGAGGATATTCTCGGCCCATCGTCGTCGGTCCTCGATGCGCTCGGGTTCGTTGTATCTTTCTGACTCGGCCCTCATCAGCTTGAGTGTATAGGTAGTGAGCTTGTTAAAGGCCCTGTCTACAGTACGTTGGGAAAGGGGAGGCTGGATCTGAAAGTGCTCATTCAGCTGGTTGGTGAGCTATTCAACAGAGCGACCGGCAAACTCGTCTATGTTCTCGATGAGCTAGTCAAGATGCGATTGCTTGATCCTGCTGATGTGGTTGCCACCCCTAGGCAGCTTGGCTGTGCGACTGGTGCAAATGAAGGTATTGACAATGCTTCTGACAGTAGATGCGGGGATGTTGAAGTTGCGAGCCACCAATGCCATGGTCTTGGCCTGGTCAACGACCAGTTCAATGATCATTTCCCTAGTAGTATTGTCAATTTTTTTATTCTTCCTCCTTCTGATGGGTGGCATAGAGCTGTAAAGAGTGTGTGGAGGTCTTGTTGAGATGAAGTGTATGATGAGGGAAGGCAAGGTGACAACAGCGTACTTTATATGATAATACCGGGCAGTGCCCAAAAAAAGCGAAGTTGTTTCAAATGGAGTGATGACAAGGAAATTTAATGCCAAACATTCTAAAATTTTAGTGCGCATTGTATGAGCATACCATGACGATATTACTACGAACCTGCGCATTTTGGTCAGGCTGTACAGCAGTTTTAAATGTCAAAAGAGATGATATTAGTACAAAAGCAATAGAAGTCAATACAAGTGGCTGGATATAACTGAAGATGACGCTAAAAAGTACTTACTTTGTCCTCTGCCATTTCTGCCTTCTCCTTGACCGGGCGCGTGAGCCATGGCGCCTTTCTTGTTTTTTACTCTTTTTGTAGAGTGGAGGTGCTTGGTCGATAATAGATGCGGGCGCTGATGATCCTGTATGTGATGTTTGGCTCCTTGTGAATCGCTCCCAGTTGGTCTTCGCCTTTTTCATCTCAACTTCCTGAATGATAGTCGTGACAAGGCTGTGGATATCGGGTGTGCTGGAAGTCGTCTCGGTCCCACCCATAGTTAAATGATGCTCGGTGCACATCACGAACGCCTGAAGGGCATGATCGAACTGGCTGTCTTTTACGTTCTTCTGGTACTGAGTCTTCTCGACCCTGTTCAAGGTCCTTTTGGCGTGTTTCTCATACAGTCGCATGTGTCTCCCATATTGGAGGTAGGACTCCTCTGCGATCTTCTGGAGCTTGTCGGCGCTGTCGTATACAATCTTCAAGTGCTGAATGACGTGGTGTTTGAATTGTCCAAGTCGCTCCTGGTCGCTCAGTCCGTCGAGTCCGTCCAATGTAAACGTCCGAACAATGTCAGCGTTCGACACCAAGCCATAGTAAGGAACGCCGTCGGTATAGTCGTTTGTTGTTAATATACCAAGAAGAAGAAGGTGGGCTGGAGTGGGGAGCTGGTGTCGATCCATAAGGTCCTGCTTCTGGAATGTTTTCCACTGACTGCCGACAGGAATAGTGATCGATGTAGAGGCCTCATAGACCAACAAGTCAGAGTCTTTGGTGATGATTCGTACATCCTCCGGCTTGACGGCATTATTGAGACAACGGGCAATACAGCAGTCAGCTTGGTGGGGGCAGCGACATATTGTCCACCCCAGATTCTGAAGAGCATCCAGCACTTGTCTCGCGGCATCGGGTGGTGCCCGATAAACAGACTTTAGGCGCCGGTATAGCCGTTTCGTCCCTTTGATCTTGTCTTCGTCGTAGTCCTCCATGAGTTTTCTCATCCGCGTTGTTAGATCACGGTCCCGTTTCTGATGGGCGTGCCCTTTCTCGACCGAACGGGACCGTCGGCATGGATTGTTGTGCGCCCCTGTGAGACTTTTTTCGTGAGGATGTCGTGAATAACCTGGCCTATGTGGCCATAGTCCTATTGATAACCCAAAGCGATGAGATAGTATTAGGTATATTTCTTACAGCAGCTTTGTCTTTGCCGGTCGTATTTGAAAATCGAATGTACTTACAATGCCTTTGTTTTCGGTACGTGTTGTTGTGAGAGTACCATTGCTGTGGAGAAAGATCTGAGCTGGTCCTCCTTGCAATAGGTGTTGGACCTGTGTCATAAGGTTTGTCGGAACCGAGCCAGGAGGATCGCAACAAACACAGGACCGGTCGATGTACTTGTGCCTGAGGTAGCTCCCAATGTGAGGCGAGCATGTTTGATGGACGGACTCCCCGACTCGGTCCCCTCAGACCCCGATGGCGAATGTGTATGTTTTTGTTCGCCTTCTGGTACATTGGTAGCGACAGTTGTTTTTAGTGAGTGGTGCAGTCGGGCCTGCCTGGCTTCGATGCTGACGGTTCCGTAAAATGCACGCGAGTTCAACAGGGCGAAAAACATCGCCGGAAAGTCCACATGGCATGTTTTTTGGGTGAGATCTTCCTGATTCCGTCGGAGGCCTCCTTGATCCATGAAGGAAGGACACCGATTCCCATTCTTGAACTATGTTAAGAAAAGTGTGAGAGCTAGTGTGAGTCTTCTTGCTTGATAAGTTGTGAAAGGGTATAATGAGTACGGTTCGCAATCACATCCAGCATCGGCCTTACAGAATGGCTGTTGTGGGTTGCTTCGAAAGGGTGTGGCGAAGATATATGTAAAGTAGTATGTAGGTGGATGTGGAGGAATAGGTGGATGTGGAGGAGAGTGTGAGATGTGAGGTGTGCTGAGGAGAGTGTGGTTAGAGAGGAAGAAAGAAAGAGGGAAGAAGGAAAATGGAAGCGGGATTTTATAGGAAAAGTGGGCAGTGGAAAGGACAAAGGATTACATGTCGAGACCACTATCACTCAATCATCACACACAAGCGATATAATCTATACCATTCAGGAACAAATCGCCAAAACAAAAGCCCAAAAATAACCTGACATTTCCACAATAACTTGCTTCGTGCATACCGTGGATGATGGTCACCATCACAAACACTTTTTGTCTCTTTCATATCTCTTTCATATCTCTTTCATGTCTCTTTCATGTCTCTTTCATGTCTCTTTCATGTCTCTTTCATGTCTCTTTCATGTCTCTTTCATGTCTCTTTCATGTCTCTTTCATGTCTCTTTCATGTCTCTTTCATGTCTCTTTCATGTCTCTTTTTGGTTCTCTCATTGTCCCTTTCTTTTTTCCTTTTGCCTCTCTCTCTCTCTCCCTCTTTGTTTCCATATCATACATCAAGAAACCATTTCCACAATAACCTGCTTCATGCATACCGTGGATGATGTCACCATCACAAACACTTTTTGTTATCTCATTGTCCCTCTCCTTTTTCCTTTTGCCTCTCTCTCTCTCTTTGTTTCCACACCATGCAGCATGAAGTCACCAAAACAATAACCCAAGAGTTTATTGTGGAAATGGCAGGGCTATTGTTTTGCTTCAAAAAAAAAACAAAAATAATAGCCTGTTTTATTCATACCTTGGGTGATGGTCAACATCGCAAACCATATTCTCTTCTTTTCTTCTCTTTTTGGTACTCTCTTTGTCTCATTCCTTTCTCTTTTTGGTTCTTTCTTTGTCTCTTTCATGTCTCGTTTTGCCTCTCTCATTGTACCTCTGCTTCTCTTGTTGGCCCTTTGAGCCCCTATTATCTCTCGCCTATATACAAAAGCACACACAGTAAACAAATAACGAACCTTAAGTCAACCACACATTTGCACACTCATCACTCTACACTCTCCTGGAACAATAGCGTCAACCATGTCCGCCTTTATCAAGCTGACTGAACTCGTCACGACGCCAATCTAGGCCAAGTCTGCAACGTCCACAAATTTCTTTGAGCTCGAAACACTCCCCAACATCAACATCCACCATCAAGATGTCACCATCACCTCCCGATGTCAGCCCCCAATCAACAGACGGATCATTGACCAGTTTGTGCTGATCAAACGTGATGGGCGCACTTCGCGGGCGTATTCTGCCCGCCCTAGTCTGCCCGCCCTAGTCATTACTAACCATCCTTCGTCCCGCGACGCCAAGTATGCAACCTCTATCCGAACCCAAGGAGCGCGCCTAGAAACTATCGCAGACCTCGAGGACACTTATGGTCGTCGAGCTTGTGAGAGCAGTCTTTGCTTCGTAAGTATATCTGAGAAAGTGTCGATTGTGGCGATTTCTGTTGGATGGGCTACGAATTCGTCCTAACCTACCGTTCACTTCTGCTTTCGGCATCTTTTGCAGGACCAAGAAAAAGCCTGAGAGGATATTGCTCTACCTCAACAGAGTCTCGGAGGGTCAGTTTGTGCAAGTCCACCAAGTCGAAGTGGATGCCATTCGGTCGGCTTCCAAGAAGCTACAAGTTACGTATGCTCCCAAGTGCCACTTTTGCCCCAAGGCTGCCAGGCCCCAGGTTCCCCAGGTTATGCGAAAATAGGTTTTGTCCTAGTTCCGTTGAACGCGCCATGGATTTCTGATTTCTCGTCACGTGACTTCTAGCAGGTGAGCATTCAAGATCCCAAACCCCGCCCGTGTTCCAAGCCCGACTAATGTCCCAAGCCCGTCTAATGTCCCAAGCCTCGTCCAAGCCCTGTCCAATGTCCAAGCGCCGCCTTGGTTCCTTCTGTTCATTCGGCCCATAGCATAAATAAACCCCTTGTTCCCCTGTCTTGTTCCCCAGTCTGCAATAACTCACTTGCATCTGTCCCCTGCCTTTCTTCTGCACACTCTTCCTTTTCCTTCATAATAAAATATAACAAAAGCAATACACATTCTTCCAAGTCTGGTCTGACCATTGCACCAAGATCACGTCTGTCGTAGTCCAGAAGCGCCATCACAATCTATTCTTTCTAATGCAGAAGGGCCAGGCCGATCGATCGGGAAACTGTCCGCCCGGAACTGTGGTCGACACTGGCATTGTTCATCCATTCCAATTTGATTTTACTTCCAGTAGCAAGCGGGTCTGATTGGAACTTCGAGACCTGCCCTCCACAACATCCTCTGCGATGAGAACTGATTTACGTCGGACAGTCTCCAGATTCTAACTTACAGACTATGCTACCTGTATGCTCGATGCCCTCGATCCGTCTCTATCGTTTCTGCGGAGTACTATGCCCACCTGGTCGCGCAGCGAGCACGTTTCCACCAAGGGCGTGAATTGGAGCAAGGCCACACCTTCGGAAGGATTGAGTGAGTCGATTACCTACGCGCCCGTAAAGCAGCAGCTTCAGAAGGGTATGTTATATACGAACCGTGCTAAGACGTTGAAGAGATATCTACATGGCAGAAAGCTGACCCTTTCGTCTTGCTTTGCTTTTTCTGGTGATGTGGTTTATGTGAGCCCGACCCTTCAACCATTTGCTACCCTTGCTTGTCTGCAACTGCGCTCGTGGGACCTCCCTTCCCCATCGCCCACAATACCGATTGGCTTGTTTTGAACTACATTTCGATAAAAAATAATGAAAGTTAACGATGGGTGCCCGTGAACGTTGGTTGGTTGTGACCGCCGCGTCCGTGTATTGATTTTTATTTTTTGCTTTATGAGGAAGTGAAAATGCTTGTGGAGCGTTTCAAAAAGCTAAAACAAAAAAAAAGAATGATTGTCCACAGTGTTTTAAGCATTGGCGAGTTCAAGAAAAAAAAAAAAAAAAAAAAAAAAAAGACGCTCTCTATTCCTCAAGGGGTTTGTTGAGATCAATCAGTCCTTATCATAAGCGAGGCCTGGTTCCACTGTTTAGTGCGATGGTCCCTTGTGATTGTCCGACTCTATTAGCCGTTGGCTCGTCGACCGCCCTTATTAGCCCTCTGCTTGGCCTCCCGGATCTGTCGCTTAGCCTTGCGCAAGTCACCATGTCCCCAGGTCATACTCAGGACTGCACAGGAAATGAGGTACCCGACATAGGCGACCATGCTGACCAACCCGACGCCGCAGGCAACCAGCAGCGAGACTCCCAAGGCTGGGAGCAGGAAAACCAAGCTGAAAATTGCGAATCCTACCTAAACAGAGATAAGGTGATGATTGGCACATGTAGATGATGATGGGTTAGGGTAAGGAGTTTCGGATCAGTTTCGTCTATCAGGTTTTGGTATTCGAGTGCGTATCATCATTGTCATTGTGCCAAAGAAACATATCTCACTTCAACAATGGTAAATCCAATCCCTCCAACAATCAAGGACCCAAGGGTGACAAACCCCATGAAGCCCATGAAGCAGCCCAGAGGAAAAGCCGACATGGCTCCAAACCCAACGACCCCAATCTTGACACTGGTGGGGGCTTGGACATATAGATTCTTGAGGTATCCCGCGGGAGGGAAAACATAGTGCTGGACTATACCCATCTAGTTGACAGACTCCAGTGCCGATTGAGCTTTGCTGGCGACGATCTGGGGGGCTTTATGGGCGGCGTTCCGGGCTTGGTCGACTTTTCGCTCGATGTTCGTTGTGGCCATGGTGCTGGTGTTGGTGGTAACTTGCGGGTGGTTTTGCTGGGGTGGTAGTGACTGGAGATGAAGGACGTGTGGGGTGAGGCTAGAGCAGCGGGATTGGGTTGAAGAGACAGACTCGGGTGGTGATACTGGTGCGTGAAGGGATGTGGATAGGAATAGTCAAAATGGAGGCGATCGTTGACCGTGTTGCAGTTGAAGAAGAGACGAAGGGGTGGAAAGAGCAGGAAGTGGGAAGAGGAAGTGAACATGAGAGCTGAGTTGTGACTGAGAAAATTATGGTTACCTACGATATCCAAGCATTACTTGCATTGAGGGAAAGTGATGAGAGATCGGAGCATTTCAAAAAATTAAGTGCGATAGAGGCAATGGATGCGTCGTGTTGAGAGACATTACGCGTTGATTTGTTATCTTTTGAGCACGATAAAGAGAAAGGCAAGATAGAATCTCGAGGGCAGAGAGGCAATAAGGAGATCACGAGGACTCTCGTCGAACCTAATCTGGGATGGCTGTGTCGCCAGCAATCGTTGCATGTCTTCAACGAGAGTCGACGAGCCGGAGCTGGAGGGGTCGGAGGCGTTTGTTAGAGGAAGCAGTGTCGGCGATGTCCTCATCCTCGACGTCAACTGCTCGTTTTGGACTGCATGAAGCCTGCTGTGTAGATGTTGTTGTGTGAGTAGACATGCCCGCGTCATCGGCGTCGGTTGCTCGCTCTGGGCCGGATGAAGTCTGCTGTGTCGATGTTGTTGCGTGGTTAGACATATGACGTCGGGCCGACTTTGCAACGAACTGCACCGTTTCATGGAAACTCAGCGCGTTCACCAACGCAAAAAACATCGATGATAAGTTGACTTCGCATCTCTTGGTCTGATCTTTCTTCATTCCGTTCCCAGCGAGTCGCTCTTCTTTTTTTCCTTTCTGTCTTGGAGTCAATTTCATTTATGGAGGTTGATTCACACTCTTTTATTCTGAGTGAGAGGCGTCTGAAAAAGTGGTCGAAAACAGACGATCGAATTTGGGTTTCGGGAGAACGCACGCCTACTCGCTTCGGTGACGTAGTTTGCGTTTGGCGTACGATTTGTCAATTCGGTGACGTAATTGATGCGCCCATTGTCCTGAAACCCTGGCGCCCAGACGTGTTTTTCGCCAGCACTCCACTTTCATTCTTCCACTTCCACAGCAACTCATCCTCACTTCCACAACAACTCATCCTCACTTCCACAGCAACTCATCCTCACTTCGACAGCAACTCATCCTCACTCCCACGCCGCCTATTTCAGCACTACATCTATATCAATCATGAGATCAAGCCCCTGGTCAGCCCTAAACTGGATGCCTCGAAGCCATCTGAAAAAGATCATCATCGGTTCGGTCATTCTAATGATTGTCCTCGTCTCTACTGTCAACATCGAAGTTGAGTACTATACCTGGAGGAACAGACTGGACCTTGAAGTCAGCGACTTGCACATGATCACCACGGGATCCTCATCATCGCTCAAGCCTACTACCAGCATGTATGGGATATACATGTATCTCGGATGTACTGTTAGTCCGTTTGCCTCGGTCCTCTGGCATGTCACTCAGGCGGTCAAGGTCTGTGATCTCTCCAACTCCGATCGGATGTGCGACGTCAAGATGAGCAAGGATTACGACTATGATGAGCTCGGCCTCAAAGCGCAGGAGTGGCTTCAGTCGGGCCGCTTCTCCCAAATAGTGGATCAAAACGAGGTCATTGTCAAACTGGACGACGATACAATTGTCTCCAAGGATGTCCTCGATGATTTGGTAGACGCGTTCATCAAATCCGACTGCAAGTTTGCTGGGGCGATGCGTGAGGCGGATGGATTCTTTTGGAGCAGCGGGCCGTTGTTCTTGGTCAAGACCGACTATTTGAAGCAGCAACTCCGGGAAAACGGAGCAGAGCTGCAGTACCACAAAAAGCACGAGGATGTCCAGATGTCGGCCCTACTCGCTCTTCAGGATCGCAAGTCCGTCTGCAATATCGACGTCAATACGTTCAAGCACCGGTACTATGAAGACAATCGCATGCTCATTCGCTACAAGCCTTATGTCAAGTGTTAGCCCATCATCTTTATCCCTTCGTCTGTTTTCGACCACTTTTTGTGGTCGAAATTTATCCCTACTATTGATTCTGCGAGCAGGGTCCTCTCCATATTTACAAAAAAAACACAGAGAGGCTGAGAGAGCACCCACTCCGTCACATAAAAAAAGAGGAACCACCACGAGAGGAACTTCCATATCAACTTATCTTCCTATCACTTTTCCTTCACTTTTAAACGTCAGCGAGATGGACAGGCAGAACAATAGAAAGTTTTCGCAGACTTCATTTTTCCATCGTTTCGTAGTCAAGTGGCTCATATTCAATTTATGTGGGTTGAGACGAAAGAAATCCTTCTCGTTTTTCCTTCGCGGAAGGAAATTTGGGAAGGATTTCTTTCGTCCCAAAAGAAAATTTTCGCAGATTCAATTTTCCTTCGTTGAAAAAGCTCCACGAAGGAAAACTGAATGAAGGAAAAATGAGTTGTTTCGCAGGAATTTTTCAGTCGCACATGCTGCGGTCAGAAGAAAATAGGCTTTCTGACCCCTCCCATGGCTGTAAAGTTGAAGACGGTGGTCTTATGACCTTTCTGCCTTTTTGGGACGAAAGAAATCCTTCCCGTTTGTCCTTCCCGGAAGGAAATTTGGGAAGGATTTCTTTCGTTTCAACCAACATAAATTGAATATGAGCCACTGTGACTACGAAACGAAGGAAAAATGAGGTCTGCGAAAACTTTCTAAAAAGGTCATAAGACCACTGTCTTCACTGTATCCCTTCGACCGTTGCCAGTCACAAGGATAACTTGGTATGACCTGTTCGGGGTCTTTACAATTGTGAAGGTTAAACGCTGGGCCGAAGGAGAGAGATCGGTCGAGACTGATCGAAGAGCCATTGCTCAGCGATCAGTGCAATGTTGTGAGCTCCAACCGAGTCCCTGTTGATCCATCGACCACAGGCGAGGCAGACACAAGATCTTGAAGTCGGCTTTGCCATCCTGGAGGTCTCTCCTCGGGCAGTGCAAGCTGGGCAAACGGTCGAGGACAGATATTCATCAACCAAAACGACAATGTGGCCATGTGCTCGCGCCTATGTTAGATAGAAGATTGACGGTTATTGAATGGTCCCATAGCATAACGTTGACAATTGAGCAAGTAAATAATTGTTTGTCGCGGCATAATGACGGTACCTTCTTGGCAAAATGACTCTGTAATGTCTCATGCTTGGAAGCCAAGTTTATCCCCGTTCGAAACTTGCCGTTGCCAATAGCAATAAGACACGGCTCCGGTCCACAAAAGCGCAGGATTGCAGCCACAGCCATATCCAGTTCGGCACGAACGGCTTTCTTCTCCTCCCAGGCGGCTTTTTTCATGCGTAGTGAGCCTTCAAACTCCCGAAGCAAGGGCTCTGTAGACACTCTGACACGAACAGCATCCTTGAAATCCTCCACGGTTACTTGGCCTTTTGGGGGCAAACAACTTTCGATCTCCTGGATGGACTGTACGTCTGTCCTGGCTCCCTTTGGATCGACACCCCTCGCCCAAATTCCTCCATCGATACTCTCGCCCGGCACCACTTGAAGCTTCCTGTTTTTGACTCTCTCTCTTTCGGATCGCGCTGCAGTGGTGGGAGAGTATAAAGCTGCTCGACGTATCATTAGGTTGGTCACAGGTTGATCCCCAGGGTCTGGTGCTCCATTCCACTCACGTTCGTGCTCGATCAGACATAAAGCCGCCGTCACCAACTCCTCAGGGTCCCACCCGCGACATTGTGGTATTTTTCCCTGGAATATCCTGGCGATAGCGTCCTCATCAGGCAAGACTTTTTCGATACGCATGACTGGATCCAGGGCTCCATGTGGCTCGTGTTTGGTGTCGTAGGCGAGGACCTGCAGCTCCAAGCCGTTACTTCGAATCATATTGTTCAAAGCATAGCGTGATTTTGTACTGGGGTTGGCGGGAAACTCTGGCGGTGATTGCGTACATGGTACTCCTTCATCCCGACAGTTCGCAGCAGCTCGAAGGTAGGCCAGCTTCCTGTTACAGTAGTCCTGCAATGACCGATAACCAAACCTAGAAGGATCACCTTCCGCAAGTTCTGCCATTCTTGTCGTCCGTTTTGCGTAGGGTGTCCGTCTCAGGTCTGGTCCTCCGTCGTTGTCGTGGCCAACGGGTCTTCTTCGCCCATAGAAAAGCGTCTCAAGCACTTTTCCATAGTCCGAATCAACACAATCCGACGCCTCCGCGCGACTCAAAATCGTCTCCACGATCGTCTTGGCTGGATTGTTCCTCGCAGTTCCTCCCCATAGAATTCTCCACACTGCTCGCTCCGGTATCATCACAAACGCACCCCGAAGCTTCGGCTGAGGACAGAACACAGGTCGCTTCTCTGCAGGTAGCGAGAGTAAGTGGTCCCACCAATCCCTGAGAAAGCCCGCCTTGAACTTGTAGCATCCGTCGTCGTCGGCCGCATATTCGTCTGATCCCAGGGGCTCAGTCGTTGGAGATTCGTCTAGAGCGTCGTCGTCCTGCTGTCGTTGGGCTTCAGGAGGCACGTCTCCGTCAACGAGAGGTATGATGTCTTTGCTCCATCCCAGTTTTACCATCTACACAAAAGCGCGGGTAAGACATTGTTAGAGTACGAAAAACATTTTGACATTGCATCAAACATAACTCAAACAAGAAAGAAATAAATACCTTTCCAGTGACAGTAGACGGTAGCTTTCTGAAGTGTGTGTGGAGACATACCATCGTGGCAAGTCCAAACTCCATCTGCATGTCGCCCAGGGGGATGTCGGTAGTGTTAATGGGCGAAAAGTGAGGAATGATCGTCTTGTATCGGGCATAGACCCTCTGTGTGAGCTCTCGAGCACGGATGGACTCGGACTTCTTGCACTTTTTCTCAACAATCTTCCCATTCAAGGCCAACGACATTAATCCACGGATGAACATCTGACCGGAAGCCTTGTTCATCACCAGGTCCAGCAGATCGACATTCGTCTCCCCTGAGGCTCCTTGCGGGCTAAACGCTGTTGTGACTTCTTCCAGTAAAAACAGCTGTATCATCCTGAACACGTGGGGACGAGCTTCATTGATCAGGCTCGTGGCCTTCTCCAGGCGGCTCGCAATGGTGTCGACTTGGTCATCAGAGATCCCGAGGGGTCGAAGGCTACGGCGCAGGCATCCTTTCAAGGAACCAACTGTCTGGGTTATCGTCGGAAAAGCAAACTTGAAAGCGTCCTTAAGTTTTGGTGCTGTTGGGGTTGCATCGATGTCGCGTGGTCTCGCGAGTTTTTTCTTGGATGACGCCTTCCGTCTTTTGTTCTTCGACGAGCGGTCTGTCGACGATGACGAGGATGCTGAAGGCGAATCTTCAACAGCCTTGGGCTGCTTGTCGACGGGTCGCTTTTTTGGTTGTGACGGGGACATTGTCGACAGTTGATTATCAGAAACAGGGGTGGCTGTCGACGGATCACTGACCCTGTGGGGAGGGTACCGAACCTGATTGTCAGTGCGAGACTTGAACCTAATTAACCACAAAAAAAATATATTAGAGAGACTTAGAAACATCTCCATAACTTATGCAAACCCGGAGACGTCAATGTGACATTGTCTTACTTGGATTTCCTCCATGCTTTACGTTTCCTGTTCCTTTTCGCTGCCTTCCAGCGAGCTCGCTGCGTTTTCGCTGTCCTGGTCCGATTTACATTCGTTTTGGGAGCCGGCTTCTTGTCCTCCATCGGTGGTGTGAATCCCATTGCCGCACGTGCCTGAGCCTCTGCAACCTTCTGTTACTCAAGATCGAGCAGTGCCCTCATGACAATCTCGTGCGCATTACAGTCTCGCTGCCCTCCCTGCTCAATCGATGTGTGCTGTTGACTGGTAAAAGGCTGAGGGTGTGGGTTCTGATCAACGGAGGATACGGCATCTTCCTGGACGCCCACAAAGGCAGATAAAGCATGCTCGAAGTCGTCAACCGTAACCGATAGCTGCGAGTCGATTCGTTTTCGTTTCTTCCGAGGGACTCTCTCGGAAAGAAGCTGGTGTCGCACTCGAACGAGAAACTCGTGGACGTACCAACGAAACGATTCGACGTCAGAGCCGGGTAGCTCCATTTCCCGAATAATCTCGCAGATCTTCTTGATCCCGAAATATGGCACTCCCCGGGTGTAGTCGTTGCCCGTCACAACAGCCGCGAGTAGTAAATGCCGCTCCGAAGGCAAATCGAGGACCTCCAAAATCGCATCCTTTTCGAAAAGAGTGAGCTCTCTTGACTTGCCGATCGGATACAACACTCTCGGCACAGCCCCGAAACAAATCAAGTCCGAATCACCGGAGACAACAATGATGTCCTGGGGATTCAGAGACTGGGCACAAAGCTTAGCAATGCAAGTATCCGACTGAAAGCGGCAGAGGCATACATGGCAGTCGTACTTTTTGATCAACTCCGCTATAACTTCTCCTTGAATTACGATTGTTGGCTTGTAGAGATTCCTGCACCGTTTGTAAGCAGCCTTTCGACGAGATCCACCCACTACACGTGCTTGTTCGATTGTTTGGTGAAGTGCATCGGTGCCCTTACGCAGCTTGTCGTCGCGAGCTCGGTGCTCCGCCTGTTTCTGAATGGATGGCTCTCCATCGAAGTGAAGGGTGACAGATTCGTCTTCGGGAGTACAGAACTGAGAAAGCTTCCTGTACAGTTCATCTGCAATGTGACCGAAGAACTATTTCAAGCAAACGACGATATAGCAAATGATAATTAACTAATCAAGTAAATAATCACCAGTGGACCCATGCTAAATCCCGCATTCAGTCCTCAAGAAGATTCATTACCATAACTCTCTGTTGGTCCGTGCCATCCTGTAACATCCCATCTTTGTCAACGACGACAGAGTCGGGGCTGTTGGGTCCACTCGTCACCATAGCAAGCTTATCTTTGAGACCAAAGAGCATGTTCGCACGTCTCAGAAGGTCCGCCTGGGCATCGTTCGGGTCTGGAGAGGCAGAGTCTGTCGACTCGGGTCGCTCTGGCGCATCCTCCATCTGTGGCATGTGCAGGTTGGCGGGCTCGGTGTTGCGCGTCAGCGTGGTCGTGTACTTTTGTACGACAGAGTAGGCTCGCGCCTTCATCAACCCGTAGTAGGTACCGTTCATGTCGACGTGAAATTCCTTGCCGTTCATTTTCGCCGGCGCAATGCCCGTCGCGTTCTTTATCTCTCCTGGGAGTCCGTTGACGCCCATGACTGACTGTAAAGGAAAGAATGAAGAAAAGCTCATCAGAAGATGGAAACAAACACCACATTGGGCGGACAATGTCGGCGGATTTGAAACGTGATAATACCTTAATGAAGCAGGGGCGTGAGCCGTGCGGATGTGTGCGTGTGCGTGTGTGTGTGTGTGTGTGTGTGTGGAGGGGTGGGGTGGAGGTCGCAGTGATTGGATGTCAGAAGTTGGTCGATTGAGTCTAATTGGTTTTTTTGTTTGTTGACAATGACGTCAGTACATTCCTTATGGTTTAAAGGGTGGGAAGTTGGCTGCCAATCACAAAAAGTCAGCTTACTGTGGCAAGGTTTCTGGCGCGTGAGCAGTTGATCTGTTGACAGAATGAAGTAAAGTCGGCCATGGGGTTAGCGAGGTCCTGGTATTGATTGGTCATCCAAGCTGACGCCAATAGACGGAGAGCGATGCACTTACAGAAGACTAGGTGTAGCTCTGGTTTGGATCTCTGTCCTGATCAACGATGTCCACTTAGGATTCCATGAGCGAACTTGGCAAAGGTGTTGGAGTGGGAAAAGGCAGCCCAAGGACATTTTATTTGCTCCCTAGCGACGCGACGCGACAGGCGGTCTTTTTTTTTTTTTTGGCGTGACCCTGTACCCCTTGACCGTTCACACATTCAAAAAATTCGTGCTAGTCACATGCACCGCCATATGTTACCAATCCGAAAAGGGGTGTTTTAGGCATTAGGGGCCTTTTTTTTTTGTTCTTCATATCTGTTATTATCTTGCATTAGTATCAGAGGGGTGCTTCTCATTACTGGTTATGGTGTCAACTACAACTACGATTTATGGAATTCTCTGAAGCAATTGCGGGCCTTTGACATACACAAGGCAACATTGCAGATCTCATAGGCTATGACTGTTTGAGTTTTTCTATCGTGGTTTTTGTCGTCGAAGACAGTGGCTCTGAAGCGACAGAACAAGCAGTTGGATTTTTGGTCGAGAATTATGGGTGAGTGGGGTCCTGGGGTGAAACGGATGGTGGGCAGATCAGAGCAATTTTTGGTAACATATATCTTCTTGGTTGGTTCTGGTTTGGTGGCTCTGTGAACTCGTGTCCGTTTGCTGTAGTCCATGTGCTGTTTGCTTTCTGCTCCCTTCCTGATCAAATCCCATGCCAACCTGAGACAGAAAGTTTTGTGAGAAAGGGATCCTTTTTGGACGACATAGATTCGATAGGCGTTGACGATGGTGGTGTCGAGAATCCAAAAAAGAGAGGCATCCACGTCCTGAACACGGTTAATTGGGTGCTGTAATATGCCCTGAACTGGTTACTGACATCGACGCCATTCATGTTGTGGTTGTAGTCATCAATCAACTTGGGGATTTTGAGTGCCGCTCTGGGCTTACCATTGAATATTGCCCGAGCATTGGCTGCGTTAGTGCTAGTGTTGCGAGGGCAGCGTCGAATACGCTCAATGAAGTCATCATCCGTGTTGATTTTGTGGATGGTACTCAGCATGGTGACGGGTGCATTATCCATCCAAACGACGGCAAGAACTTGTTTGTCGATAACAACTCCTGTCAGGGTATTCCATTGTAGTTTCTCACTCTTACCCACTTTCAAAGTGTCAGGGAAGCAGGCTGAGTTGATGCGGGTGGTACCACATGCGCCGATGTTGAGTCCACGTAGGTGCTTGAAAAGCGGGATGTTGGAAAATAGTTGTCCATGTAGATGTTGAATGGACGAGTCTTGTAGGGGAGTGATTTGGCGAGACGAACAACAGCGGAAGAGGTTGGAGTAAGCTCGTTTATCCTGTCTATGCCAATGATGGATTTGATGCGAGGGGTGTAGAGGAAGGAATAGGTGTATCCTGATTGACAAAGAGCGAGAATCTTGTAGCCTTCCGGGGGTAGGCTTACCCTTCATGCGTACGGTGTGAGCACTCCTTCCTGAAAAGCGAACAATCATCTCGTCGATGGACACATTGGTGGAGAGAACGTAGTAACGAGCGAAGTCGGTAGCGAGTTTGGTCGAAAGAGGTTCTACTTTTGAGAACCAATGTTGCTCAGGCTCGTTGGGGTTGGAGACACGAAAAAAACGCTTCGGTTGTTCGAAGCGGACGAGGGACATGAAGTTAGTGATGTTGTGTTGAGGACATTCAGAGAAGGTTGACCAATACTCAGAGACAGAGTTCTGCCTGAACATGCCCATGTAGACAATGATGCCGAGGAATGTGCGCAGTTCGTCAGGTGTGGTCTTTACCCATTGGCGCGATCCCTCTCCTGTGCCGGCTCCTTTTGATGCTGCATATGCGTTAGTGTTGTCTGCCAAATCCGTCAATACCGGGTCGGAGAAGAAGAGTGTGAAAATTGTCAATGGTGATAGTTCGCTGTCGAGTTGAAGTGCAAGGGGAAGGTTGGTTTGTGCTGAGCATACTGTTTTTTGGTGTTTGAAGACGTCCTTGAAGTCAGGGACGGCTGGGAGTTCTGTGGGTTCGCGGGTGACTTTCTTGACAGCCCTCTTCGCTTTCTTGACAGCCCTCTTCGCTTTCGCGAGAGCTAAGGGTGCAGGGGACACCTCCTCTCCCGCCGGTTGCTCTCTTTCTGGTGGTCGCTCTTCATCATCGGAATCATCCTCACCGGCAATCTCTCGAGTTCGGCAAATGACCGAAAACGACAACTCCTCTGTCTCCTCGGAAGTGAGTGTGCTAGTACCTTGACCGTTAGAAACGTCAAAGGAACGTAGGAACTCGAAGCTTGGGTGCATGAGCAGGTTGGGCGAAGTTTTCTTTGTGAGGGAGACAGTAACGGAGGCTTTGGAGATGATGAGAGAGAAAAAAAAGGTCGAATTTGACAGCGAAGGTGGTAATGAGGCGAGCTGGGAAACGACAACCCTCGTTGTTTTCATTAGACGACACGAGACCCTTCCCAACCCGTTTTATTGGAAACCCTGATAAATTGAAAAAGAAAAAGAAAAATTGGATTCAAAAACGGTTGAAGGGATATGGCACTGCCCTGTACAATAAACAATATCTCTTTTGCATCCGTCCTCTTGTCCCATTGAACCCACTCTGACACCCTGTATCTCTGTTGCTATTACAAGAACACCATGGGATGCGCAACTTTTAGTAGACTAAGAGAGCTGGGAAAAAGGTGTTTTGAGAATTTTAATCGAGTCTCAAATAGATGATGTGGATGAAGATGGATATAACTCGATGAAAAAAGAGGGATTAAAAACGGATTGCATAGTCATGATCTCCTCGCTGGCCACTATGAAAGAGATGAAAGCGTGGGTAGTATCATATTTTTATTGGACCAGGTTGTCTACATACACACATCCCAACTAAGGTTGGTCGAGCAATAGATCGCAGCGGCCTAGTTGGTAGCGGTCTTGTTGGGCTTCGCATGCTGGTTCTTATCCCACATAGGGCCTTTCTGAGCTGACGTGAGGTTCTTATCGCCGTCATATGTGAGGGTGTAGCTGTAGTTTTCCTTGGCAAAAGCTTCTCGTTCATGTTCTGTCAGCAGCTCTCTGAAAGTTGCAGCTTCCAGAGTATCTGATGGAATGAGGTAACGTGTTCCTGTCTCCCCATCATGATACCCGACCGCGTTTAACAGCTTATCATCCCCCAACACTTCTTTCAGCAACTCCCTAGCTTTCTCCATCTCAATTAATCTTTATCTTAAAAAAAATGAGGTAACTGACAAGCGAGCTGATGGAATAGGTAAAAAGGATGATGAAATAGGCAAGAACGGTGATGGAACAGGCAAGAACGGTGATGGAACAGGCAAGAAGGATGGACGTCATCAAAATGAAACGTCACCGAAGATTGCAAATGATTGGTTTTGTAGGAAATACTCCACCTTCCATTTGCTGTGGCTTTGCAATTGTGGCTTTTGGGGCTAATTGAAATAAAACTATAATAGCACAAAGGAAGTGGCTCAAAGGAAATTACCACAGGACAAGCAAATGGCGCAGGAGGCTCAGAAGAACGCACACAAAACAAACAGATGGCGCAGAAGGAAGTGGCAAGAGGGACAATCCACCATGCTCTGCTTATCTCTCCACACTAAACGATGCAAATGATGCATTTAGAGGAGATTGGAGTTGAGGGTTGGACATGCTCGTTCTTATCTCTCCACTTTTTTCTGTTCTCCACAGCCTATTGAGAAGAATGAAAGCGTTTTAAAGGTTGTGGAGATGAAAGCGCAGGAGAAAAAATGTATTCTTTAATTCATTCAACCCCACAGATTTTTTTTTGCTTTTCGTTCGATGGCCAAAGAGAAGACTCTGTGTTGCCTTTGTGCCTCCTTCTTATCGCGTGCTGTCTATGTGTCGAATTCACCAATGAAAGACAATTCCATAGGACAGGTAGTCATGCCAATGTCACAAAACGGTTATCAGTACGCTAGTGGACAAGAGCACAAGCGACTGAAAACAGCAGAAAGCGAACGATTACGGTACCAGATCCATTCCACGCGTTGAGTCCAGGCAAAAGTAAACAAAATAAGCCGCAGATAAGCAAATGATAAGGATAAGACGAGAAGAAAACGTTCTGAAGGGTTTTTGGCCCTGTACTCTAGTTCGTTTACTAAGCCGCAGATACCTTACAAAACGGTCGAGACCGAACATGGTTTAAAGCTAGGCGAAATGGCCAAAATTTGTCGTGGACACCACTTGGCCGTGTAACCTTGTTTTTGAGTTCATTCCACTGGACCACCAGGATAAGACGAGAAGAAAACGTTCTGAAGGGTTTTTGGCCCTGTACTCTCGTTCGTTTACTAAGCCGCAGATACCTTACAAAACGGTCGAGACCGAACATGGTTTAAAGCCAGGCGAAATAGCCAAACTTTGTCGTGGACACCACTTGGCCGTGTAACCTTGTTTTTGAGTTCATTCCAATGAAAGACAATTCCATAGGACAGGTAGTCATGCCAATATCACAAACGGTTATCAGTACGCCAGTGGACAAGAGCACAAGCGACTGAAAACAGCAGAAAGCGAACGATTACGGTACCAGATCCATTCCACGCGTTGAAACCAGGCAAAAGTAAACAAAATAAGCTGCAGATAAGCAAATGATAAGGATAAGACGAGAAGAAAACGTCCTGAAGGGTTTTTGGCCCTGTACTCTCGTTCGTTTACTAAACCGCAGATACCTTACAAAACGGTCGAGACCGAACATAGTTCAAAGCTAGGCGAAACGGCCAAACTTGTCGTGGACACCACTTGGCCATGTAACCTTGTTTTTGAGTTCATTCCCCAAGCACTCTTTTCTTTAGTCTCCTCTCGGGCGGAGAGTTGTGGGAGGTTACAGGATAAAAAGGCGGTACTTTGGCAAAGAAAAAAAAATATTATCTTCCTTCTCTAATTAATCATGTCCAAACAAGACACCGAAACTGGTAGTGTTTCTCAAGAACATAGTACATTCGCATTCGCATTCGCATTCGCATCATGTAAAATTAATAGAAACCTCTTTATTCGCATTCGCATTTGAAAAACACTAGAAACTGGTGTGGTCGCCGCCGAAAACCTTGACCGTGTCGAAGCCCCAGTTACATGGCGCACTTACGCCATGTGCGTTTTCGCCTCCTTCGGAGGTATCTTCTTCGGTTACGATTCCGGATACATTGGTGGTGTTCAGGGTATGGACTACTTCATCAAGATGATCAGCGGCCCCGATGCCGACAAGCTTTTGCCTTGGCAATCATCTCTTATCGTCTCTATTCTCTCAGCCGGTACCTTCTGCGGTGCTCTCATCGCTGGTGATCTTGCTGATTACTTTGGTCGTCGCTTTACCATCATTCTTGGTAGCGCTGTCTTTATTGTTGGTGTCGCCCTCCAAACTGCCTCTGCTGGTCTTGCTCTTCTTGTCGTTGGTCGTACCGTTGCTGGTCTCGGTGTTGGTTTCGTCTCTGCCATTATCATTCTTTACATGTCTGAAATTGCTCCCAAGAAGGTCCGTGGTGCCATCGTCTCTGGCTACCAATTCTGCATCACCATTGGTTTGCTTCTCGCTGCCTGCGTCAGCTACGGCACCGAAAACCTCGATAACTCTGGCTCTTACCGTATCCCCATTGGCTTGCAAATGCTCTGGGCTTTGATCCTTGGTGTCGGTCTGATGTTCCTCCCCGAATCCCCCCGTTACTTCATCAAGAAGGGAAAGGTCGAGGAAGCTCGCAAGGCTTTGGGCCGTGTCCGTGGTCAAGACCCCAACTCTCACCACATCGAGGCTGAATTGAACGAAATCCGTGCCAACCACGAATATGAAAAGCGCATGACCCCCGAGACTGGCTACATTGGCTCCTGGCTCCTCTGCTTCAGCGGCTCCGTCGGTCTCGCTAGCTCCAACGTCCGCAAGACTCTCCTGGGTATCTCTCTTCAAATGATGCAACAATGGACTGGTGTCAACTTTGTCTTCTACTACTCTACCATTTTCTTGAAAGGAACTGGCGCCGTCAGCGACCCCTTCCTCATGTCCCTCATCTTCACCCTCGTCAACGTGCTCTCCACTCCTTTATCCTTCTGGCTTGTCGAACGCTTCGGTCGTCGCTCCATGCTTCTCTGGGGTGCCATCGGTATGACTGTCTGTGAATTCATTGTCGCTGTCATCGGTGTCACTGTTGGTTTCAACCACACCCACGTTGTTGATGAAGTCACCATCGCCAACAACATCTCCGCTGTCAACGCCCAGATTGCTTTCATTGCCATCTACATCTTCTTCTTTGCCACCACCTGGGGTCCCGGTGCCTGGGTTCTTATTGGTGAAATCTTCCCTCTTTCCATCCGTTCCCGTGGTGTCGCCCTTTCCACTGCCTCCAACTGGTTCTGGAACTTCATCATCGGTTATATCACTCCCTACTTGGTCGGTACCGAATATGCCAACATGCAATCCAGCGTCTTCTTCCTCTGGGGTGCTCTTTGCGCCGTCTGCATTGTCTACGCTTACTTCCTTGTTCCCGAAACCAAAGGTCTTACTCTTGAACAGGTTGACCAAATGTTGGATGAAGTCTCTCCTCGCAAGTCTGCTGCCTGGAAGCCCACCACCACCTTCGCCAACATGGAGGAGAAGCAAACTACTGCTTAAAGGAAATACTTCTAAGCTTGCACAGCAACTTTTTTTCAATTTCCATCACTTTTACTCGTACATAACATATGGAATTAAAGATAGATGTCACATTGGCCTCACTCAAATCAAACATCGATAGTAATCATAATCAAATATATGCCACGTGCAGGAAGCACTTAAGTCAAACTATATTTTGGATGGTCACAGGTCCAGAACCATCTTTTGTTAAAAAAAACGCATCAGAAAAAAAAGGTTACACTCATGCCCTGGCCATTGGAATTTCACTTCTTACTCGTCCTCTTGACCCCTTGAATCTCCTTGCCCACCAACCAACTCCAGCATGGCTTATCCAGATAACTACGACGACTACGACTCGGTAGAGTATGATGTCGACGACCCGGAGGCATTTTACTCCACCCTGAAAGATGATCGTGACAAGTTAGATCAGTTTTCCGATGGTTGCGAGACTTACCAGACCATGACGACCTACTGGTAGAAAAAAAAGAAAAAAAAGAAAAAAAAAACTACAGCACATAGTATTCCCATGTGGTCCCCCACCATAGTACTGACTATGCCATCAACTGTTTAACTGCGCAGATCGGACGGGATGCGGTGGGTTTAGTTGTGTACGGCCGTAACTTAAAAGTAAGTGATTGTCACCAAACATATATAGAATGCCAGGCCTCAAAGAAAGAACAAAAAAAAAGAACCTCACTGGCGAGGGGGAGGAGTTGTCACCAAACACATTACACATGTCGAATGCCATCCGCTTTTGTATTTTCTTCCGTTTTTGTCGTGAAGAGCGACAACGATTGTTGCGCAGAGCCAGCGTTATTAGGACCGGACTGTGACTAGGGGATGGTGTACTGGGAAGGGGTCCTCACAAATAGCCGTTTTATTTTTGGATTACCTACATGAATTGTTCTTTAGAGAAATAAAATCGTGGACAAAAAAAAAAAAAAAAAAATGTCGAATGCCATCTTTCCTTCGTACCACAAAAGTACCAGCAACTTCAAAACACAAAAAACCCTTTTATCCCTATTCCTCGAGTCTCCAACCCGACACCTCGGGAAATCCCATTTGCCCTCAATTTTCTGCTCATTCATATATATTTTTTTTCCTCATTCCCTCATTCGCATTCCAAAAAAAAAAAAAAAAAAAGAAAAACTTAATTTCATTCGACATGCTTAACCTTGCCAAGCATCCCCCGTTCCACCCTGACCCCGGCGAAGACGACAAAATGAAGGTCGACACCGACCCATGCGAGTCGTCTTCCGTAATCCTTAACGATGAAGAGGTGGCTTTTGGTGAAAAGCACGGTGTGTTTCCCGAGCACACTGACTTCATCACGGTCACCCGCCCTCGAGTTCCTCATACGTTGAGATTTCCAGTCTCATACTTTAAGGAAGAGTCCAAGAACATGGCCTACATGTGCAAATGGGTGACAAACGCATTGGCCGAGGTGGCCCCTGTCAAGCTTGGCTCCTTCACCACCGCCCTCTTGCTTCCGCCAAAAGAAAACTCGGATGATGTTCCCTCCCAAGTTGATGATGTTCCTCCCCCAGTTGAGTACCTCCTCTTCAATGTGTCTTCCGCGACTGATGTCGCCGCTGCCTGCAAGCACGGTGGTCAACTGAACGTTGATAACAACGGTCAACAGCCCCGCAGGATCTATTTCGAGGCGCACACCGCCACCGCACAGGCCGTGGAAAAAGAGCGTCAAATCAAAATTGGTTCGCTCGCCTGGAACACTACCAATACCAACGTCCGCGCTGCTTTGAAGGACTATGGCGAGATTCAATCTATCACAACCACCTTTAATAGCAAGATGACTATGAAGGAGGCCCTTGTCATCTTCAGCTCAGCAACCAGTGTGGCCCAGCTCAAGGATGAATGCGCGACTTGCCTGGCTGTGCAGGACGATGTGGGTACCATCACCCGCCTAGGTACCACCGATATCCCCTTTGATCCTTCTCTCACGGTCAAGCTCGCTGGTTTGCCTCGCGGCACCACCCCTGCAGATCTCAAGAATGTCTTTGACAGCGAGATCAAAACCCCCAATGCTGTCCGACCCTATCACCCTATCACCATCCCCCTCAGTCTGACAACCAAAACCCGACAGCCTGAGGCGTATGTCAAATTTTCAACTGTCCAGCAGCAGCAATATACCCTCAGGACCAAGATCACTCTCGATGGCAAGGAAACCATCTGGCTCAACACTAACGAGCGCACCTGCTTCTTCTGCGGAAGACCCGGTCACTTCCAACGGGAGTATGTTGATTTTCGCGCCATGCTCAACCATAAAGCTACTCGTCGTGCCAACGCAGCCATTATCAGAGGTAATGCACCCTCCACTCGTTCTACCCCGCATTCCTCACCCCGCTCTCCCCTCACTCAAGTGCCCATCCCCACTGCTACATCGTCTATCCCTTCCAAGCAGTCAACACCTCAACGCTCCACCACTATTTCCTCGCAGAGCAGAAGCTATGCTTCTGCGGTCTCTTCCCCCCAGAAAACCAAAGGATCTGCGGCTTCCAATCCCATCTCCATTTCCTCCACTCCTCCAATGACGGCCCGCCCCTCTTCTGTTCCTAAACCACAGGCTGCCCACTCAACCTCCACTGTCCCAGCCACGGCGTCGACAGACTGGACAGCATACTTCAACAGTCAGCTTGCAAAGATGAACCAACAGCATAGAGCCGACCTTGCATCTGTTCGCACCGACATGGCCTCACTCAACACCAAGTTGGACCTTCTCCTCAATGGACTGGGGGTGGCGCAAACGGGCGCCACAACTCCATTCAAGCCAGCAGTCGCGGAAGAACCCAAGGATGTCGAGATCACTGATGCTACAGACTGCAACATTATTGTTCCCGACTCCATCCCCTCTTCACCACAATCAGTCGCCCCTGCCTTTCAACAACACGATGTCCCGGTGGCACAGGCCCACTGTGACACCCACACTCGTCCAAGCACACCATCTACTGGCAACAATTCCTACTATACATGCACCCTTCGCCCACACTCACTGGGAGGCAACTCCAAGGCGAAAGGAGACAAGGAGCGAGACGAGAGCGGTGGCAATAGGAAGTTGCCAATTGCCCAGGAGACGGGGACTAACAAAGATCCAAAGGGTAAGACGCCACTACGCAATCATTGCCAATCAACAACAACAGGCCCACACAGAACACCTCAACGCCTCCACCACCGTTCATACTCCAATGACGCAGATTCAACTCGAACAGCTGGTAGCAGTTTTGATGGAGGAGAACAAGGAGATGAAGGCCAAGATCCAGTCCATGAGCGAGCAGTTCCAAGAGCGCGAGGGCGCTTATAAGGCACTTCAAGACAGGATCGAACAGCAACAAACAGGAGACCGAACCGTCATCGTTCATGGAGAGGAACTCCAATACGCCAGCGTGACTTCGTCGGAAGGCGCCAACTACACGGGTCCTCCTGAACATGGCAGCCTGGGTCCCACCCCTTCCTACACCCCATCTTCCAACCCCAATGCCAACAACAACAACGGCCAGGACTCCGGAAGCGAAAAGGAACTCTAATGCCAAACACACCAACACCAACATACACCCCTGGGCGCTACGACCCCAGTCCTTTCCACGACCCCTTCCGCACTTTCACAGTGGCAACGTTTAATGTCCGAGGTGGCAACAAAGTCAACTATCTCAATTATTTAACGCAACGCGCAAACCAACATAATATCAGTATTCTCGGTGTGCAGGAGACAAAGATTCACGCGGACAAGCAGAAGCATCTTCTTCATCGCCGCAGCAGCAACCACTACACCGGTCTCTGGAACCACACATCAACGCATTTTCATGGGAAGGGAGTCGGCTTTGTCATCCACAAATCATGGGCAACATACCTCACAGCAACATTCTCGGATAAGGACGGACGTGGCATCGGTGTCCGCTTCGGTTTCAAGCATGGATTCCAACTGGCAGTCATCAACTGTTACTTCCCTCCCGAAGGCTCCAACACATACCCCGCCGACTTCCAACAACTCCATGAATGGGTCACCACTCAGATCGAAAAGCACAGAGTAGACGGCGCTCATGTCCTTCTGCTAGGCGATTTCAATGGCGCTGTCAATCCGGCCATCGACCGCAACTCCACCAACAGAACGACCTCGACTCCAGAGCTCAGCTTGTATCCATGGTTGTCGAGTCGTGGCTTTGTCGATACTTTCCGCTCCTTACATCCAACTACCCCTCTTTTCACATTCCATCTTCCAAACAGTCCAGACACCAGCCGTATAGATATGGTATGGGCATCCTCGGGTTTGGCTTCGTACCTGCTCCGCACCAACACTTATGAGCCCGACGACTTCGAAAGCAGCGACCACTCCATGTTTCTAGCAACCTTCGACCTCCACACCCAGATCCGACCAGCAAACCAAGCGGAACTGGCCGCACAGCGGACAAAGGACAAAAAGCTCCTGCCAGAAGATGCCGACAACGACGCCTGGGAATCCTTTGCGGAACAAATAGAACGCTGTCTCGGCTCCTATGGACGGCTGGACAATGTTCCTCAGTTCCCCGCCGCTTTTCAACTCGGTCAAGCGATGATTCCCTTCTCGGAGATTGACTTGCGGCGTTTCCCTCTGAATGCTGCCTGGGAGTTACTCTGTGATACTGTCATGTCTTCTGCATTTGCACACCTTCCTAGCGCTCGCACCGGTGGTCGGCCCCCTCCCCCCGAAGGCGAAGAGCTCCTACTCAACAAGATCCACGAGATTGGGGGCGTCATATGGTCCGCACGAGTGACATTCATCGAACTACAACTGGCGGAGGGGACGACCAAGGAGGGTGTGCATGGCAAGATTGTCGACTGGTACCACATGAACGGAACGCAACTAGGACTGAGCATTGTACCGGACATGGAGGCATCGACGCAGACGTGGGACCGCTGGATACGAGAAGTGCAAAGGCCTTGGCGGCAAGCGAGACTGGACCATCAGGAGTATTATGCCGCAAATGTGCAGGATATCATCAACACCCATATAGAGAACCGCGACCTCCGTTTTCAGACACATACAAGGCAGACGATTCGAGGAATACTCGACATTGCCTCAGGACGTGTTAACCTCGACCATTTCATTATCGATGATGACCCTATCAATCCTGACGCTGCCGGAAACGCCTCTCCTGTCATCTATGTCATTGACGACCCAAGCGAGATCAAATCACGAGTTCGTCAGTATTTTTGCGATACTTTCCACAAGGAACGACCTACACAACCATTGAACGCAGAATGGGAGGAGGCATACCAACCAAGGGAGGACATTCGGGCGGAATGGTACGACACAGTGATGGAGATACCTGACTATGCAGAAGTGTGTGCAGCGGTGGCGGCGGCTCCAATAGGCAAGGCATCAGGACATTCGAAGGTGTCAGGAGATCTCTTGAAGAGGCTTGGGCCCCTTGCCCAAGCACTATTTGTCGTCCTGGTTCAGGCGTGCTTTGTACAAGGAGCAATGCCGGAGGATTGGCTGAAGGGGGTGATCTATTGCATACCGAAAGGGCCGGTGTGGTCAGGAAGGATTAGTGAGGTGCGTCCTATTACACTGTTGGAGCACGGAAGGAAGATTTTCTTCTCCATCATGGTAAAACGGCTTACCGTGGTGCTGTCTCGCCACTCCATCTTTCGTGGCCCCAACTTTTCGGTGCTCAAGGGAACCATGGCCAAGGACCCGATCCATATCCTGAACGCGGTTCTCGAGGATGCCAGAGAGTACAAGAAAGAGGTCCGGGTGCTGCTGCAGGACATGAAGCGGTGCTTTGATTCGGTATCGTGTCAGGGAGGTGGAATGCTGGAACTCGGTCTGCGACACCTCAAGATCCCGCAGGGGTTTATCGACCTGTGCCTTTACGTCGCGAGAAACAAGACCAACCGCATCATCACCGCATACGGACTCACGGACGAGTACTCTCCTCTCTGCGGCCTGGATCAGGGTGGAGTAGAGTGTCCCCTACTTTGCCGCATCGTCTATGAGGTTCTCCTTGACCAGATCTGTCAGTCCAACCTCGGCTACCCTATGGTTAACAGGGCTGACCTGCAGGCGTTCCACAAGAACCCAACGTTCGACTCCCTGCATCCTGACACCCCGCTCCGCATTGCCTGCCTTGCCTTCATAGACGACACGGACTGGATGGCACCGTCTAAGGCTAAGCTACAAGAGATCACAAACAAAGCGATGAGTTTCTTTCAATTACATGGTATTGAGATTAACCCAAAAAAATCAGAACTAATCGTGGTCAATTCTACCTCTGCTGATTCCTCTATTAGACTCGGTGCGGATACGGTGACCGCTCTACCTCCTGCCACTGCTGCCAGGGTCCTGGGTGTGTGGTTCTCTGCTGACGGAAAGGGAGCCCATACACGCCGGCTAGTGAAGGAGGAGGTGCTAACGATGTGTCAGATACTCTCGCGGAAGGCTATTACCGACAAACAGTGCATTTACATCTTCAACAATGTTCTGCTGCCACGGATACTTTACCGGCTGTCAGTGACAATCCTTAGCCCTCGCGAGACAAAGACCATCGTCAGCCAGTACACCAGCGTCGTTCGCCAGAAGGTAAGGCTGCCCCTCGGCTTGCCGACCAGCATCCTGTTCCATCGTCGACCGTACGGCCTCCGAGACCTTGAAGATGCCATGGTCGAGGAGCAAGTCTCAACTGCACATCTACGGCTAAACGACCAGGATCTGCTGGGAATGGTGATGGCGTCTCGAGCAACAGCCCATCAAGCAGAGTGTCGCCTTACGGTATCCCCCTTTGACGTACCAACCATTGGAGCTCAATTCCTTCGCAACAATTTCTTCGGGCACGTCTGCCGCCTCATGGTCGAAAGGGGCATCACCTTCCAGTCGCCAGGGATCCCTGTCAACGTTTCTCGATACATCGGCCTCCTCTTGCCCTCAGGCGTATACCCAAAAATCGCCCACCGACTCTTCCTGGACGGAATTGTCACTCTGGATAATGTGTTGACAGATGATGGCCAATCTCTGGCTCCTTGGCAAGACATCCGAACACAGTACAAGTTGAAAGGTCCTGTCCGTCGTTGGTTCAAGGAACTGGTGAAAGTCGTCACCTTGTCTCTGCCAGCTGCTGTCTCCGTTGATGCCACGGTGTCTTCCCTTATCGTCGAGGAGGACCACCCTATCACGCCTACAGGTCCAGAGGTGTTGTACGAAGACGGCTCCTCCTCCGAAGAAGAGCCATTGATCAATCGGGCCATCGAACGCCGACAAGGGCAACAAAGAGGCGTGGACATCGTTCCTCCAGCCAATGTCTTTGCGTTCAGCAGAACCACCGCGACGACAGTACTAGACCTTGGTACGTTTGTCGACCCCATACAGGTATGCCTCCATCCTTTGGCGACTGCAGCTCCATCAGTTGTTGCTGAAGGAGGTGGTGTTGAAGTTGGCGAGGGTCGCGGTAAGAAAAGCAATGGAGGTGATGAGGTGAGACTTGAGGGTGTGTATAAAGAAAATACAAAAGGAAAAAAGGTCGAGTGCGATAACAGGGGGGTTTTTGTACCCAGACACATCCTTGGGCGAAAAAAAGCAAAGGGCGAAAAAAGAACAAAATTTTTTCACAGATGCAGCCCAGGCCAAAACAAAAACCACACGCGCAATCGATCGCTCAGATGAGCGTGGGAATGGGTTTGTTATTACTGGCAAGGCAGGTTTTGTTAATGATAAGAGGGCGTGGGATAAGTAGTGTTGCCTGCAAGGGTCATGCTCTGGTTCTTCTTCATCTTCTTTTATTCCTTTTACGCTTCCTCTTCCTCTTCTTTTTCCTTTCCCGCTGCCGCAGAGTTGGATGTTTGTCCTGCCTTGTCTTGTGAGCCACTTGTTACTATTCCTTCTTTTTCTTCTTCTCCCTCTGAACTTGATCCCTTGTTATCTTCTCTCTTGTTGTCTGTGCCCCACTTGGGTGTACCTTTCTCTTCCGATCCCTCTCTTATATTTGACATTTCTTCTTTTCAATCGCGTCTTCCCTCTTTACCTCTTCTTCTCCTTCTACCTTTCCTCCTCTTCTTTCTGTTTCCTCTTCCTCCCTTGCCCCTCTTTCTTTGCTTCCCCTCTCTCCGTTCTCCAGTTTCGACCCTCTTGATCTTTTCTCAGCACCAGTCTCTTCTATTCTCTTTGATCCTTCTCTCTCTTCTCTCTTTTCTCTCTCTCCTCTCTCTTCTCTCTTTTCTCTCTCTCCTCTCTCTCCTCTCTCTTCTCTGCCTTCTCTTCTCTGCCTTCTCTTCTCTCTCTCCCTCAGCCCATCTTTCCTCAGTCACCTTCTCCTCAGTCACCTTCCCCTTCACTCTCATCCACTCCTTCGCCATTATCATCTCCCGTCCTTTCGCATGTCGTCGTTGTCCCCACTCCAGTTTCGAGTCTTAGCCCTTCTCTGACAGGTGCTCCACCCAATACCCCCACTACTCCACGTTCTCCCACTCCAACACGTTCTCCCATTCCAACATTGTCCGCCACTCCAGCAACTCTCATCACACTCTCACCTCCCCCGTCGGATACAACCGACATTGTCTTTGAGCGGGCAGTCGACACCCTGGACAACACCTGCAGAGAGCGTCTCCTCCGTCCCGCGGCCGAATGCGATGCCGAGATCCTTCGCATCAACAGCGACACCAGGAAAAAAACAATCGGCAGACAATACAAAGTATGACGGGCTCAGAAGCCGATACCGGAGTCAACTTGCCAGGAAACCACAAGAACTGGCTGCCATTCTTTTGATGACCGATACTCAGGCCGCCAATGCAGTCGCACGCATCAAGTCAATTTCTAGTCGCCGCAAGACCGTCGCCCTTGGGATACGTCGCCGGGCCACCGAGGCCGTCAACGAATACCGTGCTCATCGCCTTGTCTCTCTTCGCTAGGATGGGAAGAATCCCCTTCATTCGTATCTAGTTTTATTTTTTTCCGTTTAAGCTGTGAAGAGCAGCGACAATTGTTGCGCAGAGCCAGGTTCTGGACCGGACTGCGACTGGTGGATGGTGCACTGAAGAGTTTGGTCTGTAGTTCCCTTTTACTTCCAAATAACTTCTCTATGCTGTTTGTCAGAGAAATAAAATTGTGTACGAAAAAGAAAAAAAAAAAAAACATATCGAATGCCACCCCCCCCCCCTGTAAAGGATTTGAGGGCGTTGTGTGCTTTTTTGAGTGTTTAATAAAAAGTGAGTTATGAACTGCTGAACTATCTAGGTACTGACTATAACTATTTATGTATGTGTTGCGGGGCCGGCTTACTAATCATGTGTCAGTATTGCATCATGGACCAGGCCTGTGACCTTATCCTATAGTTCGAAGTAGAACTAGTCAACATGACGTAGCCTGGATGTATACCCAGTGGACCATAGGCGGTGGCCCATAGTCATGTGTACCCGGAGTGGAACTCTGACATGAATACACCCGCAGATGCAGAGAGCCAGGATGGAAACTCCACAGCGATATTTACAAGAGAAGCCGTGGCGGCAACACAGCAGAATGGACACATGCCTCGTTGCAGACGAGACCCAGTACCCTTCCACCCAGTACCCCTCCTCGTGTTTTGAGTCTACGGACTCATCTTCCGACATTCTATACACCAACCAAGCCAAAATGAAACACCCGAGGAAAGCGGTCGGCCAGTAATCAAACAAGGCGATGATGCTCATCACGAACCATATCTTTCTGAGACTTCAATCACTTTTGAGAACTATAGGGTCTGTTGTCAACGAGAAGAAAAGAGTTGTTTTATTATTTTACACCACTGGAGTGATATTTAACCACGGAGGTGATAGCTAATCACGGAGGTGGCAAGTAATCACGATGATAATTATTATAAATAATCACGGAGGTGATAGTTGAGCAGCGACCATCTGTCATGTGGTGATGTGGTCGCTAGCAGCACTTCTTCGTTAAATAAAAAGACGGGGTAAAATAGAAATAAAAACCCCGTACCGCAACACTTTGCTACTAGGCTGATCTTTCAAACTGTTGTACTTCTCCACTCTCTTGCTTTCTTTGAGTGCGTAGTAGAATAGTATTCTTTTCAATAGCCACAAGAAATTGATCTGCCACTCTATGCTACAATCTGCAGCCTGCCACTGTTCCTCCGATATATAATAGTTTTGAGCATCAAAGGTCTGGATATTAATTTCAAGAGGTAAGCAACCAGAAATGACGCAGCATTGTGGTGCAGTTGATCTGCATTGAAAAGATAGAAAAGATAGTTTGTACTCATAACAGATGTTATCCCTTCGTCTGTTTTCGACCGCTTTTTGTGGTCGAAATTTATCCCTTCGATTGATTCTGCGAGCAGGGTCCTCTCCATATTTACAAAAAAAACACGGAGAGGCTGAGAGAGCACCCACTCCGTCACATAAAAAAAGAGGAACCACCACGAGAGGAACTTCCATATCAACTTATCTTCCTATCACTTTTCCTTCACTTTTAAACGTCAGCGAGATGGACAGGCAGAACAATAAGTGTGGATAAAATAGTCTCAGAGCCGAGCCTTTATAAAAGATAATGTTGTCAAAACCCTCTGACAATTCAGACGCCTCTCACTCAGAATAAGAGAGTGTGAATCAACCTCCATAAATGAAATTGACTCCAAGATAGAAAGGAAAAAAAGAAGAGCGACTCGCTGGGAACGGAATGAAGAAAGATCAGACCAAGAGATGCGAAGTCAACTTATCATCGATGTTTTTTGCGTTGGTGAACGCGCTGAGTTTCCATGAAACGGTGCAGTTCGTTGCAAAGTCGGCCCGACGTCATATGTCTAACCACGCAACAACATCGACACAGCAGACTTCATCCGGCCCAGAGCGAGCAACCGACGCCGATGACGCGGGCATGTCTACTCACACAACAACATCTACACAGCAGGCTTCATGCAGTCCAAAACGAGCAGTTGACGTCGAGGATGAGGACATCGCCGACACTGCTTCCTCTAACAAACGCCTCCGACCCCTCCAGCTCCGGCTCGTCGCCTCTCGTTGAAGACATGCAACGATTGCTGGCGACACAGCCATCCCAGATTAGGTTCGACGAGAGTCCTCGTGATCTCCTTATTGCCTCTCTGCCCTCGAGATTCTATCTTGCCTTTCTCTTTATCGTGCTCAAAAGATAACAAATCAACGCGTAATGTCTCTCAACACGACGCATCCATTGCCTCTATCGCACTTAATTTTTTGAAATGCTCCGATCTCTCATCACTTTCCCTCAATGCAAGTAATGCTTGGATATCGTAGGTAACCATAATTTTCTCAGTCACAACTCAGCTCTCATGTTCACTTCCTCTTCCCACTTCCTGCTCTTTCCACCCCTTCGTCTCTTCTTCAACTGCAACACGGTCAACGATCGCCTCCATTTTGACTATTCCTATCCACACCCCTTCACGCACCAGTATCACCACCCGAGTCTGTCTCTTCAACCCAATCCTGCTGCTCTAGCCTCACCCCACACGTCCTTCATCTCCAGTCACTACCACCCCAGCAAAACCACCCGCAAGTTACCACCAACACCAGCACCATGGCCACAACGAACATCGAGCGAAAAGTCGACCAAGCCCGGAACGCCGCCCATAAAGCCCCCCAGATCGTCGCCAGCAAAGCTCAATCGGCACTGGAGTCTGTCAACTAGATGGGTATAGTCCAGCACTATGTTTTCCCTCCCGCGGGATACCTCAAGAATCTATATGTCCAAGCCCCCACCAGTGTCAAGGTTGGGGTCGTTGGGTTTGGAGCCATGTCGGCTTTTCCTCTGGGCTGCTTCATGGGCTTCATGGGGTTTGTCACCCTTGGGTCCTTGATTGTTGGAGGGATTGGATTTACCATTGTTGAAGTGAGATATGTTTCTTTGGCACAATGACAATGATGATACGCACTCGAATACCAAAACCTGATAGACGAAACTGATCCGAAACTCCTTACCCTAACCCATCATCATCTACATGTGCCAATCATCACCTTATCTCTGTTTAGGTAGGATTCGCAATTTTCAGCTTGGTTTTCCTGCTCCCAGCCTTGGGAGTCTCGCTGCTGGTTGCCTGCGGCGTCGGGTTGGTCAGCATGGTCGCCTATGTCGGGTACCTCATTTCCTGTGCAGTCCTGAGTATGACCTGGGGACATGGTGACTTGCGCAAGGCTAAGCGACAGATCCGGGAGGCCAAGCGGAGGGCTAATAAGGGCGGTCGACGAGCCAACGGCTAATAGAGTCGGACAATCACAAGGGACCATCGCACTAAACAGTGGAACCAGGCCTCGCTTATGATAAGGACTGATTGATCTCAACAACCCCTTGAGGAATAGAGAGCGTCTTTTTTTTTTTTTTTTTTTTTTTTTCTTGAACTCGCCAATGCTTAAAACACTGTGGACAATCATTCTTTTTTTTTGTTTTAGCTTTTTGAAACGCTCCACAAGCATTTTCACTTCCTCATAAAGCAAAAAATAAAAATCAATACACGGACGCGGCGGTCACAACCAACCAACGTTCACGGGCACCCATCGTTAACTTTCATTATTTTTTATCGAAATGTAGTTCAAAACAAGCCAATCGGTATTGTGGGCGATGGGGAAGGGAGGTCCCACGAGCGCAGTTGCAGACAAGCAAGGGTAGCAAATGGTTGAAGGGCCGGGCTCACATAAACCACATCACCAGAAAAAGCAAAGCAAGACGAAAGGGTCAGCTTTCTGCCATGTAGATATCTCTTCAACGTCTTAGCACGGTTCGTATATAACATACCCTTCTGAAGCTGCTGCTTTACGGGCGCGTAGGTAATCGACTCACTCAATCCTTCCGAAGGTGTGGCCTTGCTCCAATTCACGCCCTTGGTGGAAACGTGCTCGCTGCGCGACCAGGTGGGCATAGTACTCCGCAGAAACGATAGAGACGGATCGAGGGCATCGAGCATACAGGTAGCATAGTCTGTAGGTTAGAATCTGGAGACTGTCCGACGTAAATCAGTTCTCATCGCAGAGGACGTTGTGGAGGGCAGGTCTCGAAGTTCCAATCAGACCCGCTTGCTACTGGAAGTAAAATCAAATTGGAATGGATGAACAATGCCAGTGTCGACCACAGTTCCGGGCGGACAGTTTCCCGATCGATCGGCCTGGCCCTTCTGCATTAGAAAGAATAGATTGTGATGGCGCTTCTGGACTACCAGGCGAACAAAAACATCCACATTCGCCATCTGGGTCTGAGGGGACCGAGTCGGGGAGTCCACCCATCAAACATGCTCGCCTCACATTGGGAGCTCCCTCAGGCACAAGTACATCGACCGGTCCTGTGTTTGTTGCGATCCTCCTGGCTCGGTTCCGACAAACCTTATGACACAGGTCCAACACCTATTGCAAGGAGGACCAGCTCAGATCTTTCTCGACAGCAATGGTACTCTCACAACAACACGTACCGAAAACAAAGGCATTGTAAGTACATTCGATTTTCAAATACAACCGGCAAAGACAAAGCTGCTGTAAGAAATATACCTAATACTATCTCATCGCTTTGTGTTTCCAATAGGACTATGGCCACATAGGCCAGGTTATTCACGACATCCTCACGAAAAAAGTCTCACAGGGGCGCACAACAATCCATGCCGACGGTCCCCGTTCGGTCGAGAAAGGGCACGCCCATCAGAAACGGGACCGTGATCTAACAACGCGGATGAGAAAACTCATGGAGGACTACGACGAAGACAAGATCAAAGGGACGAAACGGCTATACCGGCGCCTAAAGTCTGTTTATCGGGCACCACCCGATGCCGCGAGACAAGTGCTGGATGCTCTTCAGAATCTGGGGTGGACAATATGTCGCTGCCCCCACCAAGCTGACTGCTGTATTGCCCGTTGTCTCAATAATGCCGTCAAGCCGGAGGATGTACGAATCATCACCAAAGACTCTGACTTGTTGGTCTATGAGGCCTCTACATCGATCACTATTCCTGTCGGCAGTCAGTGGAAAACATTCCAGAAGCAGGACCTTATGGATCGACACCAGCTCCCCACTCCAGCCCACCTTCTTCTTCTTGGTATATTAACAACAAACGACTATACCGACGGCGTTCCTTACTATGGCTTGGTGTCGAACGCTGACATTGTTTGGACGTTTACATTGGACGGACTCGACGGATTGAGCGATCAGGAGCGACTTGGACAATTCAAACACCACGTCATTCAGTACTTGAAGATTGTATACGACAGCGCCGACAAGCTCCAGGAGATCGCAGAGGAGTCCTACCTCCAATATGGGAGACACATGCGACTGTATGAGAAACACGCCAAAAGGTCCTTGAACAGGGTCGAGATGACTCAGTACCAGAAGAACGTAAAAGACAGCCAGTTCGATCATGCCCTTCAGGCGTTCGTGATGTGCACCGAGCATCCTTTACCTATGGGTGGGACCGAAACGACTTCCAGCACACCCGATATCCACAGCCTTGTCACGACTATCATTCAGGAAGTTGAGATGAAAAAGGCGAAGACCAACTGGGAGCGATTCACAAGGAGCCAAACATCACATACAGGATCATCAGCGCCCGCATCTATTATCGACCAAGCACCTCCACTCTACAAAAAGAGTAAAAAACAAGAAAGGCGCCATGGCTCACGCGCCCGGTCAAGGAGAAGGCAGAAATGGCAGAGGACAAAGTAAGTACTTTTTAGCGTCATCTTCAGTTATATCCAGCCACTTGTATTGACTTCTATTGCTTCTGTACTAATATTATTCTTCATAACATTGGCGCGTTTATTTCTAGATTCCGATCCCGGACGGATCAAGCAGATCGATACGTACCCCAAACGGTCAACCTCGAGAACGCCAGCCCCGTCGAGGACATAGAATTGTCTGGTCTGAAACCATCAACCCCTCGACCATACAAGCCAAAGGATCCCACTGCCACCAACGAACAAGCTGCCACTGCCCCTGTAGCCAAGAAAAAGAAGAAGAATAAGCATCTTGGCTATCACCAGGACAGGCCTGGTTATGCTGCTCTGAAGAAGTCATTCAAGTCTGTTTTCGCCACTGTCACCCTTACCACTGGATCAGTCAAGGGGTGCCTGAAACGAGCTACCGATCTCACCCAGGCGAACGTCGACATGGTTGCTCAGAGACTTGATATGGATGTGTCTATCGTCAATACTGCCAAGCATTTTGTCTACAAGATGCTCGAAATGCGGATCCTTGGAGAGCTACTCTCTAGTTCGCCGCCGACGTCCTTTCTGGAGGATATTCTGGATTCAGACTGGGCAGAGATTGTTATTGGGAATCTGTTGTCGTTTGTTCTCCGAGATTCGACAAAAGCACTAGGACCTACAGCCAACAAACCAAAGTCGAAGGAAGCACAGGCGGAGGCAGTGTCGATTTTTGCGGCCTTCAGGGGGTTCCATCCGGGATTCAAGGCTGTTAACCCATCCAGCATACCCCTCGGTGTTGTCATCGATGATCTGGCGCCCAATATCTGTTTGGCTATGACGTTGCATTATAGGAAGCTCCCACAGACTATACGCACAAAGGTACTAATCGCCCAATTCGTTGATGAAGCGCCATTGATAATTGGAGAGAGTGTATTGCATATTCTAATATTGTGCCTTTTTTTCTTTTTGCAATATTAGATGGAGAAGTTGGAGTTCGATCCCGCCCTACTTCCAAAAGTCGAACAGGAGGATGAAGACAAACCTGGTGATGACGGCACTACTCTAGACGATGACGGTACTATTCTAGACGATGACGCCGATGACGAGAACCCCAGGAAGAAATCGAAAAAAATTGTCTATCAGCCTGGACACATCCGATCATGCTGGAACTATCTCATGACACTTCCAGCGGCAAACCGACCCCGTTTCTGTACCCAGTCCAAGATGGCAGACAGCTTTATCGACGTTAGGGAGGAGGGACTGATGCGTATCCTTTGGGGAAGAGATGCAGGTCAAGTCGGATTGATTTGGAGCGGCGGCCCTCATACCCACGACTGGGCCAACCAACAAGTCAATACGTCATTCGGGAACCTCATCAAGATGCTTTTCATTGGAGATCGAAATACGGTTCGGCTCGCAAACAAACAACAAACAACATACGGGAAACGAAGTGCGACAATGGGTGAACTCAAGGCTGCCCACCCCACCATCTATGACCAAGGACCACTTGCACGACACCTGACTGATCGAATTAACTATTACCGAACCCGACACAATGCATCCATCTCGGCCGGATCGTCGTCGTCTTCCTCAGCATCTACGGTGCCGCTGCCTTCCAACCCCCCACTATTGCCGACCCCTCCTCACATCCAAGGCGCACAGTCTTCCTTTCGGTATGCATTGAACAATTTCATCCGCACGGACGGCCATCAGCTGCAACTTTTGGCCTATGACCTCACCAAGAGTCGGCAGGCGCCGGGTCGTAAGGAGTTTCTACGACGTATTGAGAACCAGTACCCAACCCGACAGTCGATAATTGAAGCATTCGGTCAAGACTTGGAGTCGGTGGCGGTGATTGGCATCGATCCAGGCGAAGTCGTGAGCGGTGCGTTCTGTGTGCGTCTCGATGACAAAACTGTGGTCAACTTGTTGGTAAAGCGCGCATCACTGTATCAGCCAACACTCGCCTTCAGAGCATGGGAACAGGAATGGAGGCGACAACACCCAGCAGCCGGTCCCGCAGATAATGTCGACGCGAGCCTTTGGACGAGGAAGACGGATGACAAGAACAGGGCAACTTTTCTACCTTCGATGCATGATCTTGAGAATGCGCTCCATTCAACAAAATACGACTCAGAGGACGCCCTCAAATCCGCGCAACGGCAGTATTTCGAGTTGGAGCCGATCATCCATGGATTCTACTCATCGTCGGACTGGAAGAAGGCCGTATACCAACATAGAATGGCAAAATTGTCAGAGCTGGACATGGCGGTGGCAGGCGTGCTCCGACTTGTGAAAGAAGCATTGAAGACTGGGAGGGCGTAGGGTCCTCTTCGCGTTGGGAAACGCGACTTTTCGGACAGGGCTCAACCTTACATCGGTCCACACGACGTTCTTGCGCAGACTACAGCAGAAGGTAATAATGAGAAAGGAGAGAGTAGAAAGAAGAAGATGTACGGGTGGTCGTATCTACTAGTATCATATGTCCCTTCAATACCATGGCGATCTGGATACACATGTATATTAATTCATTTGTCCTTTTTAAAATTGATAGAGCATGGCCCTTGGGTACAAGGTAGCGTTGGTGGATGAATATCTCACATCCACAATGTGCCCAACCTGCGTTTCCAAGGGTGAGACGACAAGACTTGCTAAGCCCTCGATGAGAACTTGCGCGTGTGTAAAATGCGGGCGGTGGATTCACCGAGACTTGGTGGGCGCGCACAACATTGCTATCATCGGCAAGCATTATCTTAAGCATCTCGGACGCCCCCCTTCCCTTGCAAGACCGTCGCCGCAAAGCTCATAACCTCTATAGATTGAAACTATAGTTTTTTTATCCTAGTCTGTCAATGACTAATGATGGACGAAGGGATACCATATGATCTTTGAACGTCACCTTCTGTTGTGGAATCCCCTGCTGCTCTTTATTCACAACAGCGATGACGACAATTTTGTGTCTTGTGTTTGAGTTAGCTGCTCGCTGAATTCACTTCCAGCACCCTGTTCAACAATCTAATACAGTACATACTGTAATATATATATATATATCTCATTTTCTATCTCTCTCAACAAATGCTGGAGGTTGGCCCTTGCGGATGGCTGCATAGATCTCGCACATGAGGTTGGTGTTGAGGGTCTTGCCGATGAAGAAGTCCGGGGTGTTCTTGTTCTTCTCGTAAAGGTCGATGTACCTCGAGGCGTGGATCTGCTTGGTCTTTGTGATGTCGCAGATCTGCTGGAGCGTCTTGCCCTGCCTGTGCAGCGCCAGGATGATGTACGGCTTGCCCTTAGAGTGCTGCTCAGGGATGTTCAAGTACCTGTATTCCTTCATAAGATAGTCTACCCTCTCCTTGTCTGTCTTTTTCAGTGTGAGTCCGACCCTAATGAGGATTGTGTTTCGGTGTTATGTTGTTTTCCTTGTTTTTGTCTTTTGTTTGTTTGTTTTTGTGCGTGTGTGTGTGTTCGTTTTTTTTTTTTTTTTTTTTTTTTTTTGGTTTGGTTCATTTTGTTTTTGGCATTGATTTTGTACCTGGGGCCCTTGATAAGCGGGCGGATGATCTTTTGCTTGGTGGGAACAATCCTGAGGAGAGAAGTCTCGGAGAAGATGGACTTGGAGAAGCTGGCGTTGTTCACCAGGTTGATGATCATCTTGGAGTTGGTGTGCTTGAGGACCTGGTCCACCACCAGGCACGGACCTTCAATGATTATCGCCGTCGGGTCATTGGAGAGCTGAATCCCACGAATCAGGATCCCCCCGAAGCATGTGTCATGCCTCCCAAAGGTGATGTCTACGCCCTTGTAGGACCCGCCTTTGTAAGACCCGTTCATCTTGTGGAAGTACCACTCGCCGCAGGTCTTCTGGTCCTTGTCGCTGTGGGTGAACACGTCCGGGTGCTTCCCGCCATTGAGGTAGAACTCGATCTCCACCAGCCTGTAGTAGTGCTTGTCGTTGATCACCATCGCCACCGAGTTCATCAGATACTTCGCAATCTTGTCAAAGTGCCCGTGGAACTCCGCCGCCGTCGACCCAATCTGGTCCGGCGCAAGCTCCATCAGTCTTCTCAACTCCTTGAACTCCGCCCCGCTATTAGAAGAAGAAAAGACGAAAGAAAAAAAGAAAAAGAAAAAAAGAAAAAAAAGAAAAGAAAAGAAAACGAAGAAAAGAAAACGAAAAAGAAAAGAACGTAGAGTCAACTTGACTTTTTCTTTTTTTTGTTCGAACTCCAGACAGCAATGAAAGAAACCTCAAGAAAAAAAAAAAAAGAGAGCGCAAGAAGAATTTGCGGTTTGGGAATAAACAAGGGGAACGATATTCTTACACATCGTGAATCTTCGGGACCTTAGAAGGCGTGCTGCTGCCAGAGGCAGACTCGATGGTGTCGGTGTCAATCACCTTTCGCTTCAGGGTTTCCATCTTGTATCTTTGTCTGTGGCTTTGGGGTTGCTTTTGGGGTGCTTCGGTGCCAATCTGTGTGCCTGGAGCAGTTCAAGTGCCGAAGGGTGTTTTTTGGTGAGAAGTGGAAAGAAAGAGAGAAAAGATGGAGTAGGATGTCAATGAAAAAAAGACCACCGTATCATGTATCTTCAGCTGTCAGCGTGGGCAGAGACGGTACCTAGGACGAATGCAGAATGGAGGGAAGGAGGGATGGAGTCAAGTGGGTCATGACGTCTCGCCACACTGGCTGGGGACAATGGGCGCCATAATTACGTCACCGAAGCGAATTATCATCGCATCCACTGCCCCCCTACCAGCACTAATATGTGTGGGCGAACCAACACACGAATATGAAAAACTAGACTACTTCCGCGCACCCTTTCCACCGTGCGCCGGGCTTGAGCTAGAGGCAATGGCTGATCTCTTTGGTCGGCCTTGAGTTCCGTCCGTGGTGCTTGAGGTAGAGGCAAGCCGTTTTCGATGTCCTGACGATTGACTCGTTGTGGTAGTGCTCCCGCTGCTGCCGCTTCCAGGGGTTGTATTCGAGAGTGTTCTCGATCCTGCGCCAGCACTAGCCATCCAAGGAAAAGATCCGTCCGGAGTCACAGGCTGGAGGTACTCTGGGCGCTGCTGCTTTTCAAGATATCCTCGCACAAGGTTGGCCATGTTCTCAGCCGCCATAACGTCACGGTGGTGATAAACGTGGCAGGTTGGGCAAAAGAAACGGCGGAGGGTGACCAGGGCGACGAATAGCCCACAGTGAGGACATTTCTTGCTCGTATAATACTCATTGAGTCCAACGACCAGGTAACCCAACGACCGTGCCTAATTTGAAGGAAACGTGCAATCATATTAATTATTTTTTGTTTGTTTTGCGGATGACAAGTATTCGCAGGTGTCAATCCTTAATGATATTCTTGGATCAATGGTTACCTTCTGCACAAAAAAAGATAGGAAAGTGGAGTCAAGAGAGGAGAGTCCACTCTTAATCGAGAACTTGCCCAGTCCTACTCCAATCAAGACAGGGTTTGCTGGATCATATCGACGCCCAATACTTCCTCCAACGATACCAAGGAGGCGATCGGCAAGCAATTGGTACTCATACTGACGGGCACGCTCCATGTCCCACTTGTGGCGTTTGTACAGCTGGTCTCAGCCCGCATAGAACTCCAATAGTCTCTCTTCGACTCGCCTCAGCTCTGCAGTGTAGTTGATCACACTCGCCCCCTCGCCTTTCAAAGGTGGAAGTTCAGTCTCGATTCCTGCAATCGTTCGCTGTTCCTCACCCACATCCAGCAACGTCTGCTTCTCGCCCTCCAGCCACCGACGGAAGCGGAATGTTGGTTGATACACCGCCTTTTGTTTTACCGTCAGATTTTGAAACACCGTCCTTGTCGACACCAGAGGCGAGGAAGTTGTCTGTTGATCTTGGGTTGAAACCGAGGTGGGGATAGGAAGAGAGATAGAGGATGTTGACGTTGCTGTCGGTTCCACAGAGGTAGCAACAATCCCTTCCATGCTTGAAGTTACCCTGTCGACCTCCTTGCCGTTTCCAGTCCTGAGCGAGTCGTCCGGAATATCCGCAAAGGCGCCAATGACACACGTCTTCCCGCCGTCCAAAGTCAACGTCTTGATCTCCTCGGGTTGAACTCCTGGCCAATATTTAGCGACGTCGTCCTTACTGGTAATGACATTTCTGATCTCGGATAGGAAGTAATCGACTCCGCCAACAGTCGAAGTCAATCTTGAGGGCAGCCTGTCCTCTGCGATAAGGCGAAATCGAACATCCTGAAGCTCTCGAAACTTAAATGTCAACAACTGTATCCTGAACCCGTCGGTCTTTCGAGAGCTTCGGAGGACATATCCCTTCGTGGCATAGGTAGTGGGGTCGAGTCATTCATTCTGGACATCCGCCAAGTGACTCCAGATCTGATCCAAGGACCACAGCATGACCGCAGATCGATGACCAGCTTGCTTCCGCTGCCGACTTGTGAGACCTTGAGGGACGACGTCGGCAACAAAGTTCTTGATGATAAAACCGGGCTCTTTTCCTGCTATCCATGTGTCAAGGTCATTCACTGAGGTGATGGTCGAGTTATCCAACTCGCCCAACCGCACCAATCTTTCCTTCAGCGATGTACGCTTCCAGAAAAAGGCTGCAATAGCCAAAATGTAGGGGGAAAATGAATGACGAGAAAGAAGGTGGTTGTTGACCAGTTTATTGAGCACACTAATAAATAGAGAATTCTTCGTCAAATGAAAACTAACCCTGTATTTCGTCAACCCCCTGGCCAGAAATTAACCCAGGTTGAAAAGACAAAAATGAGGGACGTGGGAAAATGAACAAACCCCACGCATATTGTGCGCTAAGACAGACACAATCAAAAATGAGTGGGAAAAGACCAATAGGTCAAAACTTCAAGGATAAAAGACCATGCGGTCAAAACCTCAGAAATACAGGAGGACAAAAGACATAGGTGTCAAAACCTCAAAGATGTGATAGGACAAATGACATGGAAGTCAAAACCTGAAGAATATGGGAGGCAGGACACACAGCGGAACTGATTTGTGCTCTCTTTTATGAGATTTCCGCAATTGCGTAATTTTCAACCCGCTCAAGCGGAAGTAAAAAAACCACCTACAGTCCTTTTTGCTGGTAATTGCACTTTTCATAGGAAAAACGCAATTTCTACTGAATTAAAAAAATATAAGGGTGTTATTCAGTCTATCTGTGATGGTTGATTCACCTTATATCCTCGCAGAGTTTGCTGCATATCTACATCAACGTCAAGATGCTTGGGGGTGAAGATGCGATGGACCGAAAGGTAGCGCGGTATGTGATCCGTAAATCCAAGCAGAAATAAAAATGGACTGAATAACACCCTTATATTTTTTTAATTCAGTAGAAATTGCGTTTTTCCTATGAAAAGTGCAATTACCAGCAAAAAGGACTGTAGTCAATGATGAAAAATCAATGTAGTCGTCTTTCACACTTTTGTTTTTTCGACTTTGAAAACGTTGTTTTTGACACTTGTCCATTAATATGAATCTGTAGAATTTGATCTCAGGAATACGTCGGTACAGTTCTTATTGAGATTGGTGGAGAATTGACTGAGTAAACGAAGAAAGACTATCTCCAACATTCTCCAAAAGTGTCCTATATGAGCTATCCTCCTCTTCTACCCTTCAATATGTATTTATTTTAATTGTTTTCTCTACCTAAGTGATAGCTATGGGTTACAAGTGTTAACATGGGATTTCCAGAAAGAAGAGTGAGTGCGTTTTGGAATGGGAGTCTATAATAGAAGAAGAGAAGAGTGAAAAAGAACCAAGGGGTAAGGAGAAAAAGAATAGAGCGACAGAGATAGATGAATAAACATGTATATATAGAGAGAGAATCTTTATTTCAGATTGCGTGCTATTTTGTTATGTCTGCGTTTGTCGTTGCTTGCTGTTGTCCTTCTTTTCAGGAAGACAACATCCATGGTCAACCAATTGTTTAAGGAGACGAATAGTTTCCTTGTTCACAATTGAGACCCGAGAATAACGAGAGAAGGACTCCACTAGAGCACGAACATCATCGTGCATACGATTTTGTTCACACTCTTCTTCAAGCGTCTCGTCTCTCTTGATATCCTCCTGCTTGAAGTCCATGACGGTCGTGGGGACGGTAAGGGTTCTTGAAACATAGAAATTGTTGTTGAGCGGAAGGCGAAGATTGCCAGGGAACTTGCGGATAGCCATAAGGATGTGCTTGCAGAGACGACGGTACCGGAGAAAGTACTCGCAGGAGCAACTGTTGATCAAACCATCAGTTGGCGACAAGCTGTAATAAATGGCTGGAAAGGTGATCGACTCGACAATGTAACGACCGTCAAGAAAAAGGACATGCTTCTGGATGGTCTCCTCTGTCATAGCCTGGACATCTCGTTGGCGCAGAATGTCGAGAACCTCGCCTTTCGTCCTACGGCCAACACGGATGATTGCTCCGAACTCTTCCTTCTTGAATGTCTCCAGGACGACTTCTGTGAGAATGTAGAGGATGCGGTCCGCTCGCGCTCGGTAATGGTGCTTGAGGTGATTCGACTTCAACTGGTTGTGCCAAGACTCAACATAGTTGTTGGTATCCATCGATGCGTAGTAGACGTCTTGACGATAGGACTTCATCCAGAGCTGGCGGCGACGCTCCTTGAAGTAGTTATCCTCCATGTAATCCACCAAGGGTTTCGAAAGCACCCCCCAGACTTGTCGGAACACCACGATCATCTCATTAGCTGTCCTCATATCACGCTCGTACATGATCTTGTGCAGGACCAGGCGGGCATCAGCTTGAAGGCGCTGTTGCTGAAACGGGTTGTCGTTCGTGACCAGTTTTTTGATCTGCGTGCTCCACGCTCGAACAACGTGCCAAAGGCAAAGGTGGATCCGAACGTGATCACCATGGCCATGATGTAGCGGAAGCTGATACCAGCATACGCCTCGAGAGCGATCAGCCAATCCTGCAAGGGCTCGGCGGTCTTGTCCTCGGTCAAAAGAAAGCCCACAGGGATTCCACGCAACGTCTGAGGGTCTTGGACAATAACGGTGTAAAGCTCGGCGCTGCCCTTGCAGGTATTGTGTGTTGAATCCAATCCGACTGCTCCTCCAGAAGCTCGAAGCTTGTCCAACTGCCAAGGAGAAGAGAATCCATAACCGTATTTGTTCGTCGATCCTGCAGTAGTCTTGTTCCATCGAAAGACGAAGTTTCCTTCAGCCTGCTTTCTATCCGCCCAAATGGACAACGATATACGACAGTCCGAATGTCCCTGGCTCTTCTCCTTCCAATAGGCATCGTAGATGTTGGCAATGTCGACGGCTGTCACGAAGTCATCGCGCGTGAGTGTCCCCTTTGACAGGCGGCTGTGAAGAGTATCGGAATGGAGGGTAAGCTTGTCCCTGATAGCTCGTTTTCTCAAGCCCAGCTTGATATAGCCCAGGATGGCTTCCCGGACTGGTTGGCTAATACGCAGGTGCTGGAACCCCTCAAGATCGCCCAAGGCGTGGCCAGTATGGCGGCCATAATATGTCAGACGAACACGCTTGCTTGCATTGGCAGGGGGGTAACCAGGAGCTGGGGGATGTCCGTCCTTGAACTTGTGAATATAGATACGAGCGAGGCATCCCAAGTGCTTGGAAGTCTTGAAAACCTGGCGACGCTTTTTACCCTCGGCCTTCTTCTTGATCTCGGGCTTGCCGGCGCAATGACAGTACCAGGTTTGTGTGTACGAGAATGGGCTGGCCTCCGAGCACACCTCATTCGTCTCCAGCCGCCAGTGAAATAGGTGCTGTATGCTATCCATCTCAAGCCAGTCTTCGTACGTTCGTTCGGGATAGTAAAAGATCTTGGGTTCATAGTCAAAATAGACGTTCCTCGGGGAATAAGGTTTCTCCAGAGTGACAAGAGGATAAGGAATAGAACCTTCAAGCCATGGAGCTTCGCCAGCGAGACGCGCCCTGAGGGTGTTGAGGGCGGCGGGTTCATCTTGGTACAGGAGTGCAAGTGTCTCCTGCTCCTCTTTGACGTCGTCGTCGTCGTACTTTTTTTCGTCTTCCTTCAAAGCAAGAGCAAATCCTGGAAGAGGTTCAAGGAACTCAGCTACGTCTCGCTCACGAAGGTCATCGATTCCGCAAGGCTGGAATAACGCGGTATTGTCTTGTTTATTGTCCATAAAGGCTAGCAGTAAGAAAGCGCGATAAGTACACAGTTAGTTAGTTACGCGGGGCGTTGGATAATAATATTGATAATAATAGCACTTATTTTTACCTATAATATTTTCATAGGCTTGAGCGACTTAATGAGCGGAAGAGAAGGGGCAAATGGGGTGAAGATGGAGCCCGGATGAGGTGCGGATGAAGTGCGGATGAGGTGTGGTGGAGGGTTACAGACGCAACAGTGATGGGAGGTGCAAAGAGGAAGAAAAAGGTGAGAAAAAAGGGCAAAAAGCACTTTACTGATGTTTTGTTTTTGCTTTCCTCAAGTGTCGCGTTTTGTACGTGGAAAGACCCTTAATGATAGGGGCCTTTTAAACCCCACGAAATAGGTTTATCGGGAAAATTACCATAGGGATCTATAAACTGGCTTGTGGCAGCCAAGCGTTCATAGCGACGTTGATTTTTTGATCCTTCGATATCGGCTCTTCCTATCATACTGAAGCAGAATTCAGTAAGCGTTGGATTGTTCACCCACTAATAGGGAACGTGAGCTGGGTTTAGACCGTCGTGAGACAGGTTAGTTTTACCCTACTGATGAAATGTTGTTGCAATAGTAATTGAACTTAGTACGAGAGGAACCGTTCATTCGGATAATTGGTATTTGGGCCTGCCTGAGCAGGCAATGGCCCGAAGCTATCATCCGTTGGGTTATGGCTGAACGCCTCTAAGTCAGAACCCGTGCTAGAACGCGACGATTACCGCCTTTTCCGATTTTTAGTTGAATACGAATAGATCCTCGGATCCTGAATCATACTACGTGGGGTTATCTTGCAGAGCGGAAAGGCTTTGTGAGGTTCCTGCTAATGTTAATTTCAAATATTGGAAGAGATAAATCCATTGCAGACGACTTTAATTGAACGGGGTATTGTAAGCAGTAGAGTAGCCTTGTTGCTACGATCTGCTGAGATTAAGCCCATTGTTCTACAGATTTGTTCTTACGAACAACATCTCTCTCTCTTTGGCGATTTTTCACGTACACGGCACACGGAAATGGTTTTTTAAAACATCCAACTCTCTGTCAACGAACTGTGTACCATTCGAGTTGAAGTATACAATCCGAATTTGCAAGAGAGATACAATATAAATAGGCACCAAGCAAGATGCGATTTTTTAAAAAATAGTCTCTCATCTGCATTTCACGGCAGAGATGCTATAGAGTAAGAACAAGTTTTGGAGTATCATCGTCAAGAATTACTCCCTTTAATTTCGATGCGAAGGATGCGATCTGGTGATGGACATGTACATTCAGGAGAGATCCATGCAAAAAACTATGGTACATTTCTGTTTGGAAAAGTTGGCGGTGATTCGTAGGATTATTACGCCCGGAATATTACAATGGTTAGCATACGTGATTGCTGTTATACAAATACTCTTGTCTGATTGTCACCATGAACCTCATCAAGAAGGACATAGATGTGGAAGATGCTAGTCTCGAATCCATCCCTTCACTTTACGTGAGTTGGTCTCTCATTCCAACATCTTCACGAAGTGAAGGTCTGGGTTTTTTCGATGGGTACCCGGCAGACCTGATTTTTTCGTCCTCATATGGCAGGTTGTTAAGGGTTTCGATATTGCCTCACACATCAAATAAAATCCTCACACTGAACCCTTAACAACCTCCCATATGAGGACGAAAAAATCAGGTCTGCCGGGTACCCATCGAAAAAACCCAGACCTTCACTTCGTGAAGATGTTGGAATGAGAGACCAACTCACGTAAAGTGAAGGGATGGATTCGAGACTAGAAGATGTCACGTTGTATTTTGGATCTGAATGAACGATCCTCCCCCATGTCCCATGCATCCAACCTCACGGCCCCCGATGTCGATATCGACGTTCACACGACCCTTCGCCTTATTCAGGAGCAAATGCAGCAACAACAGGTCTTTATGCAGCAACAGCAGGCCCTTTTACAGCAGCAGCAAAACAGGATCCAACAACTGGAAGCCGAATCCATTGAGCAGGACGGCAAACTGGTCTACAGGAACCCTCGAGCGACCCTCATCAAGCTTCGCCAGGACATTCTCAAGGTTTACCCAGCCATCGGCGAACCCAAGTTCTTCGACTTGGAACTACCCAAGAACCACAACGTTTTCAACTGGAACGACTACCACTACACTGAGGGTATGGATTACAAGCCTCTCCCGGTTCTGCAGCACTCCGAAGTTACCCTCACAGACGCGGCTAAGCGACACGAACGCGATTTGGTATCGATCCAAGTATTTTTGGCTCAATCGACCCGGTTCTTCGACACTTTCGCTTTCGAAGTCCTTGAAGATGGAGACGATCAATCGGAGCTCGGCAAGAAGATACTCGGTCTCCTCAACACGGTACGCATATCAACAGCCCACGACGCTTCCAGGATCAGTCGGATGCGAGAGAACCTTTACCTCGACGAACTCGGCATCTAGCATGGCAACGACAAGGAGGAATCCCTTTTCACTTTGGAATCACTGGCTGCCAAAAAAGCAGCCGCTGATCTGGCTCGGAAGACATATAAGAAGTACGAGCCTCCAAAGGACAAGAACAAAAAACCTGACAACAATCCAGCAAGGACAATTCAGGATCAGGCGACAAACGCAAGGACCAACAGTTCGGCAAGTCGGGTTACAAGTCGGACGGAGGCAAGTCTGGTGGCAAGCCTCAGAACAAGTCTGGTAGCGGACAAGGCAGGAAGCAGCCAGACCAGGGAAACGAGGGAGAGAAGTCGGATTAGTAGGAGGTCGACTTCTCCAGTTCCAGGAGGCATGGAGGGAGATGACGGATTCGACCTGGGTCAACAACATCATCAAGTCGGGCTACAGTATCATATTCAACCAACCTCCGCCACTAAGCCTACCACCTCAGTACGATCCGTTCATTTCGCCGGAGGAACGTACAGCCATCGATACAGAGGTCCGTTCCTTATTACAAAAAAGGGCTATCGAAGGCTGCAGTGGGAAGGGATTTTACAGTCGTATCTTTACGATTCCCAAGAAGACAGGAGACTTACGCCCAGTATTAAACTTACGTCCACTCAATCAGTTCTTGACAGCACCAAAATTCAAGATGGAGACCCTCAGCAACATTTGCCGGATGCTCAGACCAGGCGACTGGCTTACGAGTATCGACCTAAGCGACGCCTTCCTGCACGTGGCAGTCCATCCGGCATCTCGAAAGTACCTCCGCTTCAGATGGGGAGCGGCATCATACCAGTTCCGAACCCTGCCTTTCGGACTGTCACTTTCCCCTTTCATCTTCACAAAGATCATCCGTCCAATTCTCAAGTGGGCGAGGGAGAAGGGGATCAGGATCTCGGCATATCTCGACGACATCCTCATCGCAGCCAGGACCAAGGAGGAGGCCAAGGAGCACACTCGTCTGGTTCGGGAACAACTGGAACGACTGGGTTTCCTCATCAAGGACACCAAGTCAACACTCGACCCTACCCAATGTATCGACCATCTTGGGTTCAGGGTCAACACCGCCGACATGACACTCTCAGTACCAAGATCAAAGGTCCGCGACCTGCGCAGGGAAGCGGAGAAGATGATCAGGGCAGGGACCATCCAACTTCGGCGGCTGGCGGCATTTATCGGGAAGGCGATCGCGATGACGGTGGGAGTCTTTCCGGCTCGACTGAGGACGAGGAATCTGATTCAGGTTCAGAATGCTGCTCTGGCCAACGAATGCAAGTGGACGGACCCAGTTACATTGGATACGGCGGCACTGGAGAATCTCAGCTGGTGGAGATCTCATCTGTCGGAATGGAACGGTCAAGGATTCATGCCTCAGACAACGGAGGTCGACGCGTATACCGATGCCTCGGAGGAGGCATGGGGGATTGTGATCGAGGGCAAGGAGATGTCCAGGACATGGAGTGCATTGGAGCAACCACGCCACATCAACTGGAAGGAGCTACGGGTTATTTGGCACTTGGTCCACCTTCCAGAAACTATCGGGAAGACAATTCATGTTATTTGCGACAACATGACAACCATCGCTCAGATCAACAAATTCGGCGGGACGAGGTCTCAACCGCTACTCGATCTGACGACCAGGATATGGAACCACTGCATGGAGACGGGCACGAGACTCAAGACGACATACGTTCCCTCACAGTTCAATCCAGCAGATGCACCGTCCAGGAGGATGACGACGCAACTGGAGTGGTCGATCGACAAGTCATTCTTTCAACACCTCGAGTCGATATGGGGTCAACACCACATCGACCTATTCGCAACAGCAACGAACGCCAAAGTTCCTCGATACATTTCATGGAAGCGAGAGGAAACTGCCTGGAGCCAGGACGCATTCAACAGCTGCTGGTCCAACATGAACAGAGTCTATGCGTGTCCGCCATGGTCTCTGATCAGCAAAGTCCTCCAGAAGATCAAGCAGGACAAGGTCAAGGCGACGGTCATCACTCCTTTCTGGACAAGCGCGCTTTGGTACCCCACGATCACAGCCATGTCGGTCGACAAGCCTCTACGGACCCTGAGGAGCCAAGTCTTGCCAGCTCCGGGGAACAGTCCACACATCCTCGAGAGGAATCCAATGTGGTCGCTCTCAGCCTGGAACGTCGACGGCAGCAAGCAGTAGAGAAGAGAGCAGGAACAGGAGTCCTCGCCAAGTTATTCGACTCAAGGGCAGCGCAGTCACGCCGCAAGAGACGAGTTCCCGGACAACAAGCTTTTATTCGGTGGATGCAGGATCACGAACGGGACCCTCTCAACCCATCGGCCATGGACCTCATGAACTTTCTCGACTACGGACTGGAAGAGAAAAAGTGGAAGCTTACAACAGTTCTCACTTACAAATCAGCCATTCTACAGCTATTTCCCGCCAAGCAACAACTGAAGATCAAGGAGGATGAGCTCTTCAAGGACATTATGAAGGTGATGGGCACAGGCACCTTCAAACGGCTCCATAACGCCACAGTGGATCTGACGCCGATATTGACTGGTCTTCAAGCACTCGGCGACAATCACAGCATGGACATCAAGGACCTTACCGCCAAGACATGCTTCCTCTTGGCCACATGCGGTCTCCTGCGACCGGACGACCTAGCCTGCACGGATGCGTCCCAGTGCAAGATCAACGGAGACAAGCTGGAGCTCACAGTCGTATTCCCCAAGGAACACCGAGGAGGTCAAATGATTATCAAGCCTGTCGTCATCAAGCCACACCCGGTCGAGTTCTTTTGCCCGGTCAAAGCCTATGTCGAGTATCGGCGACGTACTTCGAACCAGGATCGCTTTGCCAGGACGACACACCCCAAGGTCGAGACAGAACCCTTCACCCCTCTCATTCGACATGTGCGTCGAGCCAATCTGGGATTGAGTTCGGATCGGATCCGCAAATACATCCAAGAGATCATGCAGCTGATGCCACGAGACGAGACCCAGCCACCATACAAGGCCCGAGCAGTGGGTACGACCGCCGCACTGGAGAAGGGGATCCCATTAGACGACGTTGTCACGCACGGCAACTGGTCATCCCCAGCCATCGTCGAAGCGTTCTACAGGATCTCGCGGTTCCTGGCGAACAACTTCACCACAGCCATTCTTTCCTAACTTTGGATTCACAGATAGAGTCCCTGGCAAGGAAGAATAATGGTTGGCGTTGTCGAATAATAGGCTTTAGCCGTCATTACATTCGGCAACGCTAACCAGGAACTGCTAGATAGCCTTGAATTTTCTCTATCACCATCCCAAGCTACGCTTTTGATTGTCGGACAACTGATTGGCATTCGAGCGCAGTCCAACAACTTTCGGCTGCCACGTTTTGCCCCAAGACAGCCAGGCCCCAGGTTGCCCGGGTAACGTGAGAATAGGTTTTCTCCTAGTTCCATTGAACGCGTCTTGCATTTTATCCCGTCACGTGACTCCGCCACCAGGTCACTCCAGTTCTAGGGGTACCTTTTGGAATATGTATATATCCTCTACGATGTAGCTACATTGTCTCATATACCTTTTCTACGAGCTATATTGAACCCTAGGTTGTTATCCGTAAAGAGTATATTTGCCTAGGATTATTCTGTCACCAACCTTGTCCTTCCTCCGTTTTGTCTCTTTGCCCATTTGCCTCCAGCTCCCAGCCCAGTCCCCAGTTCCCGTCTCAACCCTTTTCCGTTCCTCCGGCTTCTAGCATAAATAGACCCCGTTCCCCCCTGTTCTGTTCCTCAGTCTGCAACAACTCACTTCCATCTGTCCCCTGCCTCTATTCTGCACACTTTCTTATTCCTTTCCTTTCCTTCATAATAAAATATAACAAAAGCAATACGCATTCCTCCGAGTCCTGTCTGATCATTGCATTGGCATGACCTTGGCATTAATATCATTGATCTAAATACCAAGTGTGTACCGTTTGTGGATTATTAAGGGGCCGTTTGATTTTAATGCGGAAAATTCGCCTTACAAGGCAAAATGTCAACCAACCTCGGCTTCTCCTTTCGAGTTCCAAAGCAACTTTTGCTCCATGAAATCAGTAACAATATAAAAGACTGCCAAGCTTCTCAAGCCTTTACGCTTTCCTTGACCCACTCGCGGAACGTGGTAGGCTTAACCGTCTTGGCCAGCTCCTCCAGGTCAGCGCCATAGGCCCTCTCGTTGATCCAAGCAAACATGGTGCGCAAATCCTTGACCATCCAGATCATCAACCTCGCCAGCCAGCCATAAGTGACGCCGACCGGGCCGCCAGTCTCCTTGCGGAAGATGTCGTCAATATCCTGGAACGTCAATTCGTCGCTGGCAATGCTGATGGCCGTGTTTCGAATGCCGGAGGCGTCGGGGCGCAAAAGACCTTCGACGGCCCAGCGTCCAATGTCCTTGGTTACGACGATCTGCATTCGCTTTCCCTTCATGTTTTCGCGCCATCCTGCCATGCAAAGTTTTCCAGGGAACCCCCACAGAGCATTGTCGGCGAACCAAGTCGGTCGCAGAATTGTAAAGTTGATGTGCTTTCCGTCTGCGCTTGCGGCTTTGAGGTGATTCTCAATCTCAAACTTGTCAGAGAAGGTCTTGCAGTAGGACGCGTCGCGGTCGCTGAGTTCTTTGCCGCCGCGATCGACGGAAGAGTAGACAAAATACGACAAGCCGTGCGTAATGGCAGCATCGATGAAACCGTTTGCATCCGTCAGTTCTGTAGGTCCGTGAGCTTGAGCCAGGAACGCGCCGGTGGTGCTGAGGTCGACGCCCTGGCTAGACAGCTCCTTGAAGATGGCGTCGGGTTGGCCGAGTTCGCCGCGCACGAGCTGGACGCCGCGAGTAGCCAGCGCGGTAGCAGCAGCGCCTTCTGTGTTTCGGGTCAGGACATAGATATCCTTGGGTTGAATGGAACTCGACTGGTCGGCCAAAAGCGCATTGACGGCGGCACCACCTTGGCGACCGGTTCCGCCAGCTATCAAGAAAGAGGTGAGTGAGGGCATGATTGCTGTTGTGTATGAATCTGTCGAGTGTAGATGATTGTGAGATGGGGTTGATAACGGCTGATGCAAGGTACCTATATATATTAAAACGAGACAGGCTAAATTTTGCAGATTACAAATGTGTAACTGTTAGGATCTGGCCGCAGGTAGTTTAGTGTAACAAGATCATAGGTCCTACTGCGCCTCATAAGTCAGCACGTATTAGTCAGTACCTATTAGTCAGTAATGTTTCTCAAATGCGAATGCGAATAAATAGATTTTACATTGGTTTTACATGATGCGAATGCGAATGCTACTTCGATTCGATTCGCATTTTACAGGGAAATAAAGGGTGCGAATAATTTCTGAGAAACACTGTTAGTCAGCACCTATTATTGTGCCTTTCTTACAAAATGAGGCAAAAAAATTAAAACTAATCCAACAAAATTCAGTGGAGAGCGGAGTGAACACAGGCGCGGAACAAAATTTTAGTTGTGAACAGCAACTTAATCAGGGTTTAGTTGTTCGAATTAATTATTTTGGTTGCAAGGCGCAATAGTCAGCACCTATTAGTCATCACCCATTAGTCAGCACTTATTATTGCGCCTTGCAACCAAAATAATTAATTCGAACAACTAAACCCTGATTAAGTTGCTGTTCACAACTAAAATTTTGTTCCGCGCCTGTGTACACTCCGCTCTCCACTGATTAGTTTTAGAATTTGTTAGAAAGGCACAATAGTCAGCACCGCATTAGTCAGCACTTCCATTAGTCAGCGCCCATCAGTCAGCAACATCCACTCTGTATATATAGCCCCAATCCTCGTAATAACACCATTATCAATTCTTGCACCTTTCAACCTTGCTCTCCTGTTCCCTCTTGTCTCTTCCTTGTCCTTGTCCTTGTCCCCTGGCCTTTATCTCTGTTCCTACTACATTTAGTGACAAATCCAAAGAAATGGCTTAAAATAAGATTGCCGTCTCTCGAACAGCAGGAGTGAATATGCACAGCACCATACAGACACTCTTATTAGCCACAACCACCACCGCCAACGCCTCCAAGTCTAGTCTACTTCTCCCTAAGCCACACAAACCCAATCCACATTGGTCCAAAAATTTAGAATCGCATCGGTTTTGCTTACACGAGAGATTTCCCTTGCCCAGCTCGTGATTACAAACACTCCGACAGGCTGAAGCTGAACTGAAAGATCTATGGTGGTGTGGCGACAACATCCACAGCATCGGGATAACTTCTACCTAAGCCTCTAAGCGCCCCCAAAAGGGAAATACTCCGTAGGGCGACACGCACCCGCCACGTGAAGCTAAACTCGGCGAGGTTAGCATAACTACTCGACCGCTGTAATAATCGTAGATCCTGCTTATGCAAGGGCCCGAGGTGTTGCTTATGACGGATATGACATGTTCGGTGATGCAAGGACATGGAGAGTCACCACTGGCAGCCTGGTTTACAGCACTGTACATGAGGCGACAAGGCCCTTGGTCGGGCATTGACTAGGTTGGGATTCTCAGGATGGCTGAATTAGTTGTCGGATTAGAAATGGTTACCTTCGGCCGTGTCAGTAATTAGGCTACGCTTTGCAACACAGATGACCCTGCCATCTAATCAAAGCCTGGTCAAGAGTGCAAATATGGGCAATAAAAAAAGGCAAAGCTGAAAAGGCAAAGTTAAGGTTCAGTGTCTGTGGCAGTGTTGTCCGTTTGCATTCTTGCAGAGTGGGTGTAGACGAGGGGCACCAGAACGCGCACCGCAGCACGTATGTATATCACATTTTTAAGATGCAGGAGGTGTACTAATAGCACTGCACATGAAGTGTTCAAGCTGCACATTTGATTATGTGTACGCCCACGCTATTAATAGGCTGTATTTCGATACATAGAACAAGATGTACTAGTTGCACTGCACGTGGTGCCCAAATTGCACCTGCTCTCTTTTTTTCCACCCATCCACCACTGCTCTCTTTTTTTCCACTCAGCCACCACTGCTCTCTTTTCTCCAGTCATCCACCACTATGTCATCAAGAGAGGCGAGCAGGTGAGGTGATGCAGAGAATGGAGAGAGAGAGGTGAGCAGCGAGATGATAGATACCGCTTATAAACTGTCATTCGGGGCAAAACGAGGGGTTTCTTTGCGATTTCTCCGAATAATGACTAGGAATAAAGTACATGACTGCCACCATTCGAGCAGTTTGACATCCTTCTTTGACTCGGTTCCCAGCATGGCGCGACCCTTCAAGACCGATGAAAAAAATAAAATGTCAAACCACCTGCGTTACAGGGGAATAGTGCACCTTCCCTATTTGGAAGGTGGGCTTTAGATTTTTTTTCAAATTCTGGTTTCAGGTGCCCGTTCTCCGCATACTAACTAAGGTACCCGAGGCTCTCTTAGTACCATTGTATAGCTCTCGACGAGGTCTCATAGCGTGCCCAATTTCAGAATTGTTAGTCCAGCCGTTGCCAAGAAAATAAATATACAGCGGGAAATATTTGGGAAAAGTAAAGATAAAGAATAACTGGCTCGTGGCAGCCAAGCGTTCATAGCGACGTTGCTTTTTGATCCTTTTATGTTCGTTCTCCCTACCATATCTGTCAGGCATCATTTGCGTGAGCGATTCTGGATTGTTGATATTGTTACAAAAAGATGTGGTGGCTAGGCAGTGGCGGCGATGCCTTAGGTTAGCAGTCATATTCTTTAGTAGACATAGTATTAGTAGTGCGCCGAGCCCTCTTGTCTGCTCTTTGTCCTTTTACACATCACTTCTTGGACGAGAGCAGTATTGACAAGAGTTTCGCTGGCGCGCTGCAGTGTATCGTTTCGTGTGATTCGTTTAGGACGCTACTATCACTTCCCCCCCCTCCAACCTACAACCCCCCTTCCCCCCCGTACCAATTGAGGACTTAACAGCGGTCCTCAATTGGTACGGGGGGGAAGGGGGGTTGTAGGTTGGAGGGGGGGGAAGTGATAGTAGCGTCCTAAACGAATCACACGAAACGATACACTGCAGCGCGCCAGCGAAACTCTTGTCAATACTGCTCTCGTCCAAGAAGTGATGTGTAAAAGGACAAAGAGCAGACAAGAGGGCTCGGCGCACTACTAATACTATGTCTACTAAAGAATATGACTGCTAACCTAAGGCATCGCCGCCACTGCCTAGCCACCACATCTTTTTGTAACAATATGCAGGAATTTTTTATCAATTAAGGGGCCTAATATTTAATCTTTAGTGTCAGTTACGCGCGTCCACTGGACTGGTCTGAACGCACGCGTGTTGACTTACTTGTGGCGTGGATATTATGATATTTTTGATCTGTTAGTTCAACTCAATTTGAAGGTACAACGTGCGTGACCTTGCAGGATAGATTCTCACTATTCACCTGTCCTTACGCGACTTGTCTGCAAGATCTGTTTTCAAGCTGTACAACGAGAATTCGTGATCCATGTCATTGAGGCGCAAAATATTCAATATAGCTGTTCCATTTTTGTCTAAGCACACCACGCAAACATCATAAAGGCTCCTCTTAAACTTTGAGCGAATTAAGAGCATGTGACCACCGTAGACATGATCCAGTCGGACACTATCTTGCCCGTTCTCTGAATGAAGCGTCATGGCTTGAATCCGGGACGAATCACGGAAGAACAAGAATGGACCTGGGGGGGGGGGGTTGCTGAATTCTATCTCGCTGAGTTGTCCTTGATAGTGCTGCATGTAACGGTGTAATACTCGTATTTCAACATCATAGGCTAACGAACGTGGAGCAAAAAACGTGGACTTGAGACTTGAGACTTGAGACGGTAGGTAAATGGATAATCATGGGTAGAAGACAAGAGGTGGAGAGGGATAAAGAGTCTGCGTCAGCCTTTCGATAAACCTTGTATTTTGGGGATGGAATAAATATTGTCATGATTTTTGTGTCTTTTTCATAGGTAATTACAGTGCTGAGCATTGAGTGATCAGATGATTCACGTTTTTCTACATTCATGCTAATTCCTCCATCGGCATCAGATGGATTCACAAATGAATTACCGTCATCCATTCTCATCGTTCTCATGGTGATCACCATGTGTGCTAATTCTGATCTGGTGACGAAGTGCCGAAGTCATCACCATTTGAAAAAAGAGGATGCACTTGATCACTTACGCTCACTTCTCATTTTCTTTTACTATTGATCAAATCCTATGTTATCAGTACTTTGTAACATCCCCCTTACGTTCATAAACCTGTTTGATCCTCCTGGGCATACTCTCATACGACTCGTGGAGCAGTTCCATAGGCGTGTTTGTCCATACATCCTGTATACGTTCCCATAGCTCGTCCAGTGTTCTTGGCGACTCTTGGTACAGAGCAAGTTGGTATTTGATGTATGCCCATAGGTTCTCGATGGGATTGAGGTCAGGAGAATTAGCAGGCCACTCCAGAACCGCAGTTTTAGACTCGTCCAGGTAGTCTTTTACTATCTTTGCAGTGTGAACGCTGGCATTGTCATGCTGAAAGATGAAGTTTGCTGGACTCATGGCATACCAGTCGCGAGAAGCGAGAACATATTCCTTGAGTACACCGACGTAGACAACTGCGTCAATTTTGCCCGGGATCCAGCAAGCATCGCCAACGCCGTAATAAGTAATGCAACCCCACACCATAATCTTGCCTCTTCCTCCTTGCCTGGTTTTCATGATGTGGTGAACTTGAGTGGTCTTGTTTTCTGCTCTCTTGTAATAGGTTTTGGGCCCAAAGGATCTCATCCTACTGACAATGGTCTCGTCGGAGAACATAACCCGTTTCCAGTCCTCAACAGTCCAATTCAAATATGCCTTGGCGAAATTGTATCGATTTAGACGTTGAATCTTTGTGAGATCTGGCTTCCGTTGTTGCTTGTACCCTTTCAAGCCCTCCTGTTTTGTGATCCTCCATACTGTGGTTTTATGAATCGGGATTCCTTCCGCCTTTTGGACGAGTTCTTGCCCTTCTTTGATTGTTGTAACTTTGCCAGTATCAAATTTTCGGG